AACAAACAGGAGCACTCAGCACGCTACACAAATTTGTGTGCGTGTCTTTTATGTAGAGGGTACCCCTTTTTAAAGGTAGGTTTGGAGATCGAAAGGAACAACCTCAAGGTGTCCCTCCATTTTGACAGATACCCATTTTGCCATGGGTCAAAATCCAAATCGTACCCCCAGTGAACATCCCAATCCCCACCAAAAATAGGTTCTGAAATGGGTGGTGAATTCACCAATCCCAACCAAAATCGGATCCAAAACGGTTTTGAGCCACAGCCATTCGTGAACTCACTGGCTGAGTGGATGGCCCAAACAAAGTCCAAACTTTGTATTTGCCACTAAAATCGTCCAAACCCAAAATGCTTAAAGTTCATGAACTCAGGAAGTGAGTGAAGGGCAGACACGACAAAACTGACACGCACCCCTTCCAAGGCGCGACCTCGCTTTGCTCGAGCCAGTGGTGCCATAGACCTGGAAGTAGGCGTCCCAGGTATCCCCCGGGTGGGCTCCTCAAGGGGCTCGGGCCGATGTGTCAAAAGCTCCCCACACATCGCTTTGGCCCGGGTCCTGGGGGAGCCCCGTTTTTTTTTTGGGGGATATTTACATCGCCCGCGCTCGTACCCTGTCACATTGATCAAAAATGGGTGTGGCTCAACATTAAACAGGAGGGGTTACGCAGGTTTTGGTCCATGCTTCCACTTACCAGGGTTCCATTTTGGTACCGGTTTTGAGCCACAGCCAAATGGTCCCTAAAGCGAATCCAAAGCAAACCAAACCTTCCTTCAGTGTCAACTTTAAGCTCGGAGGAAGCTCGCAAACAGTTCCCACACACCAGCAGAAAGACTGACGACTTGCACATGGCGTCAACCCAAGTGCCATGAGCAATAAACTGGGGCAACACAAAAACTTTCTGCGCGAGGCGCTTTTTCTTCTTCCCCCAAAAACAGGGGGTTCCCTCTTGGTTGCACATTCTCGTGCTCTTTATTAACCCCCCCCCCCCGAAACTAACGGGCAATCAGACACGCTTGGATAGATGCCTAAGACTCACAGCGGACCACGCATTCTTCGAGATGCATGATTCAGCGACAATAGGTGACCGTCAAGATTTTCCACGCAGCAGCCCCCCCCCTCTCCCCCGGTTCTGTTTACTAACTGGGACTCACATCAACATTTTGCCAAGGGTTGGAACTTGTTCTCGGCACCTGGAACGTCGAATACAATGTCTTGTCGCTGGGAGCCCTGGGATGAGTCCAGCCTCTTGAATCGGCAGGAATAAGGCCAAGTGTCCCACCAATCGATCTGGCGTTCCATAGATTTCATTTCCCGATTTCCCCACCGGGTACCCTTTTTCGGGCTTCAAAGACAACGTAGGACAACCAAAAGTACACACCCCATTGGCGGATCCCAAAAACCCACGTATTTACCGGCACACTCAAAGTCCTTGCTAGTACTCAGTAGGGAATGACCTTCCAGGTGTTTGGAATGAACCGGAAGGGGGTTCCCTTCACGGAAAACCACAAGGCATGGTTTAGAGGGGGGTCATTCCAGTTCGCCTTCCCTGAGAGCCAGCACGCCTCAATTTGCTTAAGTCCACTGGAAAAAACATGTGTCCAGATTGTGTCCAGTAGTGATAGATTCCCTTGAAAACCAGCCGGGGGAAATAACAAATATTCATTTCAGCAAGTGGAGGTTTCTCCTTCCCTGAGAGGCCTGCCCGTCTTCCGGTCCTCGGCAGGCGCGGTTGGAGCCCCCGTCCACCCCTTGGAAGGGCTGATGCCTGAGGCACTTGGCGTTGGGGGAGTAGCCCACCGCCATGATGCCCTTCGGCCGTGTCCACACCTCGCACCAGCCCCGGTACCTCGGCCAGCGACTCACTCACGGTTGAGGGCCCGGGAAAAGAAAAAAACACGTGGGGGTTGTGGCCTTGAAATGGAAACCTTTCCGGGATGAAAAGGTTCAAGTTGGAGGAAGGCATGGAAATGCCGGGGACCCCATATGGCCTTTTTTTTAAATAAAAGGTCATACGCCTTTGACCGAAACAAAAAAACAAATGCCCATACGGATGTTTACGGCTTTTTTCAACAACATGTCGAAAAATATGGGTTTCGTACGGGTGATTACGCAAATGACCGGAAAAAACATGGCCATACGGGCACATACGGCCAAACGCGGGAGTTTGACCGGAAAGGACAAAAAAACAAACAGCCATACGGGGTGCCAGGTGGGCAATGTCTCACCCAAAATCAAGAGATCTGGATTTGTTGACACGCCCCCCATGCCCAAAAAATCCTGAAAAATATGTTGGTTGAATCGAACCAAGCCACTGGATATCCGATTGAGCAAGCATCAGCTGCAGCATGCTTTGGGCAAACCTGTGGATGTGTCTCAACATTTTGGGCGCGCTTCTTCGGATGTGTTGAAAAAGGAACTTCACAGACCAATCACCTGAGAAGTCCTCTGGGGTTTTCCGCCCCCATTCGGACAGAACGATGCTTGAAAGGACCGGGGAATCGAATACTTGGGGTGATCTGGTGACAATTCCCAAACTGGAAATAGGGAACCCCAAGAGCCTTGAGCTTCGTAGATTTGATGCAGTTGGGCAAACATATTCTCTAGACCCGGTCAATATGGGTCTATTTCAGTTTTCTGAAACCTTTGGGGTAGCATTTGACGCCAAAAGGACCCACCGATCTTAGGGGACCAATTCCTTTTTGATACCTATATCATTGGTCCAAACATCCCAGGGCTCCGACGCAAAAAGTTGGCCAAACTTTGGACGAAAACTGGGTGCCGCGAATCTTTCTGTTAGGGAGCCCCTTTCTGGATTGGTTCGAAGCGAGAACGAAGGGAGCCCACGTTTAAATGCCCGTGGAAAATGGCTAGATCCTGTAGAGGGGGATTCCCCTGACTACTTTGTCACTGATACAGGAGAGTCTCCGTAAGGAGGTGACTGCTTTGATATGTTGTTCTTGCTTTCTTAACTGCTTTAACTGGTGTCCGTATCTATCAAGACAATCCAGAAACCTTCAGCTCAATTCCCACCAACCTATGCAGCTAAGGAGGGTAGTCCTAGGGGGGATTCCCAAAGCACTCAGCTAGGAGCCTCCACCCCCCCTTACACCCAGGCTTTTCCCATGACCCGGGTCCCTTCTTGAAAAAAAGGAAGTGGCGCGTTATTGGCGTTGTTGTTGTCGGCTGGTTCTCAAGTTGCCCCCGCATGTGCTCTTTGCTGTTGCGTAGCTGGTTTTCTGGTTTTCAAGGGGCCCGCCCCTCCAAAGTGGAAGAGTTTTGCTTCTTGTCCGCACCAAGTAATATGAACAAACACCACCCAGAAAACGCCTGCCTTGCGTCCCTTGCGTCCCTTGCGTCCCTGACGTTTTTGAGCCATCCGCCTGCCGCACGCCTCCTGGCTGCCGAGGCGCTCGATGCCCTGGCAACCCGCCGTGGCTTCACAGAGACCTCGGCACGCCGCCTCGTCGGGCGCCACAGTCGGGGAGTAGATGTCGTAGTAGCCTCAGCTCGAGCGCCGGGTCAGAAGCTGCACCGCAGCAGCTGGAGCTGACGTTTAGGTACGTGCTTGAAACGACTCATAAAAATGGGTGCGTTTCGTAAAATGGGGGAGGGACTCCTCCAGAAATTGGAAGTAAATGGAAGATCCCCACTCATTGTAAGTGTCCTGCTAGTTTTCCGTTTAAACCCACTCCAAACTTCTTGCTATCACCCAGTAAAAAGCCGTGTAGAACTACCTACCAAACTGGGGTGGATTGTGAGACAAACCTTTTTCAGGGAACCCAGGTGCTTTATACACTAATAAACCCTTGATTCAAAGCGGTGTGTCCAATTAGAGGAACTCCTTCACTTTGGGAGGAACCCAGTTGATGATTGAAGCCATGGCTGATTAAGAAGGGAACCTTCACCTTTTCGGGGGGAAGGCCCTCCTTGGTAGTCAAGACCGGCTGTGGAAACTGTCATTCCTGAGAGGCTACACTCGCCTCCTGAGTGGACTGGCCGACAAAGACTGAACTTCATATGTACCACTAAAATGGTCCAACCCCAAAAAAGTGACTGAAGTCCGAATCGGAACTCACACAAATGAGCAACAGGTAGGTTTTTCGGCCAACACCGCGAAACCAAGGCTGCTAAAACTGCTGTCAAGTCGGCTCTTGAGGGGGGGGCCCTGGCTATCCCTTGGCGACGAAAGAGTTGAGCTTCTGACAAAGGGGAAGCCAACCCCCAAACCCCAAAAAGTGGCTCCCCTTTGGAAGAAGAAGTGGAAACCCCAAGTAAGTGATTTCCCCTTAACACAAAAGCAACCAAATACACCACAATAGGTGGTTTCCCCTTGGTTTCCCTTTAGCGCCCCAAAACCAGGGGTCACGAAAGGATTCCACAAATCAAAAGTTGGTGAGAAACCTCCTTGAAACGATCGAATTCCACTTTTGGTGGTTCCACAAAGCGAAATGGTTCGGACACCCAGACAAAGATTCAAGGCATGTGCCGGTTTTTCCTTGAAGGGAAATCAAGCAAGCCAGTAAACACTTGTCGCTGGCTGCCGGGGCAAACAAACACCCCAGTTCCACCTGAACAACTTCTTTGAGTTTGGTTCATGGTGATGATTGGCCTGGACAAATAACACCAAGATCGCATTCCTAGGTCGAGTAGAACATTTTTTGATGTCTGGGAGCTGTCCAAGGAATCCGTGACGTTCTCTCCCCGGCAAACCCGGTCATCGAAGCCATCCACAGAGCGGAAGGGCTCGTAGGAAGTGCAGGTCCTCATGACAAGACGCCCGTCGATACGACCCCAACGCGTGGAAACCCGTCTCATTCATAAAGCCTTGGTGGATTAATAGGTGTATCATTGTATGTTATACTCATCGGAAAAGCTTGTAGTGATGTACTTTTTGTGCAGTTTCACGAAGGGCATTCTTTAAGTTGTGTTGGTTTTGAAGGGAAGCCCCTCCAAAACGACAAGCAAAGACAAAATGACCAGGGGCAATTGGACTACCAGAAAAGGCCAAGGAAGAACAAAGGAAACTTTTGGTCAAAAGCCCAAACTTGTCCTCTTGTCTTCTGAACTTTCAACTTTCCCCGACATGTGTCTTCCTTAAAGGTAAGTTCACTCATCGTTGCTTTAGAAGGGGCCCACCCCGTCCCCCAAAAGTGAGAGCAAAGGGCCCGGTCTCCTTCCGGGCGCTGCGACTGAGGCCTGGATGCCCCCGGCCAATGTCCAGATCTCCTCAGATCTCTGGAAACCGCACGCTTCGAGCTCGGCGCAGAAAGTGTATCTGGTGGGGGTCCAATTCGGAAATCGGGTTCAAACAACAAGTTGTTAAAGTCCAAGGATCCAGCCATCAAGATCAGTTGGCATAGGAGACTTACCCAGGAAATGAGTGGGACACAAGGGCTCCTTGCGCTAGTTACTCGCTACACACATGTCCTAGTGAGAGCTTGAAAAGGTGAGGCAGGGTGATTGGGGAAGGAGAAAGGGAGGGGGATCTTATGATAAATCATTCCTGGGTTTGTCGAAAATTGGCTTCTAACCACTTCCATTTGCGTGTGTCTCTTTGAGGCTACCCCGTGTGTGGTGCTTTTAAAGGGGTCTCCCCTAAGAAAACACACACTCCCATTTCCCCATGGTTCCAGCGGGTGGCTTCCCAATTTCCAGGGATCCAAGTATTCTTTCCTACAAGCCCGGGAGATTCAGCCAATCCTCCCTTCCAGGGTCCCCCCAAAGTGAGAGAAGAAAGTTGGTTGAACCCCTTCCTCCAGGACTTGGCCCGCCTCCATTTTATGCCCATCTGGGGTGAGTGGCGCAGGCGCCAAGGCGGAACTCCACGCCCTTGCAGTGGGTGGTCTGCAGGCAGAGGTTCTGGCACTCCGCCAAGGAGGAGTTCTCCGGCCAAAAAACGTGCACCTCGCGTAAAAAAACGGACGGAAGAGGGGAGGGGGGGAGGCGGCCGGGGCGGTGTTTTGTCTTGCTCGGCCGGGAGAAACATGGGTGAAGCGCTTTGTGCCGGTTTAGTGAGCAACCTTTTTGGACGGGGAAAAACATGGCTTTCTGCGCAATTTTCCTTGGAGATGCTGGATGAGGGGACATCAACCTAGCCCAAAGGAGCCGCCTGAAGGGAAGGGCAAGGGTTTGTGTTGGGTTTCTTCGGACGCATTGATTGGAGGAACCCTGTTTTGGGGGGGAAACCGGGAGTTTCTTGACTCCAAAGCCAGACTTCGGAAGTGACGCGAGGACTTTTTGATGGACACCGCCCTGGTCGAGTTTTCTGGGAAGCTTTTTGGGCCCAGGCCCTCCCACCTTGGAAAACGTCCGTTTCTTAAAAACCCTTTGTCGGGGAAACGAAAAAATCTGGGAATTGGTTTGGACCACTTGGCAGCCAGCTTGGGGCCCAGCGAAAATTAAAAAGATCAGACATCACAGCGGACCCCCCCAAAAAGTCTAACGCTTCCCGCCCAAAGGAAATGTAGAATTGGCCCAACCAGCCAAGCCCCAAATGCATGAGATGCAAGTATGGAACAGCTTTTTTCGGTCGGGAACGCGCAGCTCAAGAGGCGTGAGCTTCAAATAAAACCTTGGGGAAAAGCAAAGAAAGCTCGTGGAAAAGCGTGGCGTTCTGCTCGGAAAAGCAGCTTACAGACTCCTAGGGTCGGCAAAGCCCCAATCAGAAGTCCGAAGTGTGGCTCTGGTAATAGCTCAGAATCACCGCAGTGAAGCTTCCTTGACGCCATGCCCAACGCCTCCGCCAAATGGGCCCCCCAAGCCGATTGAAATATCATTGTCAAACTCCTGGACAAATTCCAGGGTAGGCAGTGTCAAACACCTCGCTCCATTGCTGCGACTGCGCCATGAATCTACTGCCGTCCGTGCTTGCCATTGTTGAAACTGTCAGATGCGCATGCCGGACGCGATCTGCAGCTCGCCTGGCGACACACTGCGCTGCCTGGGACTCCCAAAGACGCCAGCCCTTTTCCGCCTCATTCATTGAACATTGGCATACGTCGCGTTGCGTGCCCTGGCGCTACGACTCGCACGCACGCTTAACTGAGGAGGCTCCCCCTTTTTCTAAGCGGCCTTGGTACTCTTCAGGACGCCTCTGAATCCCGAGGCGCATCTTGCAATACGCCTTCCGCACCGCACTGTCATCCGCGTTGCGCACGCAACATGTCTACAACCAGAATCCTGAGTTGGCTTGGCGATCGAGACAGCTGAGGGATACGTAACTGAAGATAAGAGGACTGAATATTTGCGCGTGCAAAGAGTTCTGCAGCGCCGAAACGAACAGGCTCACCACAAGGCGCGGGCAAGCCGCGCGGCGCTGGTCCACGGGGAAGTGGGGAACTGGAAGCTTCGCAGGTACGAAGGCAATCACACCGCAAAAGCATGCGCCAGCATTGGCTAACTGACAATACGAAATGGGCAGCGACGGACTGCAGAAGCTCACATTTGCAAACTTGCAAAAGAGGGAAAGTAAGGACATGTGACTCCAACTTCAGGAAAAGAGAAATGATGGAAAAGCATGGTTTGGGAATTTTCACACTTTTACTTGCATCTCACGTCTTTACCACGCTTTCCAGGAGGTGTCTTTGCTTTGCCCACGCTTTTACTTGCATGTCACGTCTCTTGAAGTGCGCGTTCCCGCCAGAAACGGTTTTCCTGAGCTGCGCTCACTGTCCTTTACGCGCCCGCTTCGGCGCCGGGGATGAAGCGGCCTTCAACCGGGCCAGCTCCTCGCGGAGCGAGCGCGCGTCGGCCTGGTACCCCTGGGTCCACTGTTTCTCGGCGCGGATCTCCGTCTCGAGAACGGCCACCCGCGTCGCCTTCGCGGCCAGCTCCCGCATCAGCGCCACCTTCTCCGCCTCCAAGGTGGCGACCCGCGCTTCCGCGGTGGAAGCGCGGGCCTCCGCCGCGGCGAGCCGCTCATCCTTGAGCGCGAGCTCAAGGCGCGTCTTGTCCTTGGACGCGTTGTGCTCCGCCTCTCGGCGGAGCTTCGAAGGAGGTGGCCTGCGGCCCGGCTTCCACGCCACCTCCTCCCCGTGGCGCGCGGGCCAGCCACCACCGGCCCAGCGAGCGTCCTGCCGGGATCCTCCACATCCATCCCACTCCTGCGCCGCCGGCATCCAGCCTCCCCAGTTCTTTGCTGCGCCCAGGCGTTAACTTGCATTTCGTGTCTCTTAAACTGCGCATCTGCAACTGAATGCCAAAGCGAACTCCTGGAATAGCGTGGTACAAGAGATATGAGATGCAACTAGAAGAGTGGGCAAAGCCAGAAAAATCGCGGAAATTCGGCCCGGAGCACAAAAATCAGTGGATCTCAGCCAACCACGAAAATGGGCAACAACTAACTATTCCCCTTCTCATATTCAACATACCAAACCCCGTGCCCAGTTGAAGTCCTGGTGCGAAGCATTTGCCTGGCATCGCAAAAAGGCGATGAGCATGCCAGACAAACCAGAACCAAGGGATTCTTCTCACCTGCTGCCTGTCGCAAGCAACTGCGGAACAAGCGCCTGTGTTGAGACAAAGTCCTTATATAGCTCAGGGCAAAGCTATGTCATTCGCAAATCGCCTGCCAGTCTCTCAGCCTCCTGACTTCTCGCGCAAGGGCTCTCAAATGCAAAGCTTGGGGGCTCGGGCCCCGGGGCTCCTTGTGTCAGGAACGCTGAGTCAGTGCTGCCATAAAACCCAGTCATCCAGCATCACACGTTCCTCGATGTTGAACATGTGTTGCGAGTGCCCGGCTGTCACATGTTTGCGGATGGACTTGCCCATGACAGTATAACTGGCTCGCTCAAACCTGGCGCGAGCGCGAGCAGGTCATAATTTGCCTGTGCCGGATTTCAACTCGCAGGCCCCAAAGCGGCCCCATCCGTCTGATGCTCACGAGAAACCCTCCGTCCTGCCAGCAATCCACACAACAAAATCCACGCGGCATAGACAGGCAAAGGCCCGCAAAACAGTTCCAACACACACACATAAAAGTTTTCCGAAGAGGTGCTCTTTCGGAACCAGACTGCATTATTTTGCCATCGCAGCGCCCCCAACGACACACGGCTACATGGCCTTTTGTCTCGCCTTCACACCACGTCGGTGTTGCCCATATCTTCTGATGCAAAATGCATGCGTTCAACGCGTTTCGTTTGTGTTTTGTGCATGAGCTCCCTTCAGGTCAGCAGCGTCTCGAGCACATCCGCCACTTCAGCTGATTCTGGGCAAGAGCTTCATCTGTGGCAAGCGGAGCGATTGAAGGCTAGACAGCCCAGCTGCTGAAGGACCTCCAATGGCCACTGCGCCCTCTGGCCACCTCGGACGTCGCAAGGCGAAGGATCCCGCCGAAATGGACCCTTGGGCTCGTGTGACTTGAAGCTTGTCTCAACTTATCTCACCTCCAGAGCAAGCTTCCCAACGGCATACATGCCCGAAGCTGCCGAGCAAACCCATGCGATGAGCTGTTCACGCCTGCGCACCCACCATGTCTGTGGTAGGATGTGTAAAGGCTCTGTGGCGCTCTTTGCATTTTGACTTGGAACCCATGGCCTGAGCAAGTGGTGAGAAAAATCAGTTGACTGCCAAAACACGAGTTGGATAGTGGGCACGCCGTGCTGCTGTGCCTTCGAATCATGGCTGCCTGCAAGCGTCGCCTCGTTGCGCCAGAGCGGCTGTCAAAATAGTTCGACCCCTTCTTGGGACGGGTTGAAACATGGACGGCGCAAACCCCCTTTTGAAGGGTCCCTACTTGTATTTTCTTCTGGAATTACATATGTTGAAATCACGCCTGGGGGGTCCAGGTGTTTTTGTATTGAAATAACACCTGGGGGGTCCCGTTTCTTTTTGGAAATCATGCCTGGGGGAGTCCCGTTTTTTGTTGTTGAAATCACGCCTGGGCGGTTCCGGTTTCGTTTTTTGACATCACGCCTGGGCGTTTATTAAATTCATGCCCGGGGGGCCCCGGTGTTGTTTTGTTGAAATTACGCCTCGGGTCCCGGTGCTTGTTATTGAATCACGCCTGAAGAGTCCCGGTTTTTTTGCGTTGTTGAAATCATGCCTGGGGGTTTCCGTTTTTGTTTGTTGACCTCATGCCTGGGGGGGTCCCGGTGTTTGTTTGTTGTTGAAATCGCGCCTGGGTGTGTGTGCTTTTTTTGAGATTACGCCTGGAATCTCGGTGCTGGTTTTTGTTGCATGTATTTTTGTGGGCCGGGGTGTTTCTATTGAAATCACGCCTTGGGACTCCGCTCTTTTTTTGGAAATCACGCCTGGGGGTCCTGGTGCTTTTTCTTGTGAAGTCACGCTTGGGGGCTCCGGTGTTTGATGTATTGAAATCACGCTCAGGCGTGATGTGCAAAAAAGAAAACACTAGGACCCCCAGGCGTGATTTCCAAAAAAAGAGCGGAGTCCCAAGGCGTGATTTCAATAAAAACACCCCGGCCCACAAAAATACATGCAACAAAAACCAGCACCGAGATTCCAGGCGTAATCTCAAAAAAAGCACACCCCCCCAGGCGCGATTTCAACAACAAACAAACACCGGGACCCCCCCAAGCGTGAGGTCAACAAACAAAAACGGAAACCCCCCAGGCATGATTTCAAGGAAAATCACCGGGATCGAGGTGACTTTTTCTTTGGAATTACCAATCACTCACTCACTTGCTTGCTCGCTTTGTCTGTGGAAAAACAAACACAAAAACATGAGAATCCAAAATGAGGAATCTCAAAATAAACACGGCTGGAGTAAATTCCGAAAAAAGCACCGGTTCCACATTTCTTGCATGCCGGTCACCGGCCAGAACAAATATGGGAACGCTTTTGGCAACCAAACTCTACCATCTACCTTCACTTCTGTATTGGAACTTCTTCCTCTGTCATTTTCCATGTGGATAGGTGGGACGGCAAGCATAGGTTCCAGTCTGCTGCTATCCCGGCCATTAACTTTGGTTGAACCTGCCAATGTTTGTCAACACCCAAGTTTCGGGTTGGCTTATCCTCTATCCCACATTCACCCAAGTGCACTTGGGCTTCCCCAAAAGGAAAGTAGTCTTCAAAACCCCACCCTGTCAGCTTTTATGATCGCCAGAGGCCGGATAGTCCGAGCAAACAAAATTCAAACAAACATCAACTTCAAGCCATGCTTTGTCGCAACCATCCTCCGTTCTTGTTTCCCCCCCCCCCCCTTTTTTCCGCCCAACACGAAATGAGGCGTTGCGGGCCGAAACAAGGCGTTTGCCACATCGAGCGAGGCGCCGTGTAGTGCGCGTCCAAGTTGTCCGTCTCGTTTTGGCCCCGGCAGGCGCGGCCCACGCCCCCGTCCACGGCCTTGAAGGCGGTGTCCGCCTCCAAGCTCTCCTCGGCTTTGGCCGGGCGAGCCGGGCGGGGCCCAGGGGAAGAAAGACACGGGGACATCGCTGTTTTGCGTGTTTCTTGGGGTGTCCAAAAACTGAACCCGGCGAACAGCGATTGACACCCAACCAACAAAAACCAACCAAAAACCAAAAAACCAAAGGGGGGGGGTTGGGAACCACCAAGTGTTTTGGACAAAGCCCTCCCAAAAAGGAGCAACCAAAGAAGCAACCCAGCGGGGTGTCTCGGAGTGAAGTGCAGGGTTAGAAGGTTTCTTTTGGAAAAGGTTCCAGTGCGTCGGGAAAATCACCTTTCTCTCTTTTGTCTTTGAATTTGGTTGGCTTGACTTTGGCTGCAGGGAAACTTATTTGAATCATATCTGACTTGTCAAGGCGTCAAGAAAGAAAAAGGTCCGCTAGGTGTCTCTTGAGGTACTCTCTCTTGGGTAGCTTTACAACGGAAAAAACCTAAGGAAAAACCACTATTGTGGCGGCTCACCCCCCTTGGTAAACCCCTAAAAGACCAGGACTAGGTCCTCCAGCAGAGAGCTTAGAACAGGGTACCCATGTTCTTCCGAATCGTCTAGTTGGAACCCTCCCCCACAAAAAACACGGTCAAAAAGGGCACCTCGCTGGCAAACTTGCAGGAGGCCTCGGTTCGGTCCGAGCGTCCAGATCCGGGAGCCGCAGGCAGAAGGAGCCGGGCAGAGCCTTGGAGGCCTGGATGCCCTGCGCCCGCGTCCACAGCCTCGAAGCGCCCCGCTCGAAGCGGGCTGGGGTGGGAGGCACCCCAAAAGATACACGTCGTGCACCCTAAAAAGAAGAGGGGAAACAAGTTCCACGCCTTTTGCGAGAAGAGCAAGGTCTGAAGCCCCCGTCACGCCTTTTTTTTTGGGGGTTCCCGCCAAAGACACCGTTTTGGAAACAATTAAGTAGTCCCCCGCCAAACTCCGCAGAAGGAGCCCCAAAAGGGGCTTCCGCACTACAAACGGACGGGCTTTGCTTTGATAAGAGGACACCCTGTTGATCAACCGCCTGGTGCGGAAACCATCAAACATGGCTAAAAACTGGAACCTGATAATGGCGTTGGCAGTAGAAAAAAGAAACCCATTTCATGGAGGAATCCACGAACAAGGAAAGTCCCGGGTTCAGTTTGATTTTGATTCCCCTTTTAACCTGGGTTCTCAGATGTTCGACATGGACGCTGGCAAAAGGAGGTGAGGTGGACCCAATGCAAACGAACCAGTTTCGACCACGTGATTTGTCTTGAGGATCACTGAACCAGAATGAAACAAATGGGAAACTCGAAGAACAAAACGCAAGGATCATTGTTGCCAGCATCGCTGCCAGTCGCATGGTCTTTTCGAGCCTTTACAGGATGACGCACGCTCCAAGGCACCCACATGACCTTGTACCCATGTTTCCCAGATTGTTCGTATATATATATATATATATATATTTGGGGGGAAAGATTGATCCCTGCAAATAAGGAACACATGGGTTTGTCTCAAAATCAAATATCGAACCAAGAATGGCACCGGTTTTCTGCTGGTCTTCCTTTAAAACAACCCACAAACTGTTTTTCTGTTGATGTTCCTTTCAACTTTAAACCCAACCCACAATTTGTCTAGGTCCTCCAGCAGAGAGGACAGAATAAGGGTACCCTTCTTTTCTGTAGTCTATTTTAGCAGGGGAATCCTCCCCCAACAAAAGGGCAAAAGGGCACTACAGGACCTAGCTGTCGTCCTCTTGGCTTTCTTTTGACAAAAAGTGTACCCTCCCAAGAGAAAAGCGCCACACCAAGCAATGTGCGGGCCAGCCGCTTGCATGTCTGGCCCACGTAGGCGACGCCCTGACAGAGCACGTCTGAGACGCACAGCAGCTTGCACTGCTCCAGGCTTGCAGCCTCCATCCTTGGGCATGGGCTGTAGGTATCGTGGTTGGTTTTTGGCAGTGGTTGTAGGTATCAGTTGTAGGTATCGGTTGCAGGCATGGTTGTGTGTATCGTGGTAGGTATGGTGGTATAGTTGTAGGCATGGTTGGCTTGTGGGTGTGGTTTTAGGCGTGGTTGCTGGTATGGCTGTGGTGTTGCCCCGGAAATGAGAATCCTCTACCTTGGCGAGGATCGCGCAACGGGGATGTTGCCCGGGCAATTTCGCGCGGTGTTAATTCTTTGGTTGGCGCACAAATTTCAGCACATCCGTTTTATCGGGCTGTTTTGGGCTGTTTTGTTTCTGCCTGAAACTGACTGAATGGGCGCCCCCGTTAAGGGCTCTCTGATCTACAAACGCAGGGTGTCTTGGGCTGCATCAGAATTTGCAGTGGGTTACCCTCACTTCTGGGGGAACACGGTTGTCCTTTTCTGTGATACGATGTGATACGGCAATCCAATGACTATGTCATCTCCTAGGAGGTTCCCTTGGTATCACAGAGAATTGGACAAACTCGTCGATCGGCACCAGGGATGGGTTTATCCCATTCACAAAAAATCATCAGTTTCATCCAGCCCTGGGTGAAGAAAGCGTGGTCCATTTAGAGCAGGGATCCTTACATGAAAAACACCTGAACATTGCAACTTGTAAATGGTGGTTTCCTTTATTTTGGCGTTGAAAAAGCCATGTTTCAAATGGTTGCAACATGGAGATCTTTTAAGGAGCCCTGTAGAGGGATCAGTTTACCGGCATATAAAACAACCCGTCCTGCGGTGGAACGACCCTCCATCTTTGCAACGGCCAAAGACAAAAAGACCCGATCGCCACACTCGTCCGCCAAAGGCCCAGCAAGCCGTGTAAAAACCAGTAGGAACACCTCAGAATACCAAGCAACCTGCATAACACAGGCCACTGGAGAACTACTATGTCCGTACACAGAAATGAGTGTTTTTGTTGAGGATACCTGCATAAAGGTTGGTTGAAAGAAAAACACGACTGGAAAACCCACCCATCATCTAAGCCCTATCCAAATGGAGAACCCATGCCAAGTCTAAAGAAGCATCTGCGTGAAGTACGTCTCGTTCAAGTCCTTGTCGCTGGAGCCCCTGACAACCGGAAAAAGGCAAACTGCATGGAATTACAAACCCCCTCCGCGTTGATGGACCAAAAGGATCTTGCCCTAGGTGTCCTTTCAGGGGAAATAGATGGCCCTAGATGATTAAACCACCAGGTAAACCAGGAATCGCCATCTATTCTTCCAGCAAAACCACCAAAAAGGACACCTATGGATCTTGCTTGAGTGAGTCAAACACATTTGAACCTTGGGCCCCGGGAACTTTGGGGCTTGCGAAGGAAGTGGCCCACTGAGGAGTTCAGTGCTTGAAGGGGGGGGGGGGTATGGTTTGTATCGCACAAGGGTCCAAGAATGCTTGGATCGCCCAAAAAGCCGGCAATAACATGGGGAAGCGGACAATGAAGGTTTGGAGTTTGGAATTGTTTGTCCAGTGGGGTGGTGTTTGTGAGGTTCCTTAACAATGCCGATTACATGTTTGGAGTTTGTCCAGTTGGGTGGCTCATGATTCCTGTGGTTGCCTTCCGGCCAGCATTGCCGTTCTGGGGAGTTTTCTATGATCATTACTATCATTATCATTATTATTATTATTGTTCTTATTACTATTATCATTATTTCAGCAGCGACCTCGCGGGTTGCACTTTTTGACCCCTTGACCCCTTGACACCGGGCGCCTGCAATCCATATCCGCGCCGCCGTCCACGGCCACGAAGGGCTGATGGCTGAAGCATCTGCTGCCGCTCTGCGGGCGGCTGCTGAAGGCCGAGGTGAAGACGTGGCACGTGCCATCCGTCCTTGGGCGGACCCGGAGACCCGGACCCAAAAGGCCGAGGGCCGGTCCGAGTCGCCGAAAAATCAGCTAGACAAGGATGGGAATTTGGGTTCCAGCTGATTTCTTGCAGCGGGGTTCCCTCATTTCTTGTGGAAAGTGGGTGGGAAAGTGGGTGTCCCTTTCTGTGATACCCCAGTGGGCTCCTAGTCGCTTAGGCCACTTGCCTAGTACAGCGGCCTTAGAACCCAAGTTTTCACAACGCCCCACGAAACTCTCCAAACTTCCTGTTTAACAGTCCTCCCAAAAAGCCTCTGAAAGGGCCGCAAGTCCAACTGCCACAGGGCCAGGGTGTTGATGAATGCCTATGCCTTTCGACAAGCCCGAAACATATGTTGGCATGTCTTACTCATTTGAAATCCATCTGAATTCATCAGCTTCCCAGAAACACACCTGGAAGTGTACGTAGTCCGGACGACTCTACTCTTCACAAAGGTCTGCGCGCCTCCATGTTTGTTGGGAGGGAACATGTCACTCTTCGCCCCATATTGTGTTTCTATGCTCAAGCTGCCAAGCCCACCCACCCACCCACCCACCCACCCACCCACCCACGCACCCACCCACCCACCCACCCACCCACCCACCCACCCACGCACCCACCCACCCACCCATCCACCCACCCACCCACCCACCCACCCACCCACCCACCCACCCACCCACCCACCCACCCACCCACCCACCCACCCACCCACCCACCCACCCACTCACCCCATAATGGAGAGCAAGAAAGCAGGCAAAGATATGCACCACGGGAAAGAGATAGACTCACCGCCGGGCACGAGCAGAAGCTTGAATTTCTTGTGCGAGGGGAAGCCACAGCAAAACAAGAATTTCTCCCACAATCCAAAAGGCCCAGGTCTGGAGCACCCTTGACCAGGGGTAGCCTCTGGAAGTGGTTGGACATGGCCATGGGTCAAACGCCCGTACCCCCGGTGAACATCCCAATCCCCACTAAAATAGGTTCTAAAATGGGTGGGGCACCTACCAACCAAAATGGGATCCCAAAACAGTTTGGACAATCACAGCCACATCCACACAAGGGGGGACCCTCAAGAACAAAAGTTGGTTTACCTTGAAGAAACCCAGAGAGGGAACCCTGAAAAAAAGGCATGCCCAAATGGAAGTGGTCGGACGTCTTCGCAAGCCAAAGGTCTGGAAGTTGATCCCCGTGCATCGCGTGGCGCTTTGGCTGCAGAGCTCCTGGCACTGTGCCAAACTGGGCACAGAGATGGCGGCGGCGTCGCTCGCTTCGGCCGCTTCGCAGAGGCGGTCCTGGACCCGAAACGACTGGAACGACTCGGACGAAGCCAGAGGGGTCCGGTCAAAACTAGGTCCTCCAGTAGTTTGAGGTTAGAATAAGTTGGTACCAACTGTTTTCTGAATCGTCTGTTTTAGAAAGGGAACCGAATCTCCCAACCAAAAAAAGCTGGTAAAAAGGGCACCTAGCTGGGGGACCTAGAAAGGAAGCCAAAGGGAGCACCCCAAACGACTCGAACGAAGCCGGACCAAGGAACCCCACTTGGAACTGTTCGGAGCAACGAAAAGGGGAAGGACGAAACAAAGAACTGTTTGAAACAAAGAAAAGTGTTGAACCAGGGTTGAATACCCCATAGTCCTAATAAGAACTGTGGGGAAGAAAGAAGCAATATCCGAGACGGCTGGAAGGTTTGAAGGGTGAATGGCCCACATCTTGTTTTGAGGGTACTCCTTTCTTGGTGTTAAAGAATAACCAACCGGAAACCCTTGGAGGTTCGGTCCCTAAAGAAACAAAGAACGACACACCCTTGGATGGTGGGAATGGTCCTGCGAAGGCTGATCAGGCTCGGGGATTGGTCCGTGACGACCCCACGCTGAAACGGTCCTTGTTTCAAGGCCAAGGCTTGTAGAATTTGAGGGGCTCTCTGCTTACGCAATCAGTTGTTTTTTTGGCTCGTGACAGTTGGTGAAAAAAAGCAAGTGCCCCCACAACCCCATTCGAGTTTTTCATGGTGCCCCGTTTCGCGCCTGATCCTTATGGTGTTGCACCCCAATTGATTCAATCATCTTGAACTGGCTGCCGTTGAGATAGCTTCCAGAACCCAGCCGCTAGTAACCTGGTTCCTTCGTAGACCCCAATTTAATTCACACAGAAAGCTGTCCTAGTAGCCCCCCTATGTGGCCATGGGTCAAAATCCAAATCGTACCCCCCGGTGCACATCCCAATCCCCACTAAAATAGGTTCTAAAATGGGTGGTGAATTCACCTACCAACCAAAATGGGATACCAAAACGGTTTGGACAACCACAGCCATGTGATGACTCAATACGTTTGCCCCCACCCCCTCCCTTTTTTGGGGAGATAAAGGGACCCCGTGGGGAGGGTTTCTACTTTTTATAGTCCCTTGATTCTTTCGAACTGGTGGGTTCAAAGACAAACCCCGGTTGAAAGGGGCAGAAAGGGAAAACCAGTAAGGCCAAAACAAAAACAAAAACGGGAAGCTTAGCCTGGCGTTGCGACACGGGATGGATGAACCATGAGGGACACTGGAGTGAGCAACCTAATCTGGTTTCTTAGAATTCCAGCGAACTCCAGTTCACTCAGTTTCAAGAGTTCAAAGGGACACTGATTGAAGGGAACTCGACGAATTCCAGGAACACTGAGCGAGCAAAACTCTTTGAGCTCCCTTCACTCGGTTGCCCCAAAAAAACGGCCAGGTCAGGTCCCCTTCCGGGACTAAAGGGCTCGTTCCCAGGAAATGCGATCAGACTCCGTGCACAAACCCAAAAACCGAAAACTCCCGAATAGAAAAACGGAGCCCCCCCCCCCCGGAGTGTTTTTCAGATGGAACCCGAACAAATTCATAGGGTCCATGAGTCCATGTCCACGACACGCCCCTGAGGATGGTGAGGCAAGGAAACCCCAAAATGGGACAACGCCCAACGAAATGTCCACCACAAGGCCCCACAATTAAAAATCATGCCATTTGAGAACCTCCCCCCACATCTTTAGTCAGGAGCTGTTGGTTCTGGCGCAAGGATTTTGAAGGTACCCAATTTGGCTCGTTCTAATAGGACACCAAGAGGACAACCCTTACCAGACAACCCTTACCGTTTGTTGGTGTTGTCGGACCCAAAAAACACACAACATCTATTCCCACTTTCCAACTTTTCGGGGTGTGCCTGTGTCCAACAATTTAGGTACGTCCAATTTCTATCTCAGACAAACCCACGTGTGGCAATGTGCGCATCGAAGCAATCTTCGGTCCTGGCTCCCGTCGAAGTCTCGGAAGGGTCGCAGCTGAAAGCAGGCGGACCCCACCTGGATCGCCCACTTGAAGCCATCTCTCCAGAGCCCGGTCTCGATACTTTCACAGGGTTTGTCTCAGAATCCAAGGGTTCCCCAATTCGTTCCCTTTTGGTTTCCCTTTAGAACCAACCAACGAAGGCTCCCCCCCCGGGAAAAATAACATACAACAAATAAGCATTGTTTACATTCTCTCTCATATGTAGTTTACAAAATATAGAACAACTTTGAAAGAGACCCCAGTACAGCAGGAAACCAGGGATTGTCCCTTTAGTCCTTGAATGGTGGCCTGGTTGCTGATCGAAAGCAGATTCCCTTGGTATGATTAGTGAATCTTACTTGCTTCCCCTAAAGACCATGGAGTGTGTCATCGCAGGAACTTATTCCTGGCATCACTGAACATGGTGCACAACCCACAATCGCCCGAAACCCATGAAGCTGGTTCTACCCTTACAACCCAAATGTGCCATGGTCAAATCTTACTTGCTTCCCCAGGCCATGGCAAAAAAACAACGGATCCCTGGATTTTGCCGGACCACATCCTGAGCCAGAGCCATGTTCCCAGACATTTGCCAGACCTGGTACTTTTCCCGACCTGGTCTCCAGGCCGGAACCGAAGCACAGAGATGGCCCCGGGGCGGTCACCCGCCCTTTTGGATCCCCAGCCGGAAAAAGGAACGACGCGTTTTGATCTAAAAACTTGAAGTAATTGTCGACCCCGGATTCATAAACCCCGGTGTATTGATATGGGGGTGTTGCCGGTTTTGGTGGGGATTTGTCACTTTTGGAGAGAAAAAACACCACCATATTCATAAACCGGGGTTTATTAATCCGGGGACAGCATTAAAAGGGAACCCTCCCTCCAAAACAATCAGATGGCACTCCCAGCCCCCGGAACTCCGGAACTCTTCCGCCGCTCCGAACCCCAGAGCCGATGTCCATAGCCTTCAGCTGGGAAAATGTGTGTGGGGGGGGGAGGGGCTTCTCAAAAACGTGGCTCCCAAAAACTGGATCTAGGGTGTTTTGGTCAACCTTCAACTGCCAAAAGAAAATCCGAAATCCATATTGAGAAGCGCCGTTCGTGGAGACTTCGGGAGCCGTGTGCGGGCCTCCACGACAGTTGCCTCCACAGATCGCGTCCAAAGCTGGCACTCGCTAAGGCTGAACTGCACGGCAGAGCAGCCGAAGGTTGACAAGCACAAGCTCTTGCCTCACGGACAATTTACCGGGCGGAATTTTGAAACCTTGAGACCCAACCACCGAAAACGGGAAAACTGGGGAAAGCAATGGCCAAGTCTTGGCATGGCTCCGTCTTTTTTGGGGGAAGCCCTTTTTCGGGCTTGTTCAAAGGAAACCGGGAAAAAACACAACACGCATTCTCACGGGTTCCCAACATTTGCAGCCAACTGCACATCGCATACAACACCCACAGTTCAAACACAACACTGGGTCAACTCGATTGTGAAAAGAGCACAAAAACAACAGCTGCGAACAATTTGCGGCTCGGCTGCAAGCTTGAAGGCTGGCAGCCTTGTCGGGACCCACTGCCGAGAAGTAGCTGGCGTCCAAATCGTTGGAGTCGCTGCCGCGACAGGCGCGACCCTCTCCGCCATGCACTGGCACGAAGGCATCGAGGAGCTCGTGGGGGTCGAACTGTCCGAAGCGCAAGCAAAGCGACCCGGGCTGCGCGACGGTGGACTGAATGCCACCAAGTCTTATCCACACTTTGCAAGAAGTCTTGGTATATTCAATGCCCTTGCAGTCTGGCGTGGCTAAGCAGCGATCCTTGCACTCTTCAATCGAGGGGCCTGCAGCCCAGGTGTGGTCGTAGACTTCATAGTAGCTAGGCCAATCGTCGGACGCATGCGCCCCACGGCAGGACCTATCAACACCTTCGTCAGCCTCAACAAAGGGCTCGTATCTCATGCAGGACGTGCCTTGCGAAACGGTACTCGCAGCTACGGCCGTGGTCCAAACCGCGCAAGACGGCGACGTGTGCTCGATTCCTCTGCAGCCTGGGTCCTGCATACACTGGAGCTGGCAGCTCTGGAGAGATGAGACCTCCGTCGCATAGCTGGACAGAGTTGCGCCGCTCGCTGCACACGAACGTTCGCTCAAGCCATCGGCCAATCCTTGAAAAAAAGGATCCCTTGCTGGAACTTACACTGTTGATGGGATTTGTACACAAATCGCTATAACTCCAACAAGTTAAAAGGGTCAGGGAACCGTGTTGCTGGGAACCGCCAAGAATCGGAAAGGCTCGTATTGAAGACAGGTCAAATCAGGGCTTGTCGCTGTGGTCTCGATGCCCTGTGGCCGCGTCCAGACTTGACATCCATAAATGCTAAATTGGATGCCGCGGCAGCCAGACGTCTGCGCACAAAGAATCTTGCCTCTGACTTTGCCAGGCAAAGCGTGTAGGAAAAATATACCAACACTTGACCCATTTGGAAGGTAACTGTCATCCAAACAGCAGGCAGCACGGTTGGCCCCCCTTGTTTAAAACATGCTGAAACTGAAATTGCTTTTTGGGGACCAGAGTTTGATTGTGCAAACTAAGATTTCTGCCAATCCAGGCAAGTTGCATTCACCCAAAGTGGCAACGTCTGCTGGACTATGAAAGATGTAGTAGCTCGCTTGTGTGTCTGTCAAAGTCGCCCCGCGGCAAGCGCGACCGGCACCACCGTCGATCGCCCGAAAAGCGTTGGCCGAGGAAAGGGTCTCGCGCATGGACTGTTTTCCAAGCCTTGCCAAAAAGGAGCACCCGTTTCAGAACGAGACTTTTGCGTCTACATGATGATGTGGGCTCAACTAAAAATGACAATGATACCAGGCGGTGAAACGACCTACTAGGAACTACCTAGGCCTCACTAAACTGGGTGTCTCTTTTTTTTAGGAATCGGACCCTTCAAAATGGCCAACCGCCTTCCGCTTTGGGTTCCTAAGAACCACCCAGCAACCACACCCAAATGGTCAATGAGAGGTTTGGGCGCGGGGGTCAAGTCCCCAAGCCAGGAAAACCCTCACTTCCGATTAGGTGGATGGGCCAAGCAAGTAGCCAAACTTTTTATGATTACCACTAAAATGGTGCAAGCCGAAAAAAGAAGATAATGCCCGGAACTTCTGGAGTGACCTGAACAGTGCCAACACACAAATGCCATGCTTGCCAGCCGTGGCTCATGCTTCAAAGCCAATGGGGACAGAAGGGGGTTTGCTCGGTTGACATATTTGACATAGTGGACCAAAAGAGCTCTTGTATTTTGACTGGTATGTGCGGTGTTGTTTTTTCAATATCCCTGGGTTTGTGTGAAGTTTCTTAACCCGTCAAAAAATAATAATAAAAAAAATCCAATGTCCATCTGCCGAACTATCAACTGTATTTACGGCGCAGAAGTCGAGAAGGATAATACTGTGTACACCTAAACAGGAATGATGGAAAGCAAACACTTTGAAGCGCTTCAAAGCACTTTTGGATATAAGGCTCAAGATTCAAGATTCCCAGGACAGATCTTGAATCTTTCCAGTATGCGACCCTCCAAAACGCTTAAGGACGGCTTTGGATCGCATCGAAGCCCGGGCGCCGTAAGCAAATGGCCCCAGGCTGGTGCGTGGTGGTCTGCAACGGTGAAGTCCACACACGGCAGCGGTAGGTCATGATGCTGTACTGAACACCTGCGGGCACAGAGGGAGTCCTGTTCAAGAAACCATCCGGTTGGTTCGGGTATGAAGGGGGGGGGGGGCTGGTTGAGAGCCCTAGCGTATCTTGGGGTGTCTGTGTCTTAGGTTGGTATGGTATCCCAAAAAAACGGCAGGACACGGCCACTTGCGCGTCAAAGAAACATTGTCAATCTCCATCAGGTCGAAGTTCTACTTGGGCACGGGCCAAAATTGAGCTTCGGACCACCAAAATGGCAGTTTTCCTCGTGGCTTCCATTAAACACACTCACACACACACACACACGACTAAAAATGGACCGACTTTGGAGAACAAAACAAACAACTGATTCTGTTGTCTGGTCTACCTCATGCCCCAGAAGCGAAAACCGAACAAAGGAAAACGGGGACCTGAACATATTTAGTCCACAAAGAGAAACCTTTCTCCATGTCAGATTCTCGTTCATGGGGCTGCTTTTGTTTACAGGGAACCACTTTTGGCATTGCTCCAAAAGGACACCAACCATGATCCCATGTTCAGACAAGCAAACCGTTCATTGGACCCAACAGAAAATCTCAGATTATTTCGGGTCTCCGCAAAAAGCCGGGCCGAACAACTCGTAGTTTCTTTTGGCTTCTCGGGTTTTTCAGGAGCGCCGAATTGGGTCTCCCCAGAAACCGGGCCGAACGCTTGGGGCGTCGCCTGTGCAGTTAGGGTTGGAGATGCAGAGCTTCCGACAGGCGTCCAGGTTGGAGGCTTGCGCCTCGGATCTGCGGATCTGCGGATCTGCGGATCGGATCGGATCTGCGGGCGGATCGGATTGGATCGGGCCGATCCAACGTGTGATTGGACCAAAAAAATCGAAGACGACACAAAGCAAACAAGGACGACATAGCCATGTTGTTTCCTCATTTTTGGTGTGCATTGTCATCATCATATGTGTCGCTTATTGGGGGGGGCACAGGTCTGCAGCTCCCCATCCTCCTGGCCCCGAAAAGGTGTGGGAAACCTATCCGGATCTGAAGCTTCCAGCGGGAGAGGCTTCTCAGAGTTCATGTTTTCCGGCAAAGAACCTCGCGGCTCTCTATTTGCCCTTCAGACATCGGCCAAAGGGAACTCGCTTTAACTTGGCCAGACAGATGTTGAAAACCATCCGAAAGGGGCCAACGACTGAGAGGCTTTCCGCGCTGGTCCTCGTTCTCTGAACTGAGTTGCTCTTTCCTAAGCCGACCGTTCCCAGCTGTTGCAGGCATGGGAAACCGAGGCGTTTCCGGAAGGTGTAAAGGGACTTTCCGGTCACGCCAAAGCCATGTCTATAGCCAACTGGATCCCTGGATCGGGGTGGGTCCTAAGCTGGCGGATCCCCCGAGTGTAAGATGGTCTTCAAACGACATCGCGGGCAAATTGTCACATTTGAGGACCTAAATTGCTGGTGCTCAGTAGGGAATGACGCGGGGTGTCGGGAATGAAACCAGGGGTTTTCTTAATTGAAACCACAAGGATGGTTTATAGGGGTCATTCCCTCGTTCCCTGCTGAGAACCAGCAACTAAGAATTGCTAGGGTTCTTTTTGTTTTTGAAAAACAAACACCATAATTAATATCGGCGAATGGAACAGGCCATGCTGCGCAACGGTTCCAACATCAGTGGTACTGTATGGTTGATTCGAGTATACCTTGAAATAGGCGACCAAAAGGAAACGGTGGGGTTTTCCTCTCATTTTTTATTAAGCGACGTCCAACAATGGCAATGACTCCTCTTCACGGGCACAACCTGGCCATGTCCTAGGTCCTCCAGTAGAGAGGGTAGAATCAGGGTACCAATTTTTTCCGTAGTCTGTTTTAGGGGAACCCTCCCAACCAAAAAAGAAACGGGTGAGAAGGGGCACCTAGCTACCTCTGGGTTCCGATGAGCTCAAAATCCTATCTTGGGCATCTGTGGGTTGTCCAGAACATGGACCCCTTGTTGGACCCATTTTCAAGGTGGGCCCCACATTAAATAAACCATGGCCCAAAAAAAGTACCTGCATTTTCGACCACCCGTCATGCGCACAAAACATGTTGCCCTAAGGAGCTACCAAAACCGGAAATTAAATCTCCGGAATCGCGTGAGGGACCTTTTTGGCTTTTCACAAAAAAACCGGCCCCCTGAAAAGCAACTTCATCTTTGATGCGGCGGGCCAAGGGCGCCCGGGGTTAAGCCTTCAGGGAACCGCTGGTGGAAAAAATCGTGAACAAAAATCGCGGTGTTTGTGTTGGAGGGTAACGATTCGAAGTTTGCGCGGGTTCCAAGGTGAACCAAAGGAAGAAACGTGACCATGTTTGGGTTCCCCTCCGTTTCAAGGCACGATGGGTTGTCAAAGATGGGTTCCCTTGTTGGGCCATTTATGTGGGGCCCGCCTGGCAATGGGGTCCAACAAGGGGTCCCAGTATTTTTGACCCAGCACGCCTAGGTCCTCCTAGTAGAGAGGTGAGAATAAGTTGGTACCCTATTTTTTTCGTAGTCTCTTGTAGTAGGTGAACCCTCCCAACCAAAAAATGGTAGAAGGGCACTAAGGCGCTAGACACCCATTGCGGAGAGTTGCGGGGCTGTGCTCGACGTAGTACTCCGTCGACACGTCCTGCGGGTGAAGCCCGGCGCAGGCCCGGTTCTCCGCCCCGTCGAGGTCCAAAAACGGCTCCAGGCGCTGGCACACCGAGCCTCGAGCACTCAGAGACCTCCATTCGCTGGGGCCCATTTTCCCTCTAGGTCCTCCAGAGAGGTTAGAATAAGTTGGTACCAACTGTTTTTCTGAATCCTCTATTTTAGTAGGGGAACCGAATCTCCCAACCCAAACAGGGGAGAGAAGGGCACTGGGGGACCTAGCCTACAAGAATCAAAAAGTTCAAATCCAGATCCAAACCAGCAAGGGCAACTTGACCAATTGCATACACGTCCCCGGGGAAAAAATAAGAATATGTCCAGTGATAGATTCTCTTGAAACCAACGGGGTATATAAGACATATACTCTTAAGCAAATGGGTGTAGTTTCACCAGGGCCTCCCTGAAAAAAAAATGTGCAAAAGAAGAAGGACAACCCGGTTGTTCCGTGATCCTTTTAGAACCTTTTAGCCATGTCCTTTCGCTTATTCTTAGCAGGTGTGCGAAAAAGAAAGAAAGAAAGAGGGAACGGGGCAGCAGTTGCGTTGCTGGACATGCGAAACTGGGAGTTCCCTCGGTTGTTATGAAGTCCCATGTTACTATACATATTATTTTCCTGGCGAGGGATTTTACCGAGTCCCCTATGTCCATCCTACACAGACAGCTACCATAGTTTAAGACCACCCGTCAGTTGGCAAGTCTCAAGAACAGCTCACCAGCTCGCTGAATGAGTGTTTTTTTTTTCTGCTTCAGTTGACAACCAAATCTGACTTAAATACTCAGAGTATGGCCATCATCCTCAAACCAACATGGCTCAGGCTGAGTGGCTACCCACCTTGAGAGGTCCGGCCTGGCTCCAAATACTTTAGTATGTGTTTTTTTTTTTTTTTTCTCGGTGTAATGTAAACCCCATGTAAACCGCTGACAAAACAAGGAAGTATGCAATTACCATGACAAGCACACAAAGATGGCAAGCCGCAATGAGGATGTTTCATCAAAACCTACTCATCCGTCTTGCCCGGGTTTGGAACACTCAAATCAAGATACCATCCGCGGTTTGCGACATTGGGCTATGAGGCACTTCGGCTCATTCCCAGCAAAGCAAGGAGCCAGACATCGCCTTTCGCCTTTCTAGAGGAATCTCCTTCTGGGGGACATGCTGAGTTGCAGACGGAGGGCACTTGAATGCAAATCTCAAAACCAACCTTCCATTTGGTTCAGGCCCAAATGGAAAAAATGCTAATATTTCCAACAAGGGAGAATAAAACACATTCTGAAGCAAATCAAGGGCAACAAATACGTCGAAAGATGTACCCAACAGTCGCGGAGCTTGTCTTCTCCACGGTTGCTTCAACGCCCTGAGGACGGACCCAGAGTTGGCAGGCGCCGGTCGCGGAGTCGAAGGCTATGCCCTTGCACGGCATCCCCAACATATCTGTCTCGGCGTGCTGCACGCACGCGTCTCGGCACATCAGGACGGACGGTGCCTGGGTCTGCACGTAATACGCGGACTGCACATCGCTGCTGTTGGCCCCGCGACAGTCTCGATTCTCACCTCCATCTATATCTCGAAACGGCCTGTAGCTGTAGCAGCTCGCATCTGGGTTAGGAATCGCAGACAGCTCGCCAGATCCCAGCCAAAGCGTGCAAACAGCAGAGCTATATCCCACGCCACGACAGCTCGGGGTGGCCATGCACCTCATCTTGCAGCTCTCCAAGGACAGTGAGCCGCGTTTCAGAGAAGTCAGTCCAGCACCCTGGCAAGTGCCTGACCCCCCATTCAGCGCCACAAAGGCGCTGTTGTCGTCCCAGACGTCGTTGGGACCCATCCGCATGCACAGCGAGCCCTTGGAGTACGAGGTGCCCTGGATGCCGCCCCTCCGTGTCCATACCTGGCAGTGACCTGAGTGGTACTCGATGCCCTTGCATCCTCAGCTTGGAGCTGGCTTGATTCCATGCTTCCACTTCTTCTTTTATAGAAACAGACATGTTGTTGTTGTTGTTGTTGTTGTTGTTGTTGTTGTTGTTGTTGTTGTTGTTGTTGTTGTTGTTGTTGTTGTTGTTGTTGTTGTTGTTGTTGTTGTTGTTGTTGTTGTTGTTGTTGTTGTTGTTGTTGTTGTTGTTGTTGTCCTTTTTAAGAAAAAAACAAAAACGCGTGCCCTTGCCTTGTCGGCGGATTTGGAAGGGACACCCTTCCCCCACAGTAAACCACACATGTGGACTTTAAACTCACCCCATGCTGAAACACAAGTTGGAAGAATATGTGGCCGCGGGTCAAAATCCAAATTGTACCCCCAGTGAACATCCCAATCCCCACTAAAAGACTAGAATGGGTGGTGCACCCGCCCCAAAAATGGGATCCCATTGGTTGTGACCCACGGAGCTCAGCGGTTGCAACTGGGCATCCGTCTGTTCGGACGCATAGGGCCTTGCAGGCGTCGATGCTGGGAGCTGTTTCAGGTCCATAGACGGTGTAGTAGCTGGGCCAGGTATCACGGGGATCTGCGCCTCGACAAGCTCGGTTGATTCCTCCCTCCACTGTCCTCAGAGAGACGCGTCCTTTATTTTTTGCAAACGGATTGGCGCGAAAATGTTCTTTTGGTTCAGTTGGAAGGGTTCCCCTTCCCCCCAAACAAGGTTAAGATGGTCTCGGAAGAAAAATAACATGTTCTTGGTCCTTGGTTGATTTTTGAAGTTGAAACCCTCGGCCAGAAATAGACTGAGGTGGTATCCCCAACAGCACGGAACCCTGCCGGAACCCTGGCCTGGTCTAGTACCCCGAAGCGTTCAGCATTTGAACAAGTGGAAATCTGGAAAGGGGCACCCCACTTTGTGGATCCGGTTGTCCTCTATGGTGACCAAGCGAACCACCCTTAAAAAAACCAAAAGGAACGTGGCTGGCTACCTACTATAAGAGTGGCTGGCATCCACTGGGCCTCATAAAAAGGAGTTGAATCAAGGCAAAAACGCCTTCTGTAGGTCGAAACGCCGAAACTTGCAACATTTGCAGCCAGGAGTCACAAAGGGCCGATATTGCCAACACTCCGCTCCAAGTGACGGAGCCACCGCATCGATTCCCTCCGGGCGTGTCCACACTTCACACCAGCCCCGATACTCAATGCCCTTGCAGCCGTGCGTTCGCCTGCACAAGTCTTTGCCTCAGACGCGGAGGAAAAAGAACATGTGCTGTTCTGCAGTTGACAAGTTTAGGTTTTCAAGGGAAAAACCCCTACGGACAAAAAACAACTGCTGGAAATGGTTGCTGCTTTTGCTACTGGTTGATTCTTAAGGGACCCCCCCAAAGAACAAAGGGTTCTGAACCACTTTGTGTCTAGGTTGCATGCATCCAGAGTGGGTGCAACGCTGGGCGAGTAGATTGCATAGTAGCTCGCTTGCGAATCATATATATTGCTCCCGCGGCAAACACGATCCGAGAAGCCGTCCTGGGGTGGTCAAACTGAGACCTGCAAAAAGCATGCCCACGGATTGAAGTCATCTGCAAGTTTGAAAACAAACTCACCCTGAAACCATGGAAAATGCCTTCAGCAGGGGTGAGCTCTGCAGAGCTCCTACAATAAGGTGTCCGTTTTGGTCACTTCAAACGTTTGACCACGAATGAACATGTGCTTTGGGTGCGTCTTTTTTCAAGGGATCCCCCCAACATGATAGCACTCCTTTTGGTTTCCCTTGAAAAAAGCACAAAAAAGGGCACCCTCAAGAAAGACAGATCTATCTCGGTCATTTCGGGAGCAGCCAAGCATCCAGCGTCTGAAACGGCTGGTAGCGCACACACATCCGCCCAGTGGACGGCACCGAGGCTTTGACCCCTCCGGGCAGTGTCCACACCTCGCAGGCGCCCGAGCGGAACTCGATCCTTGGCCAGCGTCCCGAGAAATCGGGGAGATCGGGGGCTGCACAAGAATTCCCCTCCCTTCCTTACCCCCGGGACTGAGATCGTGATTTCAGGGTTGCCCACTTTTTTGTTTGCACATGTCGGGGCACTTCCATTTGGTTAAGGTTTCAGGGGAAAATGCGAAAATATGTCCAGTGATGAATTACTTTTGAGACCAACAAGGGAAAATAGACAAAGATATTCATTTCAGCAAATGGAGGCCTCCCGTGCACTGACATGGAACTTGACTGAGGGGTCCTAGAAGACGATTTTCCTTTAACAGGGACCCTCTGGGAGGTTCCATGTTGGTAGACAGGAGGGTACTAACCTCATGTTCCCATGGTCATGACTTGTTTCAGTTTCATGTTACCACCCAAATCGATTTTGAGCATTTAGACCAACTTGTAGGCTTGCTGATTCTCAAAGAATCAATAGGGATGTTGAGAATGAACTGATTGGCATACCTGAGGGCGACCCCTATGAACCCTAGAAAATCGTTTGTTTGCTAGCAAAGGAAATATGAAGAAATCACCAAATGACGCGGAACGAAAGGGCCCCAAATAATGGGATATCCGGAACACGAAACGAGACCCCCCCCCCCTCCTTGTCCCTTCAAGTGGTCTCTCAAAACCATGACGAAATCTACAAACGCGTCAAACCACACAATTGCCACCAAACATCACCAACTCACACTAAAGAAAGACACACACACACACAAAGCAACAACAAGAACATCAACGCACAGAAGAAACACCCCACCCCACCCAGCAAGAAGAAAGACGAGTAAATGGACACCACCACACCCCACACCCCACCCCACACCCAAAAAAAACAAAACAAAAGGGGAAAGAAAGAGACAACACCACAAATGACACACAAGTCGCCTCCTTTTGCTGCGCCGGATCTGCTTTTCTCTCGTTTGTATTTGGCCATGGGTCAAAATCCCGTACCCCCAGTGAACATCCCAATCCCCACTAAAACAGACTAAAATGGGTGGTGCACCTACCCCAAAATGTGATCCCATGGGTTTTGACAACCACAGCCATGATTCTTTTCTCCGAGGTGCCCTTTGCAGGCCGGGGTGTTCATGCACAAGTTCTGGCACGCGTCCATGGAGGAGTTCTCAGGCCACGCCTCGATCGTCCGAGTGTCGGGTGGTGGCGGGTGGAGCGGCCAAAAAAATCACCCATGGGAGTTGAGCGCCCGGTAACCCATGAAACTACATGTCCGGTAGGAAAAAAAGATCGATTGCGAAAAAGGAACTTAAGATTTTGAAACAGCATCCAGTAGTGAAACCAGGGGTTCTTTGATTGAAACTGAGGACTTCCACTTGCTTAGGCTCCCTGGGGAGAAACAACAACATGTCCAGTAAAGTCGATTCCCTTTGACAACCAACGGGGAATACACAAAATATTCATTTCAGCAACTGGAAGAAAACAAGTAAACAAGCTTGTGTTGTTTTCCACCAACATGGTCTTCCCAACTGACTAAAGTCTAGGAACTCCTTGCCACTGAAATCCAAAATGGTCCAAACCCGAAAAGTGACTAAGGTCCGAAACGGTTCTCCGGAAGTGAGACACTGCAAAGGACACCAACAACTTTTACCAACGCTCGTCTTGCCGCACTTCCGATCGACCGCCAAGAAAAGTCGAACTATTTGTTGCCACTAACATGGTCCGAACTCAAAGGCTAGTTCTTGTGGATGGACCAAATGAGTGGTTCTCAAAACAAGAGAGTACACTTTCCCCAAGGGGTCCTGTTGGTTTCTTTTTGAAACCATACCATATGTGTCTTGTTTCAGGGGACAGCCAGCGTGGTAGCTTCCTTTTGGTTACCCTTTGAAACCAATAAGAAAAAGAGGATTCCCCTATGTCCACCAGAAAAAGACCCCTATATGTGCTTCTCTCTTTCGGGGATCGGCTTTTTTTGGGTTGCTTTGAAGGGGGACCAGGAAAGAACCTGCTGCCAGGGCCCCCAACAGGAGGCTGTTCCAGGCAAACCAAAGGGAGGTCACCCATTTTATTTGTTCCCCTGACACACAGTCGGGTCGAGAGGCCGTGGACACGAAGAAGTGGCTATCCAAGTTGTCGTAGATGTCGCTGCCTCGACAAGCGCGATGAATCCCTCCATCCATTGGTCGGAAGGCGGAGACGGCGGGATCCTGAGCATCACATTGGCATCTTTTATTATTATTCTTTCGGGAAGCCCTTGCTCACATGGCCATGGGTCAAAATCCCGAACCCCCAGTGAACATCCCAATCCCAACTAAAATAGACTAAAATGGGTGGTGCACCCACCCCAAAATCGTGCCAAAACGGTTTTGACCCGCAGCCATACGTTTGCCTCCCCATTCTTTTCAACCATCGTTGGTCTCAATCACCAGCCCTCTCGGATGGCGGATGGCAAAATCATGGGTGATTGATTGTGGTCTAGAAGCAAGGATTACTGAATGTTTTAGCTACCACCAGACCACCATCCAGGCGGTTTCACCTAGAGACAAATCCAAGCAACCCGCGAACATCAATGTGCGCCTCAAAGACTACACACCCTGACAAGGTCCTCCAGTAGAGAGCCTAGAATAAGCGTACCTTTCCTTTCTCTGAATCGTCCATTTTTGTAGGGGAACCCTCCCCCCCCCAAAAAACAAAAAAGGAAAAAAGGGCACGATCCTGGGGGACCTAGCTCACCTTGGATGGTTTCGACCCGCAAGCCAGCGCTCACACTTGGGGATAGTCGTTTCGGGTAGGGAAACCATCTTAGACCATAGCTCCAAAAGCAGCAACGCTTCGTATGTGTCAGTGAATCTTGAAGACATTTGCACACAGACGCAAAAGAAGAAAACTTGCTGGTGCTCAGCAGGGAATGAGGGAATGACCCTTATAAGCCATCTAACTGGTGGTTTTCTTTAAGGGCACCCCTGATTTCATTCCCTCATTCCCTACTAGGCACCAGCAAAATAAGAAAACCAAAAAGTACCACTGGACAACTGAAGGTCATACATAGGATCGATGACGCCATAGCGCAGGCACATGGATCCTGGCCAGGTTAAATGGATCCAGCTGAACAAAATCTGCGACATATGGCCATGGGTCAAAATCCAAATCGTACCCCCAGTGAACATCCCAATCCCCACTAAAATGGACTAGAATGGGTGGTGCACCTAGCCCAAAATGGGATCCCATTCGTTTTGACCCACAGCCATATCGAGTCACAAGGGTGCCCTGCAAGCAAAAGATGCCTAGCTCTGCACTGAGGTTGGAAGCTCGCTCGGTTTTGCTTTGCCCGACGCAATGAATTTGATTCGCACACTCCTGCCTCTGACACCGCCGGAAATTGTTGCAAGCCTTACGATGCACTCCCCTTCCCTGAAAAAAGGGTTCCTACACCTTTTTGGGAACTTTCTTTGTAGACTCCACATGTTTCCCCTCACGTCTTTAAACAGCACCCAAAGAAAGACGAACAGGAGTTCCTGACCTGGTCCAACTCGGGCGACGCTTATTAAGCCGAATGCTAACTGGGATGAATCGACTCATCCCGAGCCATTTGCAGGCTGGCTTCGTGACTACCCTCCAAAAGTTCCTTGGAACCTGACGTTCGGGACCCGCCCCCTTTGCCAGGAGAATGGCCCAAGCCAGGACCGATGCCCCGACCGAACGTCCAGTTTCAGGTTTGGGGGGTGGGAGGGTAAGAGAATGACTGGTTTTAGCGGATCCGTTGTTGGTACTGCGAATATATCCGAAGCTGGAGGCCCAACAAACCCCGAAGTTTTCCAGGCGAAGAAAACCCAAACCAATCAAACATTGCAATGCCTTTCCTTCACAAAGCACACAGCATCAACTGCTGAACAGGCATTTTTGTTCATGAACAAAAGCCAAAGGGTGTAATGCAAACACACAGGAAAGAACGTGACGTTCTTCACCAAGAAAGCAGCAGGAAACGCCGAAAGAGGCGTTGGCTATTCCCACTCAGACAACAATAGAAACCACTGCGCAAGCTAAACGGGCTCTTTCGGCATTCCTTTGTGTTTCTGGGTAGGAATGTTGCCCTTCATTAGCTAGTTGGGTTTGTCTTCTTCTTTTGTTTCCCTTCAAAACCATCAAGCACGGGGGGTATCAGCGGAGGTTACCCCCAGCTTTCAGTGGGTTTTCTGAAAGCTCAGATGCCCAGTGGCCATGGTTCCGAAAGAAAGAATCGGCATCCTTCTTTGGTGGGTTGAGTTTACAGGGGAACGCAAAGCCAAAAAAGGGGGGAATCCACTGGGCGGGGAATCCACTGGGGCGGGGCTCCGAATTAGGGGCATCCTTTTTCGGTGAGTTGAGTCTTTAGGGGTCGTGAAGCCCAAAAAAAGGGGGGTGGGGAATCCACCGGGCGGAAAATCCACTGGGCGTCCTTTTTCGGGGAGTTGGGTCCAAAGCCAACCAAAAAGAGGAAAAAGGGCAATTGTGGGCAACTGGGTTGTGAGATTCTGTGCTCTAAGCCATGGCGGGAATCAACCCAAAGCCCAAAGGAAAGGAATCCACTGGGCTGGGAAACCACATTCCCTTTTCGCCGTTTGTAATCCGATCGACTCCCTCGCCTGGCGAAGACTTCGAGGCTTGGATGCCCTGGGCACGAATCCACACTTTGCCTGGGACGTCGCCAAAGGCCCCAAACGCCCGCGTTGCAGCAGAAAGGCGACCCGTCTTTTTCTCTCTTTTTTTTTGGGGGGGGAGGGGGGTAGACCAAAACATATTTGTTTGAGACCCACAAATCGTTGTTTGAATGCCAAAGGTTGTAGGGTAGACCAAAGGATCGCTGTTTGAATGCCAAATATTGTAGGGCATGTCCAAAAGTCTGGTCAATCATTTGTCTGGAATAGAACATAACGCCAAGTACTGTCCAAAAAGCAGAAGTTGGGGGGCATGGAACCTCACCTTGGAGCTTCCAGAAAAGGGGCCTCAGCTCGAGGCCTAGCTCCCCCCCCTCCTCTCTCCCCCTCAGCCCCCGTGAAAATCCACCAGCCCCAAAGTCCAAACTTCGATTTGTGGAAATACGGGTTGCTCACGGAGATTCGCAATAGAGGACTGATACTGATCGAGGGCGGTAGCCCTCTCCTACGCCGCAACCAAAACCAAGAGGCAATCTGACAATCTTTAATGGGCCTGTATCGTGGAACCCCTAAAATGGTAACGGTGTGCTTTTGTGTTCCTCTAAACCCATCACAAAAGGGTTCCTCGAAAGAGTAACACCCATTGATCGGACAAAGGGCATGTCAAAGGACCCTAGGCCCCTGGTTTCCCTGCCGTTCGTATTTTGACAGCTTCTCGGGGTTTTCAGGCTGGTTCCCTTTAACCTACCACTTTTGGGGCGACTTTATCTAAAGGCCAGTTTTCCGGATGGGCGTCATTGGTTCCCTAAAAATTCAATGTAAGATTGCATTTGTCAGCTTGCCCTTTGAGGGGCCTCAATGAATTCTAACAAATGGCTTCCATTGGAATGTCTTGCTGGTGCGATAGGCAGGGAATGCGAAATGGAATGACCCTTATCAACCATCCAACTGGTGGCTTCCTGTAAGGGGACACCCTTATAAACCATCCAACTGGTGGTTTCCTTTAAGGGGAAACTGGTGGTTCCTTTAAGGGGACTAAAGCCTGGGTTCGTTCAACCCCATTCCGTGCCGATGTTGCACCGATCGCAAGATGTTTCACGCATCGAAGCCCCACCGAAGCCGACGGATTTTCGCAGCAGGTTGCATCCACTGCTGGAAAAGGCGATGCCCTGGCACCGAGTATCGCTGACGCACTGCACTTTGCCTCAGATTGCCATGAGGAAAAGAGAGGGTACGCTGTGGGCCCTAGTTGTTTTGCGTATGAAATGGTTGCTTTTGCAGACGTGCAAACAGGTTATTTCAAGGCAAACCAACTGACTCAATACCAATCCGCACCTCAACAACTCCAAACATGTTAAAGAGTATAACTTTGATGTGATCATATCTGTAGGGTATAGGATAAATTATATTTTGGGTACAAAGTTCAGAAAATGGGCAACACAAACATGAAAGCAACCTATAACACAAGGTTATACCATTGATAAATCAACAGTTGAAACTGACCCAAATCGTTTGATTGAAGTTATATCTCAATTAAAAAATACTGCCCAAACATAAAATTAATCATAATTAATTAGAGTTAATCATAACATTCTTATATACTTGGTTTTCTTTACAAAGATATGATCAACAAAGATTTCCAAGTACAAATGCCTCAAGTGATATGGATATATCTATAGAAATTTCATAACAATATATTGAAAACTTAAATTAACCCTAAATAATAGTACAGAAGCACCTATGCTCTTGCTGTGCTGTAGACAGTACATTAACAATGTGTTTCATATGTCTTTGGTCAAGAACTATATCCTTGAGAACAACTTCTCACTTACTATATTTTGTCATTAAAAGTCATCACGGGGTAGGTCTTGCTGGGACAAAGATAGCTCAGGAACTTGATGCAAAATGGTATATGATTAAATATTTCGTTGATGATGATGTATTTTTACAAAGAAAGAAGCATAGATGGTAAACAAGTTTTCTCAAACATAGAATGAATGAACACATATGTTCTTCAAAAGTTGACCCTTTAGTTATAGCATTGCCCAAATCAGCTAACTCAACTATTAAAAAATGTACAAGCATTTACAAAGATTTAGAAAAATATTTAAACGAACAAAGATAATTTCACCTCTAGATGCTCTTCAAGATTAGAGTTTTACAGCTTAGGCCTGTTTCACTTTATGGCTTACTTTCTAGAGACTCGACTCTTGACAAATCATTTATTTTATACTTTATTGAGGAGAAAAGAGTCCTTACAGGGGCAGGGGGGGAGTATTGGCTCTGAAATTGTTGGGGAATGAACTAAGTATGCAGCTAAGCAGATAATTTTACTCGATCATAGTGAATGTCCTTTATACAACAAGTCTGAAGAATGTTCTCTTTACAATTTAAATAGCAATTCATGTTCTGTTTGTGACTTAGAATTATTACACATGTTTTTAGTGATTTCTTTCCAGGTGTAGAGTTTCATGCAGCAGCTTACAAACATGTGCCTTTAGTTGAGGAACATATATCAAAGACCACTACACAATATTCTGGGAACTACAAATACTATTGATTGGCTACTCAAGCTAGTGTTGAATCATTTATTCTTATTTCTTCAGATAAGGCAGTTAGACCAACAACAAATGTTATTGATCAATTTTAGACGTTTTCTAGATCTAGTAGCTAACATTACATGTGCATGAGGATTACCATGATGTATAGAACACCGGAAAAACACAAAAACACACACACACAACTTCAGAAATCGAACAAACAACAACAAACAACAATCAACACATTTTTGCAGAGCACATTACTGGTATACCCTGTCATCTCTCCTAGAACTTTGCTTTTTTTTTTGTGCCAGCAGTCAGGGATGTATAGAAACCGAAAAAGATAACAACAAAAACAACAACTCGATAAATCGGAAAAACAAGCCAACTAACCAAGAAAACCATTTTTGTAGAGGACCTTACTGGTATACCCTGTCATCTCTGCTATAACTTTGGCTGATTTGGTTCTTTTGGCTTTTTTTCCGATTTCTCGAAGTCTTTTTCGGTTTGAGGCTTCTAGTTAAGTAGAACCAAGCATCTCTCCTAGAGCTTTGTTTTTGTTTTGCTTATTTTGGTTCTTTTCGATTTCTCGAAGTTGTTTTTGCCTTTCCTTTTTTCTGAGGTTTCTAAGTGGGTAGAACCAAGCATCCCTCCTAGATTTGCTTTTCCGATTTCTCATGGTTTTTTTTGGTTTGGGGTTTCCAAGTAGACAAATCACATGAAATCATGACAACAGCGCTTGGGTGCAAACACCCAGGGCCCAGGACGTACCCTTCTGGAGGAAAAAAGGCACTACCGGCTGTTGCAGGTTGATAAAGGGACGCACCCTCTTCTTTTGGGTTAGTTGATGGTGGGAAATCTGTTTGCCCCCGTGGCAACCAACAAGAGTCCAGAAAAGGGGCCCCCCATCTGCAAAACAAAAGGCTGCAACAAAATGGTGTTTCCTTTGCCGTTGATTACTTTTCAAGGGAACCCATACCCAAAAAAAATAAGAACATGGAAAAGCGGTGGATTCCACTGGCTGCGACTGGGTGACAATCTTCCAGATTGGCCGCAACCGCCGATACGTAATGAAAGCTGTTCGCATCGTCCTCACCTGGCCATCTCGACTTCCCCAACTTTTCGGCCGAGCCGCGTGTCTGAAATGTTGGCTATCCTCCATTTGGTTAAGTCCGCTGGGAAAAAAAACAACATAAATTCCAGTAGTGATGGCTTTCCTTTGACACCAACAGGGGAAAACAGAAAATATTATTATAAGCAAATGGAAGCTATGAAAGCAGGGGTCCGCGTGCGGGCCGAATAGTCAATTTTAAGTCGCTGTAAGGGATGGCTCATGGGAAAGGGGGGGAACGAAAGGAAGCTTAAAACCACCACAAATTGTGCTGGCCACAAGTAGGGGACATGCATTTGATGTCCACCAAAAAATCAAACTGGGCTGAAGGGATGATTCAGCCCATTACCTTTTTGGGCCGAGTTTCCTAGTTGGGCGATGTAGAAAGGGGGAGATATCGGACGATTGAAACTGAGACTTGGGGGGGTTCTCAAAACAGGAACTGGCCTGTAAATTGGCTTTTCTTTTCCAGGGCTCCTTAAAAGATACATCTTGGCCAATTGAAACATGGCTTTTTCCACCAAAATAAAGGGAACTCACCATTTACAAGGCAATGTTCAGGTGCATAATGTAGGGATCCCTGTTTTCGTTTCCCTTTGAAACCATCCAGAGGGTCCACCTTTTTTGAGAAGATCCCAGGGAGTGATGGTTTTCCACAAGGATGATAGACCTGTTATGGGGGTGAACATATTCACGCGTGCCTCTTAAGAAAACCTGGTCTAAGTCTTACCCAATTGATACCTTGTGCATGTCACTGACCAGATGTGTTTGTTGCCGCCAACCTGAGATTCACTTTCCCAGCACCAAAATCCCAAGTGTCCAAAAAGCACACGTTTTGCTCGGGTCAGTTTCCTAGGTCCTCCAGTAGAGAGGTTAGAATAAGTTGGTACCGACTTTTTTCTGTAGTCTATTTTAGTAGGGGAACCCTCCCAACCAAAAAAGAAACTGTGAGAAAGGGCACCTAGCTGGGGGACCTAGGTGTCCTTTTGTTGTATGTTCTGGGCTGTCCTCAGATCCCCCGCTAAGAGCTTAACTTTTAGTGGGGTAAATGGAAATCGCCACTAAACGCCAAAAAGCTAAAAAGCCAAGGGGATGGCTGGGAGCCACCAAGTGTTTCGTTCCCACCTGAGCCCCGGCAGTCTTTGTCCACTCCGCCATCCACCGCCACGAAGGGCTGATGGCTGAAGCACCTGCTGCCGCTCTGCGGGCGGCTGCTGAAGACCGAGGTGAAGACGTGGCACGTGCCATCGGTCCTTCGAGGGCAAAAATTGGAAAGGAGAGGCACGCAGTTCTTTTTGTTGCGCGGTTTGCTGATATCTATTTAGTTGGTTAACAATTCGACGGTTTAATGACTTGAAAATAAGTTCATATCTATTTGTTGCACGCTTTGTTAATGTCTATTTAGTTGGTTTATGTATGTTGCGTTCAAAACTCGACAGCTTTAAGGACACGAACAAAAATAAGTTGCATGTCAGAATCAGTCTAAACAACGTTAATCAAAGTGAAACCAGACTTAGCCTCTTTAATGCGTGCTTAAGTGGCAAGTGGCACCAAAGTGGCAACCATCCCCTCAGCGGCAATGGGCGTCCTGAGATAATTCGTCACGGATCATTAGTCATGTGCGCACCCGGAATAGTCAGTCCTTGATATCAAATCCGACCAATAAGCACTCCGCACATGTGCTAAATCTGGATGACTCCAGGTGTATCATTGCAAATTTGGTGCAAGGGCTAGATGTTAATTTCTGGCAGGCAACAGCATGGCGACGGAGCTGGACACCTGTCCCTTTTCAATAGTCAAGAGGCAACAACCATTTTCCAAGCCTCAACTAGGAAACAAGAAATGCACTGGAGGTCTAGCTTAGACTCAACCAGGGTTCCTTTAAAGGATGCATCAACAAGCCCAGCTGCACCACGAAGCTGGTCAAAGTGAAATATGTGTTTGCTCTAGCCTTTTCCATTTTCCTCAAGGGCCCCAGGGAAAATCGAGAAGCCACGGCATAGGATGTCCCATTCATTTCAACGTTCTTTTCAGCCACCGGCTGTTTCTCCGGTTTCTAAGATGGCTTCCTGCAAAGACTCGGATCCCTGAAAACGGGGAAGTTCGCCTAGGTCCCGCGTAGAGAGGCCAGAATAAGGGTACCAACTGTCCCAACTGCTTTCTGATTTGTCCATTTTAGTAAGGGAACCCTCCCAACCAAAAAAGAAATGGTAGAAAAGGGCACCTAGCTGGGGGACCTAGTTCGCCCTGGAACATCCCCCGTGCCATAAGCGGGAGGGGGATGGGGGGGTCCCCCAATTCCATTTGTCGAGTCTTCAGAAAAGGGACAATGGAACCATAAATGGAATGTCAGGGGTCACTTTTCTCCCCCAACTCCATTTTTAAGGGGTGGGGCATCCTGGAAGGATGGAGACCTTTTCGGCCCGTAAGGTCCTCAAGTTGATGCCGGTGCATCTTGCGGAATTCTCTCGGCACAGCGCCTCGCACTGCGCCAAGTTGGCGACCGGCGCCGCGATGGGATCGCCGCCCTCGCAGAGGCGGTCCTGCGAGCGCTGCGGTGAAGCTCCAAAAAGCTTTCTGCAGGCAACGGGAATTATAACTTGGTTGACGTTGGAAGGGGAGCCAAACATCAACATTTTAGCAGTTAAGTGGATTTGGATTTCAACCACCAAAACCACAATAAGCAAACATGTAACATGTTTCCCAACAACAACCATGATGGGCTCCAAGTTTTATTCATGGAATCGGTCCACTGCCTAAAATGGCGAGAACAAACTGGTCTTTCTTCGCATTTGAGCTGAGGGAAAAAAGGGAGGTGATGGTACTACTTGCATTTCTGCCTTCAGCAGTTTCTTGGTTTTAATACCTCCCGGTATCCATCTGTATTGATGGTACGATTTATGGAATGTCAGTGCCCTCTGTACTATTTCATTGAGAGAGTGTTTCTCAACACAGGCGTTCCTTGGCTGCAAATCCCAGGCTTCCTTCAACAGTGGCACCTGCGATGTATCATGGCTTGGGGCACCAGGGGTTGGTTCTTTAAACCACATTTTACCTCAAACCAACCAACCAACCAACCAACCAACCAACCAACCAGCCAGCCAGCCAGCCAGCCGAGCCGAGCCGAGCCGAGCCGAGCCGAGCCGAGCCGAGCCGAGCATAGCCAAGCCAAGCCAAGCCAAGCCAACCCCCACCAAGCCAGGGTGTGCCTTTTCGACTGAAATGAACAGCCTCCCTTGAAAAGGGTTTCTACACTACCAAAGGGGCTCTTATTTATCCCGCAAACAGTCGAAAATGCAAACCATGCTCACCAACCAACCAATTAACCAACCAACCAACCAACCAACCAACCAACCAACCAACCAACCAACCAACCAACCAACCAACCAACCAACCAACCAACCAACCAACCAACCAACCAACCAACCAACCAACCAACCAACCAACCAACCAACCAACCAACCAACCAGCCAATATATAGCCAAGCCAAGCATAGTCAAGCCAAGCCAAGCCAAGCCAAGCCCCAGCAACCCAACTCCTGGCTCCCATCGAAGTCGCGGAAGGCGCGGAACCGAAGGCACTTCGTCCCCAGCTCCGCCGCCGTGGCCGCCACTGGCTGCGTCCACAGCTGGCACTCCAAGCCGAACTGCACAGCGGAGCAGCCGGAGCTGGAGAGGCACAAGCTCTTGCCTCAGCGTCCAGTTTTTTTGGGACCAGTAACTCAGCTTTTTTGGGACCAGTTTTTTTGAACCTGGAAAAAACAGGGAACCACTCAGTTGTTCAGTGACCCTGGGGAAAAAAAAGGGAAAGGGTTAGACAATTTTTAGTGGGGCAGCCACCAACAAAAAAAAGGGAAAAAGGGTGCCACTGAACAACTGAGGTGAGGGACCCAACGGGTCCCACCCCTCAGCACCAGCTTGGGGCCCAATGAAACAACTCAAAGCGAAAAACGGAGTTGAGGGACCCAATGAGAAACCGAAAATGAAGCAAGGGGAAAATTCTTAGATGAGATTCTACCTTCATGTTCCGGTCCAAACTTTTCTGGGCTCTTCAAAATGGAGGCTTGGCCAATCCGATTTTCCATCATCCCTATGAAGCCACTACAAAGGGGCCCAAATGCCGAATTCCTTGCGTAACCCAAGGGAAGGATTAAGGACTGCAATTGAACAGCCCAGCTTTTAGATCCTACCTTCCTGTTCTTCCCAAACAAACGCGTGCCCACGTCAAGTAAAACGTCTGGCAAATGTCAGTCTGTAAACTGCGAACCCTATGGCGATAGCACGATATTTTTGGGACCCTACCCGAACCCTTGGGGAAACTGGGGTAAGCCAAGCCAACAAAAGCGCATGAAATGAATGAGAACACCAGCTTGCCTAAGCACACGGTGGGAACCACATCTCGTGGGAAGATGTGTGCTTTGTAAGGACAATTGTGGGTGAAGGTGGAGATTAGGAAAAACTGGGGCAGCTACAACACCTTGTGAACACTGAGTAAACCAAGGTCTTGCCTAAGCACGGAGACCCAACCCAGACCCAGGAAACATAACTGGGGATAACACACATCTTGCAAAGAACTGAGAAGCTGCAAGCTTTGAAGACTGGAGATATAGAACTCTTGGGATTTTTTAGGGGCACAACAAACAAACCTAACGTGAACAACGGGGTTTACTAAAACTCGCCTGGATTTTTGTCTTCTTGGGAGACTCCCTTGGGGCTCGAGCCTATCCTATCCAATCCTTCGGAATTTGTCGATTCTCTTCCATTTGGTTAAGGCCCCAGGAAAAAATGAGAAAATATGTCCAGTAGGGATGAGTTCCTTTTAAGACCAACAAGGGGAAACATATTAAGCAAATGGAGGTTCTGTTCAGGCATCTTTCGCGTCTCAGAAAATAGGCTTTCACCCCCTAGAACGATGGAGGAAGAGAATAGAAGTCCCGTTTGAACAAGAAGCTAACTTTTTTTGGTAACCGCAAAAACAACGGCAGCCGCGTCTCAAAACAGAACTGAATGTGCTCAGTTGCAAGCCTCCAGCGTGGCAGCCTTGTCGGGACCCACCGCAAGGAAGTAGCTGGCATCCAAATCGTTTGAGTCGCTGCCGCGACAGGCGCGGCCCTCTCCACCATCAACTGGTACGAAGGCGTCGAGGAGCTCGTGTGGGTCGAAGTGCCCAAAGCGCAAGCAAAGCGACCCAGGCTGCGCGACAGTGGACTGAATGCCACCAAGTCTTGTCCACACTTTGCAAGAAGTCTTGGTGTATTCAATGCCCTTGCAGTCTGGCGTTGCTAAGCAGCGATCCTTGCACTCTTCAATCGAGGGGCCTGCAGCCCAAGTGTGGCTGTAGACCTCGTAGTAGCTAGGCCAATCATCGGACGCATGCGCCCCACGGCAGGACCTATCCACACCTCCGTCAGCCCCAACAAACGGCTCGTATCTCATGCAGGACGTGCCTTGCGAAACGGCACTTGCAGCTACGGCCGTGGCCCAAACCGCGCAAGACGGCGACGTGTGCTCGATTCCTCTGCAGCCTGGGTCCTGCATACACTGGAGCTGGCAGCCCTGGAGAGATGAGACCTCCGTCACATAGCTGGCGGTGGCAGGTGCACCATCGCTTGCGCAGGAATGATCTGTCAAGCCATCCACCAATCCTTGGTGGTTCGTGGATCCCAATCTTCTAGTGGGACATGTCACAGATCCCTCTCAACTCCAAACTCTAAAAGTCGACCCTCCTGTCCTTTAACTCGGAACCCACCAGGTGCCTTTGAAATTAGTCTTCCAGGGGCCCTCTGTCAGGTTCAGAGTTAGTGGACAGGGAAAAAGTCTGAACTCAGGTATCCTGTGGTACACCAAGAATCGGAAAGGCTCATATCGAAGACAGGTCAAATCAGGGCTTGTCGCTGTGGTCTCGATGCCCTGTGGCCGTGTCCAGACTTGACACCCGTAGATGCTGAATTGGATGCCGCGGCAGCCAGACGTCTGCGCACAAAGAATCTTGCCTCGGATGCTCGACGGCTCCGGAAAGAATCAAGTTGAGAGAGCAACGGATTGCTACGGATGGACGAAATCCCTTCGCACCATGGGGAAACCATAAGGTTTGTTTGTATGATCGAATCATTCTAGGGCATCTTGGGTGCAGGATTTCGTCCATCCACAGTATGGACAGGACTTGTTGCTCACGTTTACAAGACGAAAATCAGTCCATCATTTACAAAACGGCCAAGTCGCATTCATCCAAAGTCGTCACGTCCGTTGGGCTATGGAAGATGTAGTAGCTCGCTTGGGTATCCGTCAAAGTCGCACCCCGGCAAGCCCGGCCAACACCACCATCCACAGGCTGGAAGGCCCCTGCGGTCAAAGCGATCTCCCCGATGGACCGCCGCCCAAGCCTTGCAACAAATAAAAAACACCGAGTCACAACGGCACGCCGGGCGAGTTTTTTTGAGGGGAGCCCCTAAAATGGCTGGTTTCCTTTTAAAACCAACCAAAAGGGTGGTGCCTCAAAACAAACACCCCCATGTACACAAAAATAAACCCACCCATCTGAACAAAGCACATGTGAGTCACAATCAAACCCCGGTATAAACATGGTCGTAATCCCAGAACCATGCTTAAAGAATTACGAAGGCGGATATCCGCAGCTATTTATGGTTGGGATTGTCCCTTACTAACCTTCACTTACTCTTTTCTATGCCAATGGAAAGATTTAAGGGTACAGCAGCAACCATGCGAAGGTTCTCCCACAGGATTTACTTTGGGCTTCACTCCCGCAAATTCTCAGCGAACATTTCTTTGGCGAGCCATTGGAAAACCTAGGGCGCAGTGGACCTGTAGGTGAAATTCTGCAGGAAGGGAGGTTGCACGACTTGAGCTGATTTGTGACTTGGCAAATCGCATCGCAGTTCCCCCACAAATCCAGTTTGCAGAAACCTGTTGCCCATGGCCTTTTTGGACACCTTGCTGGGTCAAAACCCACATTTTTCAGAGCTGAAGCACCATGCCCACGGGTGTGGGGAGGTCTTTTCGCCATGGCACATGGCTAGGTCCTCCAGTAGACAGGTTAGAATAAGGGTACCCTTTTCTCTGTAGTCTATTTTAGTAGGGGAACCCTCCCCCAAAACAGGGGAGAAAGGCACCACTGGGGGACCTAAATGGTCTTGGAATAGATCCAACAAATGGATCCGGTGTCCACTTCAACCCCCAGAAATGGAACCAACCACAAAAAAGCGCACCAGGAGCGGTCAAAAGTTACTGGCTTTCTCCCTTCAGGCATATTCCTTGAGCCCCTTGGCTTGACATTTGGTGATTGCCGGCATGTGCCCGCGCTCAAAAAACAAGGTGGAAAAGACTGACTTGGGTCTGTCCTCTTTTGATCGGTATCCCTTTCTTGGCGGAAAAGGGAAACCAAAAGCAACCCTTTTTTGCGCCATTTTCGGGGCCCCCAAGAAAATGACAACCCCTTTTTTGGTGGTAAAGGGACACCAACCGCAAAAAACCCGTTGCGCAATTTTTTGGGGGGTGCCACACCCACTCGAGACTTGGCACCCAGAGGTCAGCCCTCAGGTCTCTCCGAGCAGCCGCAGGCAAATGGCTCCAGGCTGCGGCACCGTGGTCTGCAGCGCGTGCGTCCAGACGGCGCACTTGCGGCTCACCGTGCTGTACTGCACACCTGTCGAAGCAGCCGCCCAAAAAAGGTCCACGGGGTTTTGGACGAGATCTTCCAACCCAAACTCTAGGGGTTGAAGTTCCTGTTCCATTCTTTTCCACCATCCGTTCTTTTCAAAAGCCGGCGGCTTGCTTTGGGCTCTTACGATGGTTTCCTGAAAACCAGGATCCCTGCTCGAGAAAAGCGGGTGGCCTGGTGTCAACCAAAGGGTCCCTGATTTTTGAGGGGGGGGCTTGGTGCCAACACAACTCTTTAGACCATCTTATCCTTTGGATCCCGAAAAAATAAACAAGTTTCGGGACTCGGCGGCCAAACGCACACGATTTCAAGGAAGGGGGATTCGGGAGGGGGGGTGGTTCTTTTAGTCTCCCGCTCCCTTTAAACACACCCAACAAGGCGACCCTCAAAAACCACACATACCCAAACGATGGTACGATGTAAGCCACTTGACACTTGTGTTGTTCCTAACCCTTTCGTAGTCCCAACCTTCCATCGTGAATACCTCTATGATATTCTTTCATATATGAGGAAGAGGAAAGCTTAGGAGAGGGGTGCTGGCATCCTATTTCCGCGCGTAGGTGCGAATGAAAGGCCCGGTTGGGGTGCTCATTTGGGTGTGCTCTTTTTTGCGGGAAGCCAACTTACTTGTTCCTCCTCTCTTTCTTTGTTTGGGGGGGTCCCCTTTTGAAGATGATCTGCCCCAGATTCGAGAAACAACTGCAACATTTCACTCTTGCCACAAGCTGTACTTTCAAGATGTATTGAATCACTCTTTGAGTTCATAACCCAAAAAAAGTCTGAACTTTTTGTTTCCCACTACAATTGTCTAGAGTAAAGTCCATGAACTCAGGAAATGAGTTGAATTTCTACCAGCAAGACAGCAAAATTGAATATCACTTGAGAAATGGTTCTTACCATTGACAAAACTTAAATATCTATTAGTAAAGTAAGTGAGAAGTACCCTCCCTTGCCAAACCGGAGCAATCAGAGTACAATCTTTTGAAACCTTGGCTAACCAAGCAATTGCTAAACATATAATTGCACGAATCTCCATATATAGATCAGTTTCAGCATATTCATGCTCAGCTGTCTGCGGTTTGAGACCCGTTTTTGGCGGCGAACACCACAAGTATCTCAGCTCTTGCCCAACACTGCCTTTGATAGTCCATAGTTTGCGAGCCTTTAAATATGGAAGTTCAGAGATCCCAGAAACCAACTGGGTGGATTTCCTTTGGCTTCCTGTCCGCGATTGGGCTTTGTAAACATCACCTGTAGGTTGTCATTTTTTGGGAACGGGAATAGGGCACGACCGGCTCAACGAGATGATTGTCCTCTTCGAGCGCTTGGATGTTGAAAGAATCTACCCACCAAAGAGGTCGGATCGTCAACGACGGTCTGAGGTTCTTGGATTGGAGATGTAGAAAAAACATATGGCTGTGGGTCAAAAATAGGTACCCAAAATGGGTTGCCCTGGTAAATGGAACCATGGACTGAAATCTGCGGTGTTCTGGTTGAATTTTGACCCACACCCATATTTTGGGCTTGGACACCATGAGCAACCACTTTTTTGAGGGTGCCCGCTGGTACGCGGCTTCCAAGATGGCCTGTTGGACATGGGACCCTCTGCCCAAGCTCGGATCGATCCACCTGAGTGCTTAGTTCAGCAAATGGAAGGTAGGTACTGCTTGGTTGACGTTGGAAGGGGAGCAAAAAAACATAACATTTAGCAGTTAAGTGGTTGGATTTCAACCACTAAACCACAACAAGCAAAATGTAAAATGTTTCTCAACAACAACCATGACAAGCCATTGTCCTTATGTAAAGCCTTGCAAGCCCTTGGCTACCAAACTCCAGAAAGGAAAACAACAAAACACAACACGCCAAGATTGATTTCGGCAAATGGATCCCACTGGCGCCCGTTTCAGAGACCTCGCCTGTGCATCCGAGGGTGGAGATGCAGAGCTTGCGGCAGGCCTCCAAATTTGGTGCCTCTGCCTCAAGGTCTCGCGCAACAAATGCATCAATCTAGGATACCTTTCCCATTCTTTCCAGCAACTCTTCCTCCTACAAGACCGCCAGAAAACGCCCCGCAGAAACCGCCGATTTTTGAGAAGAACGCTGGTTGAACAGCATGGAAACCAAAGACGTCGGGTTGGGAGCCACCGCCAACCACCCAGACTCTGACGCGGAGAAAAACGCCCATTTGGCTGAGGCCCCACGCAAAATGGTTGAAGTATGCCCAGTGGTGAATTCCTTTTGAAACCAACAGGGGAAAATAACAAATATCCTTAAGCAAATGGAGTAACATTTGGGTGTGCGAGTTCTATTTTCGAGGGTACCCCTTTTTGGATGGGTTTAAAGGGAGAACCAAAAGAAAACCCACTTATTTCTGAGGGCCCCACAAACAAAGACACACCCAATTAAGGTTCCCAAGATTGGGGTTGCTGCTTTTCGTGTTTCGGGGGTTGTGGCCCAACAATTGTCGATGTTTGGGTTGGTGCTTGACAGGAAAACAAAAGGAAAGAGACGACACCAAACCTTTGGAGTGTTTAACCTCACGGTCCAAAAACAAAATCTGCCTTTTCTAGGTCCTCCAGTAGATAGGTCATAAAAAGGGTACCAATCTGTTTCTGTGGTCTATTCTAGTAAAGGAACCCTCCCAACCAAAAAAGGGGAGGGCAGGGCACCACTGGGGGACCTAGTTGTACTTGTGGAAGGGGAAGGACCCCAAGAAATCGCAGTCGAACTCCCGCCCCGGGGACGGTTTCAGCGGAAAAAAAACCGGGCGCCCTTTTCAAAAGCCGTTGTTGAGGACCCTAAGAACCGTGTCTCGAGGGTACACTTTCCAGCTGGGTTTTCTGGGAGAAACCAAGAAAAGGACACCCCCGTGGATCCCGGATTTCGATTTGGACACGCAACCCTTCCTGGCCACACCTGAGGTTATAATCAGAACCTGGCCACGGTTTTATGCTGACCCAGAACCCTTGCAGAAACAGGAGGGCTTCTTGCTGTCGGTTACCTGCTTTTTTCCTGGAAATCGCGGCAACAAAGAGAAGCCTTGAATTGGGGTTCTGTCTTTTTGGAGGCTCGGCACCCTTTTTGGCGTATCTCAGACAACGGAAACCAAAGGAAAGCAACTCATTTCAGGGGTTCTTTGGGACAAACACACCAGTTTTACATACCCGGCTTTCGGCAGCAAGTTGCCGGAGAGTGCTCCACATAGTAATCCGCGGAGATATCCAGCTCATGCAGACCTGCGCAGCCTCGCGAATCGAATCGACGACTCAGAAGCTGTTCGGATTTCCGCGGGAACAAACGGCAGCCTCTTTTTGTTGGCTGATTTTACAGGGTCACCTTCGCCAGAAAAATGGACACACTGGGTAGCTGGAGGGAAACCTAAAGGCCGTGACCCAAACCAGTGGAAGTCCATGGGGGGCCACGTGATGTTACAGGGTCGTTCCCTCTCACAGAGAAAATGAAACTCCCCGGTGCGAGGTCTGGGCTTGGGCCACTGACAGGTGACACATGTCGCCATCAAGCGATGGCTTCTCTTCTAAGTCACATTTCGATGAGGAGTTTGAAGAATCTGGATGACTCATACTAGTTCACCCATCCAACACATCGCCTAACTCACGTAAAACCAACCTTCATCATGGGGCCCAAAGACGCACACAAAAGCCTTGGTTGCGATCTGCATCCTTTCAAAATGACAAAGCGTTTTTGATTCGGGATACATGAAGCACATACCGACCGTTTCTATTCGGGTGCCCAACCTATGGGTTCTCAAGATCCACCTCAACTGGTGCTCCTTTTGGCTTCACAAGACAAGCATCAGAGAACCCAATAGATCTGTGGTCGATTTAGGTTGCTAACAGTTATCTCTGCAGGGCTTCCCTTGCGGAAGCGTGGCTGCGGGGTATGCAGCCCAAACACCCAAGTCTCATAGGAAGAAATCGGCACACTTTTCGTTGGTCGTTGAATGTAAAAGGAAACCCTCTGCGACCCTAAAAAAACAACTTGCTGTTGGATTGGTTCTAAACAGGGTGTCCCAAATAACAGTTGAAACAAACGGTGTGTCTCAAAATATCGTAGCCCCCAAAATAGTGGGTGTCCTTTTTGGTTTCCCTTTGAATCAACCTGACAATGGCACCCTCAAAAAAAACACACCCAATGTACATAGGTGGCCTTTTTGGAAAAAATAGAAGGGTGGCCCTGGTAGATGGGTACGGGTAATAGCACCATCTCAAGCCGTAAAACCCATCTGCTTTTGACCAAGCTATTCAAACAAATCTCATCCAGTGCCATCTATTTTTGACCTAACTGACCTCAAAAGCACACTCCCTACGCCTTGGGTCCCCTTACATTCCTTCGCCTCCTGTCCTCTTCTCCCCCGCGCCTCGGTCCCGTCCGTCCAGATCCAGGAAGGGCTCAAGGCGTTGGCACACCGAGCCTCCCGAGTGACACGCAGAAATCGGCGGCTCTCCTTGGGCTTGGCCTTTCAAACACCTCACCGAAAGTGCACCATTTATTTTAGAACCTATTTTAGTGAGGATTGGGATGTTCACAGGGGGGTACGATTTGGATTTTGACCCATGGGCAAATGGGTGTGGCTCAAAATTAAAGAGCTAGGGGCAAACCGCAGGTTTTGGTCCATGTTTCCACTTGCCAGGGTTCCATTTTAGTACCGGTTTTTTGAGCCACAGCCAAATATCCTCCGCCTCAAACCCCGAACACCCCAAAGGAGAATTACCCTTCGCCTCAAAAAACAGACACCCCCAACAAAAACTGGGGCGGGGGGGGGGGGAATGCCAACTGGGGCAGACCCAAAACACGATACAGAAATTGGGAAGGCTTGGACATTGGAAATGGGGATTTCCTGCAGGAAATCTTGGATTCCCCACTGAGAAGTGATGTTGCTTCACTCTCTCACAACCAACCAGAAATAAGGCTCTGGTTTCTGGACACCCTTATGCGCGCGTTTGCTCACCATTGGTAAAACACGCCAGACAGTGGCGCCTTGAACCCTAGGAAAGGTCATTTAGTGTGGCCTTGGCGACCACTTTTTTCACAACGCCCGCAAACGAGCACTGCCCACCACCCCATTGCTATGTGTTGGTGTCCTTTCAACGTGGGGAATTGCCCTTTGAAAAGAAGTCAAAGCAGAAACTATTATTTGCTTAAATCCCCTGGAACAAAATCCAGTAGTGATAGGTTCCCTTTAACACCAACAGGGGAAAATAAACATATTCTTAACCAAACGGAAAAAAGGGACTGAACGACAGCAGAGGAACCGGTCTTCTCCACAGTCGCTTCAATGCCCTGAGCACGGAGCCAAAGGCGGCAGGAGCTGGCAGCTGCATCGAAGGCTATGCCCTTGCATGGCTTCCCCAGCACATCGGTCTCGGCGTGCTGCACGCACGCGTCTTGGCACGCCTGGATGGAGGACGCCTCCATCTGCACGTAATACGTCGAGAGCAAATCCCCGCTGCTGGACCCGCGACAGTCACGGTTCTCACCTCCATCTATATCTCGAAATGGCTGATAGCTGTGGCAGCTTGAATCTGGGTCAGGAATCACAGACAACTCGCCAGATCCCAGCCAAAGCGTGCAAACAGCAGAGCTATATCCGATGCCGCGACAGGCAGGCGTGGACATGCACCGCATCTTGCAGCTCTGCAAGGAAAGAGAGCCACGTGTCAAGGCGCTCATTCCAGTACCCTGGCAAGTGCCTGATCCCCCATTCAGCGCCACAAAAGCGTTGTTGTCATCCCAGACATCATTAGGACCCAGGCGCATGCACAAAGATCCCTCAAAGTAAGCTGTTTTCTGGATGCCTCCTCGGCGGGTCCATACCTCGCAGCGACCTGGACGATAGTCTATTCCCTTGCATCCGTCTGTTCGCACACATAGACTCTTGCATGCTTCAATGCCGGTCAATCCGTGGACTGAGTAATAGCTGGGCCAGTTGTCCAACTCGTCTTCTCCTCGACATGCTCTATTCACCCCTCCTTCCACATGGACGAAAGGCCGGTATTGCCAACACTGCGCTCCAAGCGACGGCGCGACGGCATCAATCCCCCCTGGCCGTGTCCACACTTCACACCAGCCCCGGTACTCAATGCCCTTGCAGCTGTGCGTCCGCCTGCACAAGTCTTTGCAAGCATCCAATGTAGGTGCCACACTGGGTGAGTAGATTGCATAGTAGCTTGCTTGCGAATCATAGATACTGCTCCCTCGGCAAACGCGATCCAAAAACCCATCCAGCGTCTGATATGGCTCCTTACTTGCGGAGTTGACCATCAAGGCAAACGAAGCAGGGAACTCAGATGTGGAGCGCGAAACCGACTCGACATCTGAGTCAAGTTTGATTAACGTGTATCTAGGAAGCATTCTAATGAATTCACGCTTGCGCTTCTCCAAGTGGTTGGCGACAGTGGGGTTGACCATGTTCAGTGGGGAGCCCGCCGCACAAAAACTTGCTTGGAGTTCAACACGCACACACACACACACACCAAAGACTCCACCCACCCCAAAGCAACATACATGTTTATTATAAACAAGTGTGTCAACAAACAAAAGCAGGTGTTCCTCGGACGTAGTGATTCAAATCCTGATTCAAAGAACCATTGCTTAGCATCACAAGGCAGTCAAACAGCTCCTAGAACTACAGAAGCCTGTTGAGTCTTTTCTAGAAACATAAGCCCAAACAGGATCCAAAAGGACACCAACGCCCTTCAAAACAAGGATTGTTGGACTCCTTGAAGACGGACTTCGGTGTTACCTTTGGTTTCCTTTTGAACAAACGGGAAAAACAGGGGCCCCAGAAAAGAAGAAGGACATCTAAAAAAGAAGAAGAAATGAAAACAGAAAAAACACACACACACACCAACACATCTGGGTTTGTTGAGCCGTTGGGTTCGCGCCAAAGGCTCGTAGCGCAAACAGGTCCTCCCAGGGGCGTGCACTGAAGCTTGGATGCCATCAGGCAAAGTCCAGACCTACGGGGCACAGGAAAGGGCGCCCGTTGTTGGGTAGTTGGTTTGCAAGGGACCTCTGGAGGTTTCATTGGGTTTGTCCAAATATGGGATATGGAAGACGCAAAATGATAAATGGGCGGTTTCGCTAAATCAAGCCAAGAAGGGCATGGTCTTCGGTGAGCTGCTTGGCCAGGCTGATCCGACTACAAGTGGTAAAGCCCTTGCTATTGAGGAGGGAACCTTGAACACATGGCAATAGACACACTATTTCGTTCCTTTCGGCTTTGGTCTTCCTTTTGGCTTTGCTGCTGGGTCTACCTTCGACAGTCTGGGTCACCTTTCAGTTGGCCAACGCCTCTTTCCCTTCAACATTTGCCAGGTCAGAACTGCCATTCGGTTGAAGTTTTCTTGGACTTTCCCCAGGGCATCAACCCCCACCTGTAAAAGTAGAAGCAGTAGTAGTAGTAGTAGCAGTAGTAGTAGTAGTAGCAGTAGTAGTAGTAATAAAGGTAGTAGTAGTAGTAGTAGTAGTAGCAGTAGTAGTAGTAGTAGTAGTAGTAGAAGTAGTGGTAGTAGTAGTAGTAGTCGTAGTACTAGTAGTAGTAGTAGTAGTCGTAGTTGTAGTCGTAGTAGTAGAAGTAGTGCCAGCAGTAGGAGTTGTTGTTGTTGTTGTTGTTGTTGTTGTTGTTGTTGTTGTTGTTGTTGTTGTTGTTGTTGTTGTTGTTGTTGTTGTTGTTGTTGTTGTTGTTGTTGTTGTTGTTGTTGTTGTTGTTGTTGTTTTCGTGGTTGTTGTTTTCGTGGTTGTGGTGTGGTTGTTGTTGTTGTGGTTGTTGCTGTTGTTGGTGTTGGTTGTGGCTGTTGTTGCGGTGGTGGTCGTCGTCGTCAATAAACTACCATTGCTATCCTTTCAGCCGAATTCCCACTTATTTTTGCGCTAGTTTCTGATCTGCCCATCTTTGCCAGAGCCGCGCCTCGCATCCGCCGGCCCAGAACTCAATGCCTTTGCACCCGGCCTCAAGTTGCGAGCTGCCAAGGTGCTTGTAGCGAAACTTGCTCAACAAACATTTGGGGTTCTAAGCAAAGACTGCAGCTGGCATTCCAAGCCTTGAGTTGGGTCAACTGGGCTGCCAAAAGAGAACAAACTATTCATCCGAATGACCATTTCACCGTGCAAAACACATGGGTGTGGGACGGCAGGTTTTAGTCTTTGGTTCCAGGTACCAGGGTTCCATTTTGGGTACCAATTTTTGACCCACAGCCACATTGACATGGAGAAAGAAACGACAGCATGGAGGCAAATTTGCGTGTCAATCAGCGGGTCTGGGTTTGCTACCCATCCCCTTATGGTTTCTCTTGCGGGGAAACAACAATTGTGAATCACCGAGCACCCAGAATGCGGTTCCGTGTTCCCATGGACATGCCTGTCAAAATGTCCGGCGAAAAATAAACAACCCATTGCAAAACGAGTGATTCTCAAGGATGCCTCACAAACAGGTAAACAGGTTACCCCTTTATGTCACGAGAACTCCGCTGGGATGCCTTGAAGGGAAGTCCAGCTGAAAATTACTAGTGAGAACGGTTGGGGGGACCGGGCCGCGCGAAAAAACACAAACACAAGGCAAAACAGCTGTAACACACTATACCAACACTTGCGCAGCACAAAAGCATGCAGCCGTTTGAAACAACTAGGGCCTCCAGTAGAGAGGTTAGAATAGGGGCACCCTTCTTCCGTAGTCTTTGTCTGTTTTAGTGGGGGAACCCTCCCCCCCAAAAAGGGTGAAAGGGCACTACTGGGGGACCTAGACAACCACACAACAGCCCGCACACGGTTGAAACTGAACAACCGGTTACTATCCAAATGAAACCCTATACATTCTACCGCAACAAGTTGGAAGGAGGCTGGTTATGCAGGGAAGCTCGCTACAAACGTTGAAAGAAGACCGGCTTTAGGAACAACATGGTAGAACCCAGCCCCTTGCCTCTCGTGGTTGGGAATATTGTGCCCTATTTGTTGCGGACGTGCTTTGCACAACCACTCATCGTTTGGCCACAAAACAAGGGCTTTTAAGAAGGCAGCTCACTCCTTTGTTTCAGCCGACCTAGCTAAGAGTCAAAAAGGGGGCTAGCAGCCTGCATCGAGTTCTGAGTTTGTGCTTCCTCGTGCAAAACAAACATGCATCTTTGCAAAGCATGTTCCAAATCTCAGCTTGCAGTTTTGGTCAGACGCAATACAACTCATCTAAACTTTGAGATGATCAGAAGGCATTGGTCAGCCGTGGTAATGCCCAGCAAGATCTTGGCTAAAGTTGTTCGCGTGCCTGGAACCTTGCGATCCAGATCCTTCGAGAGGCCAATGCTGCGATAGCCTCAATGAATTGGGTTCGCTTTGGCCACGCAAGCAAGTCTTCAGCGTATGATGCGCCTAGCGCTCTGTAACGCCAATGTGCCTTCGGAGCTGACTTCTCGCAGTGATTGCTCTGGAGTGCTGCAGTCCGACCGCGCATGGGGCGAAAACGTGTCATCCTTGAACAGGTATTGATGTCTGACAGCGGCAGGCTCATTGAAGCCTGCTGGTTCAAGGAGACACATGCAAACCCGGAACGTGCCGTCCTACTCGTACTCATCACGCCGCGCCCAGTAAGCTCAAGCACTCGGTGGGTCGTCTTCCACGAGCGACCGCCAGCTGGCGGTGTCTGTTGATTCTAAGTTCGCCAGAACAGGGGTCGCATCATGACTTCTTTGCCCGCACCCATCTTTTCAACAGCCACTGAACATGTGTTGGTTTCACTGGCGCAATGCGACTGCTTGTTGCGCGGCATACGTTTGCTTGCTCACGCTTGCACCTGATTTTTTTGCTCTCAGCACGCCTTGGCATGGTTGAGCGGCATCTCCTGGAAGATCAGCTCCGCGCACAAATGCGAATACCACAAGTTACCCACCCTGCGTGCCCACAAGTCTTGCTCCACAACGCTTGCGTTGATTAGAGTGGGCCGATGCCGTCCAGAACCAATCGGATATGTCTGTCAATTCAGTTATGATGATGATTCAGCGCTGGCTTCACGAGCCGTCGATTTACCTCCGCGCTGCGAGTCAGATATTTGGCCGCCTTTGCTCGTTCAGCATGTCCGAATCGTGTAGAGCCAGCACTATTTAAAGTCCTTGAGTTGTTGGTATGCATCCTGTAAATTGTTCAAACTATTGATATAGTTCTGGATTGTCCTTGGGCAATTTGCCAGTCTCTAATTTGAATATTCAAATTATTCAATCTGTTTCTGGGCCTCAAATACTTCAAGTACTGCAAATCAGCCAGAGCATTTAAATAAGATGTATTTTGTTTAGCCTGCTTATGGACCCAAAGGCCGCCGCGGCAAATGAGGCATACCATTCCCTCTCCCCCCCAAAAGAAACGAAGAAAACAACCACAGAACTTGTGCTGTGGCGGAAAAAACCAGGTGGAATTAAACCGGGTCCGAATCGCAATGGACAAACACCAAGGTGCGGTTTTCATGCACAAGGTCTGGCAGGCGTCCACCGTGTGGTTCTCTGGCCACGCCTGACGCGGGAATCGGACCGCCCAAAATGGGGCGGGTTCACCCAGAGTTCTGACTTGGGTGCCCTCTAAAATCAACCAAAACGCGCTTCCCGCAAAAAGAAGACACATCCATGCCAAGCTCCCCAAAGGTCTTGTTGACCCGCCCTCTAAACTGGGGGTTCTGCCCCCTCCTGAAGTGGCGAAAGGGGACACCCCCCAATCAAAGTCAAGCAAGGGCTTTATTCATCCGGGCTCCCATTCAAACCATTTGGGGGTTGTCCTATATTCCTTTGGCCGGGATTGGGCCCTTGGGCCGCACTTGCGCGGCACTTGCGCGGACTTGCGCGCGCACAGTGGCGCAGGAACTCGTTTTCGTTAACCTCGGTTTGCGAAGTTTTTGCGTGGATTGCGCGCAAGCTTTTCTAAGCAGTGTGTTCGTCGTTCACACAGCAACCCACAAAGACTCTTCCCGCTGAGGTCGGTCCCAGTAATTCTAGGCCAGCAACATACCCTTGACCCAACAGAAAGGACAGCAGGCTCTGCCACACAGCTTGGACACAGCCTGAAAGAAGGAAAGTGCATGTTGCGGCTGCCTATCCATTGCTTGAACCGCGCCGCTAAGGACATCCGAGACAGCATGGCTAGATGTCTTGCTCGGGCTTTTCGTGCTTGCGCGCAACTTGCGCGCGGCTTGCGCGTGGCTTGCGCGGATTTTGTCGTGTCAGCTGCCAGTTGCTGGTTGTTGAAGTCATGACCGCAGAAGCTTTGGCTTCGTTTGGCGTCTGACTGAAGAAAACGCCGCACCTTTGCAAACAAGGTTGTGACCTACACATGACCCAAGCAACATTCGAAAAGCATAAGTGCAGCTTTCATGAAGCTAGGCAACATCAGTACATGAAACCCTTCAAAACTGTAACCTTGCGCGTTTCTTGGGCCGCACTTGCGCGCTCCTTGCGCGCGCACAGCTTTTGACAACTTTTACTTCTCCCCGTTCGGCGATAATTAAAACCGAAGGGGTTTTAGGACGGCCCTCATTTGCAAAACACGGTCACGGCTGGGAAACACTTTCGGAACGTGTCACGTGGAGGCCAAAATTGGCAGAGCCCAAAAGGGGAGCAAATTCGCTAATAGTTGCAGCTGAGAAGCCGTGCTCACGAAATAGTGGCTGTCCTTGGTCAATGCTCAATCCGAAAAAGAGAAGAAAGGATCCTATCACCATGATGCTACCTCAAACTAGCTCTCCGAGTCGTAGGTTCGCCTTTGACCGCAACAAGTCAATCTGTTGCTATGTAGTGACACAGTGATCCTCCAAACGTAGGATCAAAGGTCAAACCTGAGAAAGCATGATGACACCTGCCCGAACTGGTTGAGCCCGCAGCCACCCATTTAAAATGAAGGGAACCAACAAACTAAACAAAGACAACTACAACATGCCAACGGTAAAGCCAGTGTCCAAGTTGTCCTGCACGTCCTTGCCGCGACACGCACGATTCTCCCCGCCGTTCATGGGCTGAAAGGCCGAGATGGAGGTCTCCTCAGCTGACATCCTCCCAACGTAGACACTTTGTTTCGTCTCGATGTGGAGTAACTTGAGAGTGCAAACCATCTCAGAATCCCTCGATGAACGGGTGTTGTTCCCCCGACCAAAGGAAGACTTTCCTGATGTGATGATGCGGTTTGAATACCATCTAGGATGGCTTCCATTTCCGGAACTTAAATGGGTTTATCATCAAAATGGGTACATCTTCCTTTTGGGTGTGTGAGGTTTTGTGGGAAGCTTAAACGGAAAAACGAGTGAGCAGCTAGGGTTATTTTTAGAATCTTCGGCTTTCTGTGGCCTTCCAACACTAGTCACAAGTCGGAATTCAGTTCTCCAAACTTGGGGGCCCACCCTCCAAGAATTCGCAATAGGGCACCGTTCTGGGCAAATTAGAACATTCCACTGGAAATCAGTGACCCGAATGAAAAGAAACGTTCACTCTGAGCAGTGGCTTCCTTGCTTGGCCGGGTTTTGCAGGCTGGGGGTTGTACTCGTAGATAGAGATTTAAGCCTATCCCTCTGAGGACCTAAAGGACGACATGAAATACTCCTGCTACCATGGGGGATGGTTCTCTCGGGGTCATTCCAGCAAGAACACCCTACGGCATCTTGAAACCCCTGGTGAAACAAACCGCCGGTGCCAAGTCCTTGCTTCACATGCTCAGGCTGGCGTATTGCTGCAAGATCCGGCATATGCTCGTATACATGATGGTGCATGTTTGGCATTCAAGAAAGACATGCATGCCGTACATTAAAGAGAGTTGCATGCTGTACATTCAAGAGCCTCGGCACGAAAGGCACTTTTCAACGTTGTCACACATCAGATGCATGCATCGGACACTGTCCCAGCATCGATTGAACATCTCAATTTCGCGAATCAATATAGCCCGACCCTGGTGGTGCCAATATTGCAGACGGAAATGACGGGGCCCAAACAAAAGCGACGTCTTAGAGGATTTCTTGGTATCCCAATTTGCGGTCTTGGGCTTGGTTCAAGGGGGTTCGTCAACTTCCTCAAATCCGCAAATATCTGAAGAAGGATCATAGAGCGGATTGTACTTTTGGTTTCCCTTTAGAACTTCGAACCACCAAAAACAACACCGAACAAGGGTGGTTCCCTTAAAAAGAAAAAAACACACACACACACACCAATGGATTAAAACCACCGGAAAACGGTGTTTCCCCAAAAAGAAGACCAATGGATTAAAATTCCAGCACGTCCCGAGGATCATAGAGCGGATCTGCGATGCCATATCGCAGGCACGTGGTCCCCCACCACGCCACGGAAGTTCCGATCTGCGTGATCCATACCTTGCAGACCTCAGGTGGAGGCTCCACCGGCGAACTACCGAAAGGTTTTTCTCAAATAGAGCCACGTGAAAAAAAATCCCGCAACCGGCATCCGTTTGGTTTAACCAGTGAATGCCATTCAAAAAGGCCACCCTCCAAAAGATAGTACCAAAAGGTGCCAAACGAAGACACAACCACGTGAATGGGTCATTCTGCGGGAAACAAGTGTCGACTGTTTTTTCTTTCGTGTTCCTTTGCGTTTTTGTTTCGTTTGGTGTTTTGCATGCTACCCTCTTTTTTGTTCTCAGCCTTACAGAAAATTGAAGCAGTTATAGTTGGGACACGTGGCGATCCAAAATACGATATATATATATATGAGCTTGTTTTGGGCTCAGAAAGCAAATACAGTTTTGCCAGAAAGGTGCATGATTGAACTTGTAAGAAATGAGAAACAAGTGCCGAATCCGACTTTGGAAGCGTGGAGAAGAAAACGCACGTGTTCAACATCACCTAAAGAACCTATGGGCCCAGGCTGAAGGAACATGTCCGAAGGAACACACCAACACACTAAGCAGGAAACCACACATGCACAAAACAAATGTAGTAAGACTACACAGGAAGTTGAGCGTCGAAATCGGCGGGACTCCACGCAAAGAGAACAGACTCGTGCAATAACGAAAGCAGAGTCGGGACGTCGCTCTTGAAGAAAAGGCATCTCTGAAAGCCGTGTGGAGGGTACCACATTTATACATATATATATGTATAATTCCATCGTACGCAAACAGGGAAACAAATACATTCAGCAAACCACACACACACACACGAACTCTAAGGCAAAACTCAAAACCACTTCATGTATGCAATATTTAACCCTCGATCACATGGGTGACATGTTCTTGTGTACGATGGACATATATATATATGTATATATGCACAAATGTGGTACCCCCCCTCAACGGACGCGGCTGTTTTGCCTTTTAGCTATAGAAATCAGGGACAAAATTGAACTTGATTCCAATGTCGATCGACAATATCAATTATTGTTGTCTGCGATTGTTGTTTATTCGAATTGCGTTTGGTTGGAACTCGAAACAACCTTTAAATTGGATATTACTCCCGTGCTTGATTGTCAACAAATGATGTTGACAACGATAAAATCGAGTCATTAAAAAACACATAATAAATGCTGATAGGAATTGTTTTGCAAGTAGCAATTTAAAAAGAACTGACTTATTTCTCCCCAGTCGATGGCTTGCTGAGCTTCCCTGCAAAGCAAAAACATCCGTTTTTGCAACAAGAAAAAAGAAAAGAAAATACGAGCACAGTTGTTGCAACTGCGTTGAAGCTGCCAAAGAATACTTCGGGACTATTGTTGTGCTGAAAAGTTGAATGTTTGAGCCGGAGGTGGACAAGTGCAGCTGGAGGTGGACAGGTGTACTTTGGCTACTACATGTGTAGTGAAAAGTTGAACCTTCAAGCTGTTTAAATAGAAACTCATTTTGAAATAAGACCAACGGCTTCCGCGGCAAACCCGCGGCTCGACTCAACTGGGGCGGCGGCTTCCTTCGTCTGGTCGAAGGCGATGCCCTGGCACCGACTCTCCGCGAAGCAGCGGAGCTGGCAGCGCTGCAGAGACGTCACGGCCGGGAACTGGAGGAAGTAGGTGTCCTGCCGGCTGCCGGGCGGTGAAACAAACGAAAAGGAACCACCAGAAGAGAAGCCATGCCACTGGTTGGGTGTGTTTACCCCGGGCTAAGCAAACGAAAAGGAACCACAAAAGAAGAGAAGGCATGGTCATTTGGTTGGGTGCCACTGAAACATCAAAAAGACACCACCATGAGAGAAGACATGCCAATGGTTGGGTGTCTACTGTAGGAACCCCTGTGGACCCTTCCACTGAAACATCAAAGAGACACCACCACAAGAGAAAACATGGTTATTTTTGTGGGGTGTCGTTGAAATCTGTAGGAAACCCCCCTCCCTCCTTTTGTGGCTGTTTAAGGAAAACCTGTAGGACAATCATTAGTTGGGACTCTAAAAACAGACAAACCCAAGTGAAACTCTCAAATCCAGTCGGTGCCAGTCAGGGTTCCAGGTGGATTCGAACTCCCTGTTGGCCTCGGGGGAAAAAACACAACAGGGGGGGTTCTCTCCCCCCGGGTTCCGAAACGGGGAAAGCAAACCCGCCCGCCGGTCAGTCATTCACGTCCACGTCGCTGATGCCCCGGCAATCTCGATTCACTCCGCCGTCCACCGCCACGAAGTGCTGATAGCTGGAGCAACTGCTGCCTGACCGATCCAACCCATCCAACCCCAACGATCTGAAACAAGGAAACGGATCCTTCAGAACCCACTGAATACAAAGTGTTGTTGTTTGTAAGGTCAGCGTTCTGGTTCAAAACCAATGACCTATGCCACGCAATTCTGTCAAAACCAGAATTTAAGGACGTGACGATCGGAACCATGGCATGCCAAACAAAACTTTTCGGATGGACAGCCAGTCACCACTTGAACGAACAACAAATAAAGGTTTGGCCCCAAATGATGTGTATGGACTGACGGAGTCGGTGTATTCCCTATCAATAGCTTCAATTTGTAAGTACTGGGGGAATAATGCATGGAGAGGGATTTCCTACAAGCTTTGCGAGTTGGGAGATTAATCTGGAGGGCCAAAACATAATGCCCACTTGAAAAAAAGAATCGTCTCCTGAGTCATAAAGGATATTGATACTCATTTTGTGGTATTGCGAGAACTGGGCTGGCCATTGACCCCTGTACAAGCTCAGATTGCCTGGTCAAGCTATATCATATGTTATCCAAAAGTTGAACGGCTTGGTCCATTTCGCATCGGGAATCGCCCGCGAGGTTGGCAAACAAAACCCATAGGAAGTGGACAAGTTGTAGAACCCACATGTCCAATTTGTGGCCCTTCACTTTAGGAACCAGAATAGAAACACGGGTGTTTCCAGACATTGGGGAACCCCCTTTGTCTCTAATGTTTAAGGAAGTCCGTATGTCATCACAAACCGATTATGCAAACATATATATATATATATATATATGTCATGTATGTTATACACAGTGTCTGTGCATGTCAACACTGGGTATACACTGCAACAAATGGTGGCATCATATTCTGTCCCTGTTCAAGCCTTAAAGCCCGTCCCAACTGGGGCGGTGCTTCGTTTTTGATCTTCACCAGCAAGAAACCGAGCTAACAGAAACCTGACCGCATTCACAACTGCAACACAACAGCATCACACAGCCTTTGAATTTGTCCTGAACGCAGGTTCAAGCCCCTAAACCTGTAATGCAAATCTTTCGAATCTGAAGGAACCTTCAAGTGAAGTACCATCAGTGAGTTCGCCATGTGCCCCAAGCCTTTCATTTGCAACAGGCCACAGAAAAGGCGTCTCCCGCGCGCGCTGGGCCTACTTGCGGACGGCTCGAGAAGTCCGCCGTGAAGACGTGGCAGATGTTGGCCTGGAAATTGATGCCGGTGCATCGCTCGGACCTTGAGGCAAAAAACCGATCCAAGGGACCCCTGAAGTGAAGACCCGAAGGCGGAAAAATATGAAGGAAAGCCAAACTGAGGCAACAAAAAAGCCTTTGAGAACAAAAGGGTGAGTTGAATCTGGCCATGTTTCTAGAGTGATTTCTTAGGCTGATCCACTTTTTGTCCACCATGTTTGCTCGTGTGCTAACCCTTTACTGCTTCTTTTGCAGGGTTGGTTTTAGCAGCCCCAGTGGATTGTTGGTTCTCAAAAGATAAGGAAGGTCCCCTGCAAAGCGTCTGCTCATTCCAAAACCCACAGCCAACTCCCTGAGAACCAGGAACTAAGAACTCCTCAAACTGTTGCGCCACTCCGCATTTCTTTTAAAACTTTTTTTGGGAAGGAGACCTCACGGAATTCCCAAGATTTGAATCTCAAACCGTGGCCTGGGTGGCTCCCTCTGGCCGAAGGACGTTTTTTGGTCCGCTGAATGGACACGCCTGTCTGAGTCTCAGCGAATCGAAGGACCCGTCATGTTTGTCTTGTGAGGCAAATACCTCTCATTCGAGGGATCTATCCTCTTTTCACTTGAAAAAAACATTGGCTTCCCTCTTGGTTCTTTGTCGGGGAACCAATGTCAGCAAAAGCCAGTCCGCCACATGAATGAACAAGACCCAGGATCTAGACAAAATTCTAGATGGCTCAATCGTGAAGCCACCAATTGTTGTACTCTCTTAGCACTCTATTGGTTTCCAGGAGGATCCACAGTCGCATCCAAGACAAACCCAACGAAACTTCAACCAACACAGAAGGGTTGGACCCACTGCCAATAGCAAACTGACCCTTTAAACACACATAGCGGACAGCTTGCCAGTGCGTGGGTTGCCTTTACCCCCAAAGAAAGCAATGCATGTTAAAGGGAGTGTCTACATGATGTAACTAGGCGATCAAACATGGATTCAAAGCCAGGGTTTCAAAAAGAAGACAGCAAATGGGTGTGTTGTTAGTTGTGCGGAACACTTTTGGTGCTTCTTCAAGAGAAACCAACAGAAAAGCCGAAGCCAGTTTTGGGGGTCTGTTAAAAAGGTTTGAGTCGCAATCAAAACCCGGTACTAAAATGGTCTACCCAAAACCATTTGGGGAATTAAGAAGGCGGCCGCAGCCGTTTATGGTTGGGATTGTCCCTTACCACGTTTTGATTGTGGCTCATTTGAAAGCTAGATTTGGACAACTCAGCTAGGTCCTCCAGTAGAGAGGTTAGAATAAGGGTACCAACTTTTTCCTGTAGTCTATGTTAATAGGGGAACCCTCCCCCAAAACAGGGGTGAGAAAGGGCACCTGGCTGGGAGACGTAGTCGGTATCTGCGGAACTGAACATCTCCGTCGTTTGCCCCATCGACTTGGCCAGGACACGTGCTGCAGAGCTCTTGGCACTGCACCAAACTGCCAGTGTGTACGTCGGGGGTGTCCGATTCGCAGAAGCGGTCCTGGAGGCGAGGGTACCTTAGGGAATGAAACCCGAAACCTGTCAAGATGGCACATGTTCAGAGAAAAACGAGAAAATGTGAAGAAAACCCCTTGGCCTAGATGCCGGGGTTTAACACATTACGATTCTTTTGGTTCCAGGCACTCACAAAACATGCAAAAAAATGCCATTGAAGGCCACCACTGACACAACAACAACCAAGTAGCAATTGAAGGTTTGCTTGAACCACCAACCTATTCACAGCATCTTTTGCTGCACGTTTGTCTTTTTTATTGGGCACAACTTGGGTGAAATATCCACCTGAAACACATCCAAAGGAAAGCCACGAAAAAAACGAGACCAAAAGGTGAGCTTTACTCTGACCCGTTCCGGGGCCTTCCCCAGAGGGAAATCTTTGGTCTTCCAATTGGTCTAATCCGATCGTCGGCTTCCTTGGTTCGAGGCGAAACGAAGGAATTACCTAGGCTGTGCTCAGATCCCCCGCTGAAAGTTGAACTTGTAGTGGGCTAAATGGAAAACCCCACTAAACACTAAAAAGCTAAGAAGCTAAGGAACCGGATGGCTGGGAGCCACCAAGTTACAGGAAACCCTGACGTTTTGAAACGCACGGTCCTGACCTCCGTCCATTCCGCGGAAGGGTTGCAGCCTAAAGCATGCAGAACCCGCTTCCGCAGCAGTCGCCTGCGACGCAGGCCCTGCACTTCTTGGAGGGATCGGCCAAGCAAAGTCCAAAACTTCAGACCTTTCATGAGGGACTGCTTTAGCGCTAAGCAAAAACTAACTAAGTCCAAACAACTTCTTGGAGCAAAAAACAACTCCGGAAATTGCACATTGAGTTCTGTGTGGTCCGGAGTCAATATGTATGTATCCAATGGTGTATGAAAGTATGTGGCGTGCATCTATCAATTGAGGGGTGCCTTATCATCTTGATCATATTTGTCTTTATGAGCTTTTTGACATTGATTCTATCCGCACCCCTATGTGGAGCATCATCGGCTGATAACACACGATATGTGCAACACATGGCCGTTTCTACCGAGGTTCTGCACAGCTCGTGGCTGGTACACTTCAACATGAGTGGTTTCCTTTTGGCATCCTTTCCAAACAACTCACTTCCTGAATAGATTGGCCAACAACAAGTCTGAACTTCTTGTTCACTAAGACGGTCCTGCCAAACGGTATGAAGTTCAGTAACTCAGGAATTGAGATAACTTTAAAAAGGGCGGCAACTCAGAAACGTCACTTTCTTGGCGATTTGGATCGGGCCACAAAAGCCAGGGGCTTTTGAATCCCCAAACCATCGACCACCACCTAAGACTAGGTCCTCCGGTAGAGAGGGTAGAATACAGGGCACCCGTTTTCCTGTAGTCTACTTGGGTAGGGGAACCCAAACCCCCAAAAACGAAATGGTAAAGGGCATTTCTGGGGGACCTAGACGGGAATTTCTGGAAACAGACACGCAACCTCGGCCCTCTTCGCTTTCGGCCGAAAAAACATCCAGCCCGGCCGCTTTGCCTCGACGGATCGCGTCCAGAGCTGGCACTCGGCCAGGCTGAATTGCACGGCGGAGCAGCCGGTGGTCGACAAGCACAAGCTCTTGCCTCACGCCGCGGCCCACCGCGGGACCAAACCCATGGGACCCAAAACCGATGGGACCGAACCGAACACAACCCGAGGCAATGTGGACAAACAGTTACAAGCATATGGGGGACCCAAAAGCGACCCAAAAACCCAGGCAATGTGGACACAAATAAAAGTAAATGGGGGGGGTGCAATTCAGGTGTTGGGGATCAATCCATGCTTCGCACATCTAATGGGGAATGTCTTCAAAATAGGGGAAGAACCCAAATGGCGGCGGTTTCCTTTGGGTTCCCTTTCGACCAACCCGGACCCAGACCCGTAGTTGACCAACCGCGGTAGATGAACATATGTGCAAATCATCGGAGCTCAGGTGGAACTTTATCAACGCACCTGGGATAAGCTAGGCCAGGCAAAACGTGTAAGAGTTGGGTAAAACTCGGGAAAGCGTGGGTACCACTTGGGTGAAGTTTTGGGGGTTACATGGGTAACACTTGGGTGACACGGGGGACAAAATGCAAGCAACCCGGGCAACCTGAATATATGTAAAACAACTGGGTCAACAATTGGTGGTGTGTAAGGGGTGTGTGTGGGTGTGTGTGTGGGGGTGTGTGTGTGGGTGTGTGTGTGTGTGGGTGTGTGTGTGTGTGTGGGTGTGTGTGTGTGTGTGGGTGTGTGTGTGTGTGTGGGTGTGTGTGTGTGGGTGTGTGTGTGTGGGTGTGTGTGTGTGTGTGGGTGTGTGGGTGTGTGGGTGTGTGGGTGTGTGGGTGTGTGGGTGTGTGGGTGTGTGGGTGTGTGGGTGGGCCAACGCAGCAATCCTTCCCCCGCCTAACTCGCTCACAAGCTTCCAACTTATGAACTTTGCTCTTTTGGAGCAGGTTGTCGACAGGCCAACCTTGCCTGGGGACCCCGGAAACATAACCTGTGCAGGCGCCCGCGTCAAAATCCGACGGGGGGCCCCTTTTCAGGGGATCCATCCTTGCTGACCACACTCCCCTGCAAGAAGTGTCCATGATACCCTCCCATCCACTAACATAGAACCTGCCTGAGGGCTCCTGGAAGCCTATGTTCCCTTGGAATGGACCCTCTGGCGGGTTCATGTTTGTGGATGGGAGGGTAATTGTGTGGGTCCAATTTGGCATGGAAAATCCACAACGTTTCAACCAAAAAGGTTGAACAAGTCAAAAGATCCGTTACGAAATAGCCCAAAGTATCGCATCATCTGAGGTCAAAGACTGACATGCTCCCTTTCTGACCTGACCGAGTCAAGTCACTTTTTGGGCCTCTAAAATGATGAAGACACCTGCCTACAGTCTCCATGACCCTGAGCAAATATGGGGTCATCTACCAAAAACAAGGGGTCATGACCCCTTTTTTGCAAGGGTTCTTATTGCGACTCCGGGTACCGTCAACAAATTTCAAGCTTGCCGACAAAGCCAGCAAGCAATGAGTCCTAAAGCAAACGGGGAGGGCATGGCAAGAAAACTAGCCGACCAGGGTTTTTCAGGTATGCGGTCTGCAGGTTCGAAGATTCCGTTGAAGCTATGTGGTGTATAAGCACAAGAGAAGTCGAGTATGGCGCCTGGCAACAAAACACATTTCCCTTCAGCTGAGATGCACTTTTCCAGCGTGCCGGCCTTGTGTGGGCCAACCTCAGGGTGAAAAAACCAGCCAGAGGAGTCGAAACTGGGAGCACCCCCCTCCGCCCTAAGTTTCAAGGTCGATCGCATTTCAGGTTTCGCTGGTGGACTATTCGGTTTTTTAGACCTGGACCAGGTCTTAGGTTGAAAATGAAGTCGCAGACCCAAAGGCGGAGATGGGACGTCAGCAAATCCCGTTGATCTTCCAGGGCTGTGGGGAATGACCCCTTCTGTGATACCACAAAAAGGGCTTCCCAAAGACTACCTTTTTCATAGGGGGGATTCCCTTGTATCACAGAAGTGGTTGGAGAGACCCCGAGTGATCCCACAAAAATCTGCATTGAACCAATGGGCAGTTCTTGGAGATAAAGGGCTCCCTCCAAAAGGAGAATTTGGTCCACCAGGGTTCCATGCGTTGATTTCCCCGAACGACCCCGGAGGGGAAGAAGATTGGGAGCCAAACCCCGCAAAAACAAAGAACGAGTGGGCACAAAGAAGAAGTTTTGGGACGTGGACAAACAAAAATGAGTAAAAACAAATAACATATTGAGACCCCCTGGGTTTGAAATCTAAAGCCTCAGCCCTGGCCGACAGAAAAGCCAAGGGGGTGGAGCCGGCTGAACCACGTCGATATCTGACAAGGGCTCATGGATTCAGGATGGCAGCCACACCCGCCAACTTAAACTGAAGTTCTTCCAACCCGCAGTCTACGTACCACCAACCAACATACAGGCGGAAACTCTGTTGCTAACTCAAAAATTTAGTTCAACAGTTTGGTCAACATTGGTATGCTCCCTTTGATCCCCCAAAGAACGGTATGGGCATGCTTTCTGGCAAAACATCACTAAAACACATTGGATTGAATTCGCCATCTTTCACCCAACTGTACGGTCTTCAAATAGGGGACAACGAAAATGGCTTTTGGTTCTCGCTCAACCCAACCAGCACCAAGCTTCAAACAAAGCAAGCCACCTGTATCCTTCCAGGGGTTGATTCCACATTCCTTTCAACCATCCTTCGTTTTCCTCAAAGCCAGAAGCGTTTTTCCTGGGTTCCAGAAAAAGACTAGAAAGACGGAGCCCTGGAAAGAATGGTATTTGTCTTTGTTAAATACAATTTCATTGGGTAGTGGGTATTCAAGAAAAGCAAAAGTGAAAACACATCTAGCCTTGACTAGGTCCTCCAGTAGAGAGGTTAGAATCACGGCAGAAGGGGACGTTGTGGAGGCCTGCGTTTTTCAGTGATTGTAATTTGGTTTGTTTTTGAAGTTTTGTGCTTTCACGACCAGAAGTCTGTGGCCTTCACAAGTGTCCTCCCGTAATTTGTCGGCACAGACTCAAGAAACAAGAAGAAAGACACATGAAATGCAGTGAGGTGGTTGGTCAAACCCAAGGCACGTTTTGCATTCCTCATGTGTAGCATCAGAAGGGTGGGGGGGGGGGGGGAAAACAAAACATGAACATGTCAAACCGCTTTGTTGTTTGTGTTTTTTCTTTTCTTTCTCTTCGCCCCCCCCCCCAACCCCCCCCAACCCCCCCCAACCCCCCCCAGACTCCCATACTCAGCCCGGGATCACTGGGGCCCCGATTTGTAGGCCATGGTTTGAATCGCCTTCAGTTTGTGTTTCCCCTGCCAGTCCCTAGCCCCTATTTGCAAAGTTCCAGGATGCCTTGCTTACTTGAAACAACTTCTGATTCAGTTGCTCAGATTTGAACTCAATGGGTCACTATACTTATGCGTTCAGCTGTGCATCTTATTAGCTTATACACTTAGCTAGTGTTTGCTGCTGGAGCAATTGCATGAATAGCCCCATACTGGCCAGCCTCTTGTGCAATTCATGATGCAGGATTAGAAGTGGTCGCTGGAAGCAGTGTTAGCTGCAAGAAACTGTGCAACTGGCACGAACCTCGATTGCTGCTTTGCCTCACCTTTAATGAACAGACACTTGTGGCAAGAAGGGCTTGGTTGCACAGGGGCCAGTCCTAGAAAAACTTATCTATGCACTTTGCTTGTCGGCTTATTTGCGTGTAGTACTCTCATGGCTTGCCTTGTGCGCCACACCCTCTATGGTAATTCAATTAGGAGGAATTGGATAGAATGGCTTTGGCCTAGAGCTACATTTATTTGCCATAGGTTAGGCCAATCTGCAGCAGTATCATCAGGCTGCTAGCTTGCTATTGGTTAACATAGACAGTTTAGCTAGCATCAGAAATGGATACCTTGGTTCAATGAAATCTGTGGCTTTTCTTGCAGAGAACCAGTGTTTTTTCATGTAGCGCGATGTAGCTCAAAGCATTTCTGTGTTCCATTGTTTCTTGTGTTTCTGAACATAAGTTTTTTGGGCTGACCATAGGAGGCCTCCTGGTCAGAAATTGTGTTGATGACATATGGAAGGTGCAAGTGGAATAAGTTATTTTCTTACCTCCTCCCGTGCGGGGATCCTTCTCTAATGATGCAGAAATCAATGTTGCCCACCTGCAGGTGGTCTGCATTGCCACTCAGATTTCCGGATGTGGCAACATAATTAGGGATCTTTTCCTCCATTCATTTCATCACCACAACTGGCAAAATGCACCTGCCAATGGGCTACCAAGCTGCTTGCTCGAGCTTGGGGAGAGAAGTTTGCTTCGGCCTGGAAATCAGGGGGTTATTTCCAACAGACAGATCACAAGTCACACTGCCAGTAGAGGTGAGGCAGACCTGGCAAGTTGGCAACACTGTCTGCATTAGAGAGAGGATCTGCAGCTCCTGTGCGTACTGGTGGCATGCAATACATGATACGGGGGGAGGTAAGAGTCCGGTAAGAGAATAACATATTCTAGTTGCACCTTCCATAGGTCATCAGCACAATTTCTGATCAGTAGATCTCTTAGTCAAATCTAAAAAAGTTTGTTCTTAGAGAAGCAAGAAAAGAATGGAACGTAGAAATGCTTTGCCCTAAAAAGAAAAAACGTTTTTTTGGAAGACAAACAACAATTTTCATTGAAAAACGCGGGCCTCCACAGCGTCCCACACTCAATCAGGGTACCCTGTCTGTAGTTTATTTTAGTAGGGGAGCCCTCCCAACCAAAAAAGGGGCGAGAAAGGGCACTGGGGGACCGAGTTGAGACTCCCCTCGCGGCGTCTTAAAAGATCCGTGGTTTCCGTGGCTTTCCGGGGCCCCGGCGGCGGTGAAGTACCCGGCGGCCACATCCAGCGCGTGGCTGCCGCGGCAGGCGCGCTGCTCGCCCCCGTGCACCGCCACGAAGGCGTCGAGCGCTGCGTACTGTGCTGACTGGGCGGCGGACCTGCAGTGCAGAGGATCCCCACTTCTCCCGTTCGGATCCAACAGCAACAAAAAGCCCCTGGTCCCCTGGTAGATTTGTGTTTTGTTTCAGCTGGCATTTCGTATGATTTGATTAAAACCGGTCAAATTCCCCCCCTAAAAAAAAGCAGGACTCACTCAGTTTAATAAACACAAGACTTCAAGGCAAACTAAAGTACAGTGTATACCTCAAAGCCAGCCAAAAGCGGACTGGCCGAGGCGGGCAACGCGAAGCGTTTACAATTATTATATGTTACAACTAGATAGAATTGAAACTATAAATAAGAACATAAAACACATTGATTGGCCGAGTTGCGGGGGTTCACCTAGCCAGGACACCAAGTTCATCCCGAGAACCACTGAATGAGAGACGCGTTCGATGTGCGGCTGACTGATCCGATGTTCGGATCAAAGACTTTTGGAACGCCAGGAATCGTCCGCTTCTGGCCATTTCTGTAAACTCCCGCCGAGTTGGCAAGGGTTTCTAGGGATACCTTCCATTTCGATTCTGAATCCAGGGATCCTTCTTTCTAGAAAACCGCCGGAAACCCCAGGGAAAACGGCTGGTGTTTGAAAGGAACGATGGTTGAAAAGAATGGCAAAGGAATCAACCCCTAGAGGGTTTCCCATTGACCCTCTACAAAAACCAGGTTCAAATCCCACCAACCCACACCATCCAAGGGTTACCTGCTTTTGACCAGCCCGCGGGTAAGTCCGCACTTCCCTCAGTAACCAAGGACAAGGACAACGGCTGGTTTCCCATCGAGGTCCTCCAGTAGAGCGGTTAGAATAAGGGTACTTGTTTTTGTTTCCCACTCTTTTTTTCTGTAGTCTATTTTAGTAGGGGAACCCTGACAACCAAAAAAGGGGTGAGAAAAGACACTACTGGGGGACCCCATAGTGGAGAATGGAGGTTTATTCAGGTCGATCACCTTTCCCAGTGCTTCCATTCAGCGTTTCGCCACGCTGGTGGCTTTTCCTCTAGGTTTTCCCATCCCCTCACCCGTGATAACCTTCCATTTGCGCATACGCCCCCTGGAAAAAAATGGGGAAATCTGTCCGGTAGTGATACATTCACCCTGTCAAACCAAGAAGGAAAGATCTAAAACATTTTGAGCAAATGGAAGTATCTGGAAGCACTGGGATTCGGTCACACCAGATGAACCATGGGTACCTGGCCAGCCCCAGGTTTTTACCCACTTCCGTTTGTCCCGCTCAGAATCCCAAACGAGCAACCAACAGTTGCTTAGAGCCCAGAAGTGACTCCAGGTATGGTGGGTTGGGGCGGGTTGAGCACCAGAAAGTGTCACCAAGACCAGTGTGTGCAGTCGGTCTTTTGCGGTGTTCCATTTTGTGAGCCCGCCAAAGTCCCTCCAATTGACATAGTTTAACTGGAAATCATATGAGAAACCAAGCAATTCTGTTGCCCAGTTTAGGAAACACGAGCCAAATCTACTGGGCAGTTCCACCTTGTTTAATCGGAGAATTGCGAGCTTGGTGACCCTTGAATGGGTTCTAACCTAAATTCAAGGCCTAGGATGCTACACGCGCACCAGAATGCAATCTGGAACCGGTGCACCTGGGATTCCAGCTAGAAGGAAACCACCAGAAAGTGGTCATTCCAACTCATTCCCTGCTGAGAACCAGCAAAGTCACCATCCGGGGAAAAGGAAAAGCCGAGAGCCGAAGGGCTGGAGGCAAATAGACCCAAACTCGTACTGCGGCTTCACATCCATCATCCAGAGCTTGCAGTGCCCTCCATACTCCACTCCTGACCCACCAAAGCTGTACCGCAGGAGACAACGGGTTACCCTCCCACCAACGTGCAAGTGCAAAAAGGCCCTTTCCAAGAGGAAAGTTGTCTTTCTACAGGAGTCTGTGCACTTCCATGTTAGCTGGTGGGAGGGGCTTTGCTACAAGGGGATGACCCAACGAAATCACATGTCCCTTGAAAGGACTAGCCAAAACTGGGGGAGATGACCAGTCTAATCAAAAGACATGTCCCTTGCCACCAACCAAAACTGGGGATGGTGACCCAAACGGGCAACTCGTGAGGTCCCTTTTGACATGTTTTCTGATTCTTTGGGGGGCGGAATCAACAGCTCTCCACAACACCTACACGGGTGTATCGCCTTTTTTTTTTTGGTAGGCTCCTATATCACAAGTTTGATTCTGACTCGAAAGTGAATACATCAACCATAGAGACAGCACACAACACCAAAACAATGACATAGTAAGGCTCCATAGTCAAGACATCAACATGAACCATCAGAGAAAGAGAGAGAGAGAGAGAAAAAACGGAAACCATATGTGTATATATATATATATATATATGATTCAAAAAAACAACAACAACTAGAAGTCCGCAAACACCCCGCCCTGAGTCACCCACACCTCCGCCAAGAGATCCGTCCTCGGCAGCCTCTCGCCACACAAAGGGCCCGGCACTGCTCGAGACTCGGGGCCTCCGAGAGGCCGAGGACGACGTAGGCTGAACCCAGGTCGAGCCTAGGTCCAGCAAGCGCCCGAAGTGAAACAGGCAACTAGGGTCCTCCAGTAGGTTGAGGTTGGAATAAGTTGGTACCAACTTTCTTTCCGAATCGTCTATTTTAATTTGAGGAACCCTCCCCCAAAAAGGGTGAAAGGGCACTACTGGATGACCTAGTATTCCGGGTATCCCCCCTAGAAGATGTGGTTCCTGTTTGCTGTTTGTGTCTTCTCTCTTTTATTTTTGTCTGTGTGTGTGCGTGTTGGTGTGGGAAACCAAAAGGGTACTGCCAAAAAATGGGGTACCCATATGGCAACAAAAACTCAAGAGAAACCAAGAAAGCCTTCGCAGGCTTTGGCCCAAGGATGGATTCATTGGACCCCAAAAGGCCCAAAAGGGCCTAGCGGTTGGTAGACCCAGTCTCTCCTGAGTGGTTTCTTCATAAAAAGTAACCCATTGCTTCCAGATGCCTGATGGTTTCCCCTGTTTACCTACCTTGATTGTAACTTAGTAACTGGAAGCACCGGGGAAGACTTGCTGTTTACTTCTAAACATCATCTTCCCAGTTCAAGCTATCTTTGGCCCCAGCTACCACCCAACACGCATCGCAAGATTGCGAGCTTGGAATTTGGGATGAGGCTTGTTTTAACCTTGTGGGTACCCGCCACTCATGCGAAACGAAACAATCTGGTTCTCTACAGCAACATTAAGGCAACCTCACAAAAACACCCAACAAATCACCTTGGACAAATCGACTTTAAGGCCACCTCACAAACAAACAACTTCCAACTAGCATCCAATTCCAGTTTTCAAGCCTTCGCTACGAAAGGAACAATGGAACCTTTTGAATGGAACTCAAAGGAAGTGACAACTCCCCTCCCTCAATTCCATCAAACACGGCCGACTTGTCCGGCCGAGGCGCTCAGGACCCACGCACTTGCGATCCCGGCCCCCGTCAGAGGCCAGGAAGGGCTCGTAGCGCCGGCACACCGCGCTCGCCTGCGCTGCAACCGAAAGACAGACTTAGACTCCAAAACGGCGAAAATCCGAGATGGAACAAATAGATTGTTTACATTTAAGACCATTCCTAAATTAGCCATCGCATCAGATGTTTTGATATGATACGAGCTCCACTATTACGTAGTGCTTTGGCGTGTGTCCCATAGGGACCCTCCGACAGGCGGTTTCCCGCAACGCAGTCGACACACGCGGGTACCCTCAAGAAACGCATCCGTTGCTCCCCAAAAAGCTGCTCAGTCTAAAGATCCAAGCAAGCAGCCAAAGCATATGGCCACGCATGTCAGGAAAAAAACGCCTCAAGAAGCGGTCCACCCGAATGATGTCCCAAGGGTCCAACTTGAATGTCACTTCCATTTGCTTAAGCCGCTTGGAAAAACACGAGAAATCATTCCCAGTATTGAAATCGAGCCCCTGTAAAACCAACGAGGGAAATGAAACACATATTCATTTCAGCAAATGGAAGTTACCCATAGCCGCAGCCTCACTTCTCGAGCGGATTGGCCAAAAACAGTCCAAACTTTTCATTTTCCACTAAAATGGTCTTCCCAAAAACAAAAAAACCAAAGTCCAGAAACTCGGGTCGGGGAGTGAGTAGTAACTCGGTTGCTTTCTGCTCCCCTGCTAAAAGTTTAACTTTTAGTGGTTTAATACGGAAAACCCGTTTGGCAACAAGTCGTTCAGTCCTAACATCCCTTGGCAAAATTCGCGCCAAAGGCAACTTGGCCCTTCTGCTTGCATCTCCATCCGCCCACCCCCCCACTTGGCCTTCCCGGCGGTGGCTTCTACCCCCTGCGCTCGCACCCAGAGGCGGCAGGAGCCGCTGGCTGCATCGAAGGCGATGCCTTGAGGCTCGAAGCTCGGGGCTCGAAACGAGCAGCGCTCGTGGCACCGGTTTTTGAGGGATGTTGGGCCAGCGGCGAGTCCGGATTTCCCCTTCAAGTCATCCAAGGGTGACCTGATGTTGGCCAGCCCGGTGAGTCCGTTTTGTTTTGAAGGGAACCGAGGAAAAGAAAAAACGGCCGGTGTTTTTTTTTGTAGGCCCTCCAGTAGTTTGAAAGGTTAGAAGAAGTTGGTACCCAATTCTGTCTGAATCGTCTATTTTAGTAGCGGATGTTTTCCAACCAAAAAAGAAACGGGAGAGAAAGGGCACCTAGCTGGGGGACCTCGAGTTGCCCAAGTCACCCTCAAAAAGGGCAGGTCGTTTTTCTTTGTCATGAGGAAGCAAACCAAGGGCTTCCAAAACCCCAACCGGGAAGGGGTTTGATCGAAGCGCCGCTCTAAAACACCTCTGACTCTCCCAGGAATGATTGGACACCCTCCAAAAGGGCTTCAATGCTTGTAGAAGGTCCCTTTGAGCTGAAGAAGACAAAGAGTCAGAACTTCCACTATTACACATCAGCAAGCGGGATCCGAGTCACAGGGGCAATCAAGAAGCGATGTTATCTAAGATATCCAAAACGGGTCAAATGTAGGGGAAACAACAAGCACCCCGCAGCAATTGGAAGGTAATCATTGCGTTCCCGTGGGGGAAGTGTACCAGGAACTTTTTTGCGCCTGGTTTATTCATGGCGCGCAAAGTCTTCAAACTGAACACCTGGGGGACGAATACACTAGCTCAATTCCGCGGAAAGAAATCGGGGACCCCTGGGGCCATAGCACCATCCATGTAGACAAGTACCAACAGTTGACTGACCCATGAGTCCTGTGGGTAAATGTTGGAACATATACATGGCTGTGGCTCAAGAAACCGGTGCCAAAATGGAACCTTGGTAAGTGGAAAGATAGACCAAAACAGGCGTAACCCCTCCTGTTTAATGTTGAGCCACACCCACATGGAGCGGGGTATACATCTTGCTCCCTTCGCTCTGTTTTGCGTTCCCCACCCGCGCCAACGACTTCGTAACAGACTGCCAGTGGCCATGGGTTCTGATCTCTGGATCTCGAAGCGGGCCACCCCTCGAATGGATTCTGATAGGTGTCCTTTTAGGGCAATTAGATGGGTTTCCCTGGTAGATGATTCAACCACCAGGTAAACCAGAGCCATCTATTTTTCCACCAAAACAACCGAAAAGGACACTTATGATTCTGAGAGTACGATTGTGCTCTGCTGCAAGCTGGAATCAGTTTTCTTAGAACCCGTTGAATGGGCCCACCAAGTAAAGGCGAAAAAAGAAGAAAACAGGACTTGCCGTACTGGGGGCCTTGGGCTGGCAAATCACTTCGCGCGGCAAAGCCGTTTTGGAAGGAATCCTTCACTTCGGCCTCCACTCCTTCATGCTCCGCTGCAAATTAATCTGCTTTCCAAAAGGAAGGGGGCTCATCTGTGCCCACATTTTCGGCTCATCTCCGCCCACACAGAAGTGACTCATCTGCGCCCACCTTTTCTGACTCATCTGCGCCCACAGATTCTTTCGCGAATACATAGAAGTTGACCCTTTGCCACAAGGGGTCAGCGGAGGATCATCTGCGCCAACACTTTGGGCTCATCCCTGCCCACAGAGAGTTTTAGGGTTTTTTGGGCGTAGGGTCATTAGGGTTTAGCTTTTTAGGGTTTAGGGTTTTTAGGGCTTAGGATCTTCAGTGTTTAAGGATTTTAGGGTTTAGGCTTTTTAGGGTTCAGGGTTTTTTGGGTTTAGGGTTTTTAGGGTTAAGGGTTTTTTAGGGTTTAGGGTTTTTAGGGTTTATGATCTTCAGCGTTTAGGGGTTTCAGGGTTTAGGATCTTTAGCGTTTAGGGTTTTAGGGTTTAGGATCTTCAGTGTTTAGGGTTTTGAGGGTTAAGGGCTTTTAGGGTTTAGGGTTTTTAGGGTTTAGGGTTTTTAGGGTTTAGGGGTTTCAGGGTTTAGGATCTTTAGTGTTTAGGGTTTAGGGTTTTTAGGGTTTAGGGTTTTTAGGGTTTAGGGGTTTCAGGGTTTAGGATCTTTAGTGTTTAGGGTTTTAGGGTTTATGGTTTTTAGGGTTTAGGGTTTTTAGGGTTTAGGATCTTCAGTGTTTAGGGTTTTTAGGGTTAAGGGTTTTTAGGGTTTAGGGGTTTCAGGGTTTAGGATCTTTAGTGTTTAGGGTTTAGGGTTTTTAGGGTTTAGGGTTTTTAGGGTTTAGGGGTTTCAGGGTTTAGGATCTTTAGTGTTTAGGGTTTTAGGGTTTATGGTTTTTAGGGTTTAGGGTTTTTAGGGTTTAGGATCTTCAGTGTTTAGGGTTTTTAGGGTTAAGGGTTTTTAGGGTTTAGGGGTTTCAGGGTTTAGGATCTTTAGTGTTTAGGGTTTAGGGTTTTTAGGGTTTAGGGTTTTTAGGGTTTAGGGGTTTCAGGGTTTAGGATCTTGAGTGTTTAGGGTTTTAGGGTTTATGGTTTTTAGGGTTTAGGGTTTTTAGGGTTTAGGATCTTCAGTGTTTAAGGTTTTTAGGGTTTAGGTTTTTTAAGGGTTCATAGTAGACACCTATGGCAGTTTCTCAGAATATTCTCTAAGAGCTGCAAAGCCCCAAAACACCTAAGATCATCTGCGCCCACACGCTACTTGTGAGTACTGCATTTGTGAAGTTTAGAGCATAGGGGACTGCCATCAATCTGACTCATCTGCGCCCACCACGCGGGTAGAGACGAGTGGAGTCCAGCGGGTACAGACACGTCGCAAAACGCGGGTACAGACGAGGGGCCCACCTTTCCAAAATGGAGCGTTCTAATGATTGCTTTCTGGGAGTCCCATGTTAAGCGGGGAAGCAATTCGCCATGCTCATGGCCCCACGGAAAACGTTTCACCAAAGTCAGATCGAGATGCCCTTGCAGGGCGTGCCGAGCACGTCCGCCTCACTGTGCTGCACGCACCGGTCCTCTTCGCAGGATGGTTGAATCTCCAGGGGAATCTACCAAAAGGATGACAACGCCCCACAAAACATGCTGGAAAGAGCAAATCTGAATTTAGGACATCCGCCCCTGGAACACACATTGGAGTTTTGAAGGACATCCACCCGCTATTCAATAAACAATGCTGAGTTGAGAAGGACATCCGCCCAGCCTAAAGAAAACACATAAGCTACAAACTAAAAAATGCAATGTTGGTTCGAGAATCTCCACCCCATTCTTTCACTCAACCAAGCTTCCCCAACCGCTGGTTGCACAACTTTCTCCGGTCCTCGCATGCCTGAACAAAGGCCGCTTGGGTCTGCACAAAGTAGGCGGACTGCAGGTCCCCGCTGGTTCCGCCGCGGCAGTCGCGGCCGAGGCCTACGTGGAGACTCCCACATGCACTCACTTGCCCCTGAGGGACCTGGAAAACACTTGAGATACACAAAAAATGACTTCCTACAAACACCCTTGGCAACACCCTACCTGCCGACGACTTGTTTGGTGGCCCCAAACCTTGGTTGATGTTGGAAGGGGAGCAACAAAAGTTTGAATGTTAGCAGTTAAGTGGGGATTTCAACCACTGAACCACAACAAGCAAAAATGTAAAATGTTTCCCAACAACAACCATAAACAGGATTAGAATTTTGGGACGATGACTCAAAGTGGACCAAAACCGGAAAAGCCGAAAGGTCAGAAGGTCGGCTTTGGACCAGAGAGACCGACCCGAAAATTTGTCAAAGGTTGCTTCATTTTGTGTTGCGAAAAAATCGATTGTGAGCCTACGCGGCCGTTTTGGGTTGGTAAACCAAAAAAAACCAACCACAAGGGGCCTTTGACGTTGTAGCATCCCAATGGGCGTGTCTCAAAAAGGAATCCTAGTAGTGGCTTTCTTAGTTTCCCTTCAAACCAACCTGAAATTCTTCTGAAGAGGGTTCACAGGCTAAGCAAGTTGAAGGATCCAAGGCCAATCAAGTCCTTCAAAATAATCTGACAGGGTCCAAGTACCCTGAGATAATGGGGTTTAGGAGATTGGGTCACCGCCTTCTCCCACAGACTTCGTCCCATTTCCTTAGCTTCTGGGCTGGGTGAAATGCCTTCGGGAGTTCAGATGAAAAAGTGGCACAGGTGCATGTCAAGTAGATGACCCCCAACCGGCCCACGGGTCCCAACCACTGCTTTTTGGGCAGGACAAAAGGGATTTTGGTTGAAACAGCAGCGGGGGGGGGGGGGATGCTTGAAACATGTTGGGTTTCCTTTGGTTTCCTTTGGTTTCCTTTTCACCACAGTGAGCAGGGCGTCCAAGTACCTCCTTCGACTAGGAAATAAAACAGCTTCACTGCATGGAATAATTCAGCGACATTTCGCTGAATGTGTGGATGGCACAAAGCAAAAGCCACACCCCACCTCCATCCACATCTCTGAAGGGCTGGTAGCGATAGCAGCTTGTGCCCACCTGCAACAAGGATTCCTTGAAGGAGATACATGAGCTCGCTTTAGCCCCAGGTCTTTGCTTCGGTCTTCCCTTGACTCGTCCCTTGAATACATCACGTGTTAGCGCCAGGCTTCTGCTTGATTCAAAGAACTTTCGGTCTTCGCTTGGTATTGACCATAGAGAACACTGAGAAAGGTGAGAGAGAATATTCCAAGGTTCAATCGTTCAGAAGAGCTTCACTGGCATCAAAAGGACCTGGAAAGCGGATGGGACCATGAAACAGATCAATCAAGGAAACATCGGAAGGCTTTGAGTCAGCTTAAAGGCCGACTCGGGAAAACTGAAAAGTGAAAGGCATTTTCAGGTATGGGTTCCCGAATGGGGACTTCTCACTGACGAATAAGAAAAGAACCCGACTACTCCCCTGCAGATTTAACATGAAAGCCCAACAACCATGACTTTTAGAGGCATGCCCCATTGCAAGACCCACCTTTTTGGGGTTGTCAATTTGCAAGGGGTACAGGGCTTCCTATACGCCCTGGGGGCGGAACAAATGTTGGCCATCCGCTTGGTTTTCCTTTAAACCAACCCCAAAAAGGGTACCGGGCCCCAAAAAAGACAGACCCGTTTTGCTCCTAACAGATTCCCTTTGAAATCAATAGGGGAGGCACACACACATATTCGAGGGTGCTGCTTTTGGGGGACCCGCAGTTGTCCTTTTCCTTTTCCTTTAAAACCCGCCAAAAAGAGGGGCACCAACTCCAAAAAGACGAGCCACACATTCTGAAGCAACTGGATAGGATGCCCTCAAAGGTTACTTGCATTTGGTTCAGGCCCCAGGAAAAAATGAGAACATATTTCCAGTAGTGATGATTTCCTTTTAAGACCAACAAGGGGAACAAATATTCATTTCGGCATTAGATGGAAGTTTTTGGGTTACCCACTGTGGATGGGAATGTGGGCCATCTTGAAACCAAATTTCAGCAAATGGAGGGTTCCGTTGAACCGCGGGGAAGTTTTCCCCGCCTCTGGGTACCAGCTGAAGTTCGTCCCCTGCCACAGCCGGCAGCCGCGGACCGCCACGTCCACACCCCGGCAGCCCGGCACCGACATGCAGCGCCTGCCGGGGCGACGTGGCGAGATACGTGGGCGGTACGGGGAGTGAGTTGTCCGATGGGTGCTTCCCTTCCCTTAAGATGGGGGCCGAAAAACAGGCGTGGGGTTGAAAAGGTGACGGAACCGTCCAAGATGGGTGGTTTTCTTCTGGCTTTCCTGTTTTAGCCATCCCGAAAAACGCACATTCGCACGTTGGTGTTCCAGTTGTAATTGGAACCCTGCAAAAACAGAACCCCTGATTGATCGTCAACTGTCCCCTTGAGGGAATCCGGATCACTTTTGGAGGAGACACCCCCCTAGGACGGCTACTCAGATCCGGAGTTGCCACTTGCTGTCACGGCTTGATTGCCCTTGGAGTCTTTCCCAAACCACAAATCCAAATCACCAACTCAAGGGAAGGTGTGTTCAACGACCCGACTCAAGCATTGCAAACATATCCTGCCCGGCAAAATCAAGAGCATTGTGGCGCAAAATGATTTGTCTTCTTTCGTCCTCAGACACGAGCAACCAAACACTCACAAAAGATTGGGTGGCTTCGGGAAGCTTCGTGGAGCCAGTTTCTGACATCTGCTCTGGGTGCAAATAGGTAAATCCTGTCTCCTGTACTACGTACATGAATAACATGCCAAACATGACTGCTTGCATTTAGCTCTCGCTCCAAACACACTCCAAACACACTCCAAAAGAGGATTCCGATCTGTCTGGAACGACGTATTCATCAAACTTGAAAAGGCAAACGACTCGCCAACTCCCAAATGAACAACATGTGCTTGAATCCTGAAATAGGACAAAAACACAAGGAGACTGAGCCAACACACATGTTGCGCAATGCAACACACGAGCCAACAACAAATGGATGAATCCCATGGGTCCAAGTAGCTTCCGGTCGGTGCTTTGACGCAGAACCCCCCCAACCATCACGCAGGAGCTCAAAGGGGGCTGTGGGTGGCTCAGTTCCTTGTTTGAGACTCGGTCCCCTTTAAAAGGGAGCACGTTTTTTCTTTTTTTTGCGGGGGGGAAACCAAAGAGTAAACATGGGTTTTCCTAGTTCGGGGGTTCCTTGAGACAACTCCATTTCAGCAGAAAAAGCATTTGCCATATGATCTAGGTCCTGCAGTAGAGAGGTTAGAATAAGGGTACACGATTTTTTCTGTAGTCAATTTTAGTAATTAGGGGAACCCTCCCCAAATAAAGAAACGGTAAAAGGGCAGCTAGCTGGGGGACCTAGTGAACCACCAAAGTTAAACATGGGTTTTCCTATTTCGGGAGTTCCCTGACACAACTCCATTTTCAGCAAAAAACATCATCTCGCTGTATGAACCAAGGTGAGAGACCGCCATTTGGCGGGTTGCCACCAACGTTAGGCAGCCGAAACCGGGAGATGCGGAAAAAGCCGAGGTGCCGCTGGCAGGACTCCAGGTCTTCTCCTTCGGGGACGGGATGGGACCCGTTGAAAAAAAGACACCGGTGTTTTCACCAAAAAGGGGAAACTCGAATATGAGTTTGTTGTTTTGTTTTTTTGGTTTTGTTTTTTTTGAGGAGGGGAGCTAAAATATGTGTTTGTTTGTCTTTTTTGTCGGGGAGAGGGAACTACAAGTTGTCATTTCAGGTCGATTCGACTCTTTAGCGGATGGACAAAAGCCTCGTTTCGGCAACCAATTTGGAAAAAACAACTTGTTGAAGGCATGGCAAGCAAGCAACCATAGTCTCAACAACCTCCTTTGGGTTTCCTTTGGAGGCGATGGCAACTGGTTGCTTAAACAACTGGTGCATCCCAACCATCTTCGTGGTCCCCCTCTTGGTTGGTATCTAGAGCCAAGAGGAAAGAAAGCATTGCCATTGGGTCCTCATATTCTGGTTTGTCTTTTTTCACAACACCCTTTTTCGTTGGTTTGGCGGGCAAAGGCTTTCTGGGGGTCCAACTGAAAATGACCGCCTAAAGGGAAGCCAAAAGGCCACCAACCATTCTTTTGGGCTCCAACCCTAACAAAAACCGACACCCCCTGTTTGAACGGACCCCCCCAAAAAAAACAACAACCAACAAACGACAACAATAACCTTTTTGTTGGTGGTCCCATCCTGTAAAAAAACGACCCTCACCCCCCGCCCCTTATTTCGACGCGAACGCCGCGTCCTTGGAAGAGCTGGTACTCCTCGCTGGCGCAGGCGTGGCTTATGATCGGCTCGAAGGCACTGGCGCTCTCCCAGGGATCGTAAGGCCCCAGGCGCAAGCACACGCCTCGGGTCGGTTGGCCCAAAAAAACCACCTGGTGCCACAAAAATGGTTCAAACAAGGTAAGCACCCCAGAAAAGAACCCCTGAAATGGTCCAAACAAGGGTAAGACCCCCACTTTTTGGGCTTTGATCACCCCTAAAATCATGAATTCAGTCGGATCGGGGAAGACCCGTCTGCGGCGAGCCGTTTCGGAGATCCGAAGGGTCTATGCCCTATGGTTTATCAGGCAGAATGGGGAGGCTCGCAAAACCGAGCAAGCCGCAACACAAACACCAAACCAAAAGGCACCCCTGCAAAAGTTCACGTTTGGCAGGCCGAAAGGGACAATTATGGAACAACCAAAAGGTGCTCAAACGTCAAATAGGAAAGCGAATTTGAGTATCACTGCCGAAAGGTAGAATTAGGAAACTCTGTTTTCGGGACACGATCTTATTGTGGAACCTCCGATTCATTTCCTGCTGGTTTCGCATGAAAACCAAGCAAAAGGCCCAGCAAAAGCAAACACGCGCAAAAAAACAGTTCTGCAGCTCCCAAAAGTGAGTGCCGAACAATTACGCTGACAAAGGTGCAGGGCCCAATGCAGGGGGGTCATGCTGGGTGGCGTCCTAGGACTCTCCATGCTAGGTGGTGCCCTGGGACACTTCCTTGAAGGACAATTCAACGTGCAAACGCTGCCCAACGTTGCCTTTGGGCTTGAAAGCTGCGCTTGCAAGAGCCCGGTTAAACAAAACAATGAACTCGCTAAAGGGGATGCAAACGGGGCTGCTCAACACGGGAGACGTGAAACGGCCCACTGAGAACAACCTGAGATACAAACCAACAACTGGGAAAACAACCGCCGATATTGTCGTTCCTTCCCGAAAGACACACCTCGAAGCAAAAGGACAAAGGGACACCCAAAAAACAAAACAGAAGAAGAAGGGCCAACTCAAAAAAAACAACCACGACCGAGCTTCTGCCACTCTTCGCGGAGGAGGTGTGAATGCTTCGGGTCCAAAGCTGGCAGGTCTCCGCGTCGTACCTGGGCGCTTAGAGCGAGCTTCGAACGGGAGTGGTTCTGCATGTAAGGGTCAAGCATTTTTCCCAAAGTGATACAAAAGGCAAGCCCCGCCGCAGTTTGGTTCTGGAAGCCGATAGGCCGTGGGAAACCTAAACTCATTTTCAACGTGCAAGGAAGACAAGCCCACGGCTGAACACAGGCGGTTTTGTGGAAGACGGTTTTTCTTTCAGGGGACCTCCCTGTCAGTGGGTAAGCCAAAAGCAGATGCGTTCTCCGACCCTGAAAGGGGTTCTGGGCCGTGGCGCGAAACCAAGTTTCTACCCTTGTGATTTGGTGGTTGGGGGAAACCACCAGGCAGCTGAGCACGTGAACAAGCATGTACATACGTATATATATATATATATATATATCTCTATCTACACACGTATATATTTATATACATGGCACTTTTGTGGATACTCAGGGTGTTGTTCAAAAAGCACAAGTTTTGTTCTAAAAATGAAGGTAGAATGCGGTTTCCAGCTTCTGCAAAATATGCTTAAAAATGCAACTCCTTTTAGACTCAAGTTCTAGCATCAGTACTTGGTGGCACCAACTCCAGCGCCCGGCGGCCGATGTGAGGATGGCCACTTGGACGTTGCGCGACTCATCTCAGCCCAGAAACATGTTGCGGGTCTTACGTGTGAAGACCGCATGACACGGAAAAACAAGGCCTGCGATCGCGCACGAACTCCTCTTGTAGCACATAATCATTTCTCGCCAACTTTTCGAGTTCCCCGCAGCCCGGAAAAAACCAAACTGTTCCATATATATATGAATAACAATGCTAGGTAGTAAACCACAGGCCAGGAAGTTTGGTAGAACCTTCTTAGAGGCAGCGGCTTTTGGGCCACCCAACAAAAGCAAATAGTGATGGGTTTGTTTGGGGAGGTGCCGAAGATGGGCGTATTTCTGTTGGACTCCAGCGCAATGCGCAAGGCTGGTCCTTGACCCTTTCCAGACCTGTGGGCCCCCTGCAACAAGTTGTAACCTTGAACAATACTGAGCCGGCACAAAAAGTTGGGAACGGCCCGCCTGACCTCCATTACTCCCCCAGCAACATTTGTGGAGAACTCCGCGCAGGCGCCTGGGCGTCTGGAGCGTCGCAAAGATTCTGCAAATATTGGGATGACCCAGCTCATCCCAGCTCGAGCTGGCCAATTTCCATCGAGCCGACAGTGTTGAACGCGGGCCCTTTCAGTTGCAGACACATCCAGATGCCGCATGCCTCCATATGCCCTTGCAGCTCAGGCAATGTTTGTGTTTCTTTGCAAGCTCATACTGCGCGCAGGCCTTGGCTCTTGCAGCCCCAGGCTAGTGCAGAATTAAAGGGAGCTGCAAACGCCCGCTGCGCGTCCGCCCTGGGCTCTTGCAGCCCCAGTGCAAAATCAAAATCACTTGGCGAAGTGACTTGCTGAAGGAAGCTGCCAGTGCCTGGGCGCATCGATGTCGATGGCTGATGGCCGCAGTCGCGCACCATAGCCAGTGAAACAAGTTGGTGGCAACCTGAGCACATCCTTTCTGGCATGGCTACTGACAACAAAATGGGACAGGCCCTGCTCTCAGATGGCGCCTTGGTGCATCACAATTACAAATGGCCCAATCTGACTCGCAAACATGGAAATAGATGAAGTGCCCCTTGCACTGGGCCTTGCGCGCTGCGGCCTGCCAGCATTGTCAAAGAATCTGCGCCCGCTGGCCATGAGGGCGAAATAACAATGCACTATCTTAGTCGAAGATTCTTTTTCAACTCTTTCTGGAGTTCTTCAAATCTGCACTTAGGGCCATCCAGGATGCGCTGGCACATCTTGGGCTGAAGCTTGAAGATTGAAGATTCTCTGAATACTCTTTTTGGGGTTTTCCAATCTTCAATCTTCAATCCTGCTAGCGAATGCTAGCACATATGTGCTTGTCCTAAGTATGGATTTGAAGATGTCCACAAAAGTGGTCTGAGATTCTGGAATCTTCAATCTTCAATCCAGGATGTGCGAGCGCATCCTGCCCTAAGTACAGATTTGAAAAAGTTCGAACAGATAGAAAATCTTCAATCTTCAATTTACAATCCAGGATGCGCTAGCACATCCTGGGTTGCCCAAGTATGGATTTCAAGAATCCAAAAAGGCAGACAAGGACCAAGAGTCAAACTGTTGATGTGCACCGCCTGCATTTTGTTAGGGAGGAAGCATTTCTTTTCAAAACTTTACGGTTCATTTGGGACTTGAGGGCTCGCCAGGATGGACGATTGTCTAAAAACAAAATCTGGGGGATCTTCAATCCAGGTGGGAAGACCTTATGGAGTCGACAACAAACTATCAAGCTTTTTGGGGGCCGGGATTGAGGATGTCCTAAAATCTTGAATATGCAGCCTTCGATCCAGGGCAACATGATCTGAGCGAATGCTGAAACCACCGCGCTTTTTTACAGCCTTTACTTCCAAGAGTAAGATCTAGGTTTGAAAATATGTTTTCGCTCCTGTCTTGGCTCATTTCTTGCTTGGTTAAAACCACATGGAGTTAGATAAAGACAATAACCCTTCTGAAGAAGTTGAGCTTGATTCCAGTTTTCACTCGCCATGACAATATCAGTGTTTTCCAGAAAAGCACGAAACTGCAACCGGTTAAAGTTTAATTTTGTTTTGAACTCGAAATCATTCTAAGCTGGATATCCTTCCTATGTTTGAAAATCAATACTTGTTATTGACAATATTTGAATTGTGTGAGACAAGTAGCACACAACTGAGATAGCTGCTTTGCAAATTTGGTTTAAGTACACTTGGTTAGTAAGGAAATGGAATTATGCACAAAACATGATCTAACATGTAAGTGCAACTGCGCCAGGACATGAAGCACTTTCTTATTTGATTTGAATGTCAGTTGCAAGTAGGATTCAATCTATTTCCCGCAAGTTGACGATTTTGCTGAATTTCCTTGTCAAGCAAAAATACTAAACAACATAATAGAGTTGCAACAGGCACGATACATCCGTCAAAGCATACTTCGCGTACTACTCGTGGGCTGAAAAGTTCCAGGGGGGTTGCATATGTTTTTTAATGGAAATATGTAACGTTATATTATATTGAATCCACATATATATATATATATATATATATATGTATATATATATATATATGGTGCAGCGTTGCCCCCCCCCCCCCCACCCCCAATGGTCATGGGTCAGACAAGTAGCCCCCCCCGTGGTTGTGGTCCTGTGGTTGGGTTGTGGTGTTTTAGGGTTGGTTTAGAATTGGTTTAGGGTATATGTAGGGTGTATTTAGGGTTAGTTTAGGGTTGGTTTAGGGTTGGTTTAGGGTTGGTTTATGTTGATTTATGTTGATTTATGTTGATTTAGGGTTGGTTTAGGTTTAGAGGTGTACGGTTTAGGGTTTGGTTTAGGGTGTATTTAGGGTTGGTTTAGGGTTAGTTTAGGGTTGGTTTAGGGTTGGTTTAGGTTTAGGGTTTATTGTTTAGGGATTGATTTAGGGTGTATTTGGGGTTAGTTTAGGGTTGGTTTAGGGTTGGTTTAGGGTTAGTTTAGGGTTAGTTTAGGGTTGGTTTATGTTGATTTAGGGTTGGTTTCGGTTTAGAGGTCTACGGTTTAGAGTTGGGTTTAGGGTGTATTTAGGGTTGGTTTAGGGTTAGTTTAGGGTTGGTTTATGGTTGGTTGCGGGTTGGCTTGTCCTGGGGGTTGGGGTGCCGGGGTGTCGGGGTGCGAGTTCAGGGGGTCGGGGTGGGGGTGGGACCGTAGGTGCCAGGATCCGGGAGCTCGGGCCGGGGGGGGGGGTCCTGGAAAAAAACACACACACACACACAAAGGGGGGGAGATGGTAGCAACACGGAACACGGGACCATATATACATCTGTATATATGTGGCTTCTATAGCTTGGGTGTACTCCATCGGCGGTGCTTTGGGGCAGCTCCGAAAACTGAGGGCAACAACTTGGCAACCCTGGCTTATTGCAACCTCCGTCATGTCCAAATGGCTGCGAATGAACAATGGAGAACCACCTCCGAAGTGACAGGAGTCGCCCCCGTCCACCCACTCCCTATTGAATTTCACGCCCGCAGGGGGATGGGGCTCCTTGAAAGCCAAGAAATTTGTGCAATTGAACCAGAACCCCAGGCCCCAGGCCCCCAGACTGACCAACCAAGCGAACGCGCCGCTCTTCTCTTCGAACCAACCGCCCACCACCCGACTCTTCAAACGAACCGACCGACCGTCGGATCCATTTGGCCATGGGTCAAAATCCCGTTCCCGTCAGTGAACTGCCCCCCAGTGAACATCCCAATCCCCATCAAACTGGTACCACTGGATTTGACCCACCGCCATTTTTCGCCCAAGTTGCTGGATGCCCCGGCACGCCACATTGGCCGAGCACGCGGCCTTGCAGGACTCCAGGCTACTGGACGCCACCTGTCAGGCTCGGAGATTCGCGTCGCGCGTGTCGGCGGGACCCGCTCCATTCCCGTGGCCAAAGCAGGCGCCCCGTCCCCGCCGCCCGGAAAAAAAAGAACAAAAGAAAGGCGCCCCGTTCCCGTCGCCCGAAAAAACAAAAAGCAAGGTGGTCTCATTGACCCAGGCGTTTCCTCCGCATGCTTGGGGTTCCATGTGGATGCCCAAAAGGACCTGGTTTGATGAAAGGGCCTGGAGTTAAAACGGGCCAAGGAGCAAACCCAAAAAAAGGACCTCCGGAAAAACCATCTGAGCTGGCACAAAGTAGCGGAACCATTCCTGGGGCTAACCTGCCTCAGGTTCTGTGAGTCCAGCTAAGACTCGTTGGTGATGTAAGCTGCTCCTTCCGGAAGTGCAATCTGTCCAGGAGGAGGGTGCCGTTTTTGGAATGGTTGCAGCTGGAGAACCGTTGCGCCATTTTGCGGGTCCCCCATTTGGGGGCAAACCAAGGAATCCTCTTGGCAAATGGTTGATTAAAGAAAACACTTGAGAATGGGAAACTCCAACTTGGGGGGTCCTCGGATTCTGCGGGAAGCCTATCCCACCCCCCGGTTATCCAGTGCAACCTGGACAAGAAAACACTCACATGGGGCCAGGATCTCATGTTCAAACAAACCCGACACATCTCTGGCTCAATATGAGTGTTGTTCGTTTTGGACAGTACCCCTTTTTGGTGGTGGCAAACAAAAAGTAAAACCACCGTTGCGGGGCTCGCCCAAAAAAGAACAACACCGTAGAACTCCGCCCTCCCTCACCTGCGTGTAGTACGTGGGCCACACATCCTCCGGGGACATGCCGCTGCAGGCCCGGTCGAAGCCATCCACATCCACCGCCACGAAGGGCTGGTGCCTGCCAGCAAGTGATCCGGAAAAAAGTGGTTGGGCCACCCAGTTTCCCTTCTGGTTGTTTGAATGGCACCCTCCAAAACGGAACTTTGCGGAAGCCAACCCATCCTGCCAAGATGGTTAGGTTTCCACGAAAAGCATGGTGAATGGGCACAAGTACCCATCTGGGGAATACCAAGGGTATCTGTACACAAGGAAGGTGGTTTGAGGTACCAAAGTAATTTGGCCACCCCTTTCACTCCCAGTTCGTAAGTTCACAAAGGGTACCCTGGTCAGTGGCCTGTTGGTTTCCCTTCAAAGACTCTTCAAACATAGGCCCTTCTCAATTGTCGCCATCCAAACGATACTAACAAGTGAATTTCGCTTCAACACAAATCAAAAGGGCCAGATCAAGCAACTAAAGCACCAGCACCACCAACTGGCTTTCCCATCTGGGGTATATACAAGAAACAATGTTGTCTGACTCTGTTGCAAAGAGTTCCATAGACTAAACCCCCCCCAAAAAAAAGGTGTACCTGGGTTCCATAAGCATAATATGGTGTTGTAAATTGCACCCCGTATTCAAGCCGTACAAACTCCATATTTAGCCCGTACTCACCCCAAAGTGTTGAATACTGGTTGTTGACCAATTCAAAACCCAGTTTTTGGCGGACACCCGGGCCTTTTTGGAGGGTTTGGGTGCTCCAGGTAGAAAGCGGGTAGAGCGGAGGACCGGACCATTTCTGATGGTCTGCAAACCCGTTGCATGTGTTGGTTTGGATTTGATGGATGTTGTTTCTAGTTTGGGTCAAACAACAACAGACATGCTAACATTGGCTGGTTTCGGGTTGGATTGGGCTTGGCTTAGGATTGGTTTAGGGCTGTTTTATGGCTCGAGCAGGTTGGTTGAGGCGGGGCCGTAGCGGGGATTTTGGGGCTGGGGGTTTCTTCAACTTGCCGTTCAGCGGTCACCGCAGGGCACCATGGGGGGCCGGGGGTACTTGCCTTCAGGCCTGGACCATATAACGAAATTTATGTATATATATATTATTGATTTATTCGATGCACGAAGAAAGCGATTTATCTAGCTCATAAGTGTAACATATGGTTGCTTGGCGCTGCCGTCCGCATTTCCGCCCATCCATTTTTCCGGACATTTCGCTGGCCTGAGGCAGCGGCGGCCCGTCTTGGTGTAGGCGCCCACGAGCTGTGAGCCCCAGACCCAGCAGTGCGTCAGGTTGTGCTCCAGGCCAACACACCGCCAGCCCTGCGATCCGACAAAGAAACCATCGTCTTGGTTCAAAAATGGCTGGCTGAACATGCTATTGTCCAATGAGGGACATGAACAGCGCCGGGCTTTCAAGCAGGGGTTGGTGCTTTGCATGGTCGGATTTTGCAGCTGGAAAATTGGCTGGCGCACTTTCCGTGGAAGGGAGCATTGGGCGCTTCCGGTTGGGCTGGTCCTTCTAGTCTGTTTAGGAATGCCGGGTTGTTTGCGAGGGGCTTAGAAGACAAGTGGGTTGAAAAAAAAACCCCGTGGACAACCCTTGTATCCTTATGCCTCAGTATCGGTCAGTATCGGTTTTTTTCCTCTGCATCGGTTTGCAGTGTTTTGGCAGCTCTGGCTCGAAAGTCGCGACTTTTCCGTACAAGTGTAGTATGCGAAGTACACTCTGCCAGCTCCCAGCCCCAGCTGGAATCGCAACTTTCAGTACAAGTGTAATACACAAAGTACATTTTGGCAGCTCCAGCTGGAAAGTAGCAACTTTTCAGTAGTATGCGCAGGACACTTTGGCAGCTCCGGCTCGAAAGTCGCAGCTTTTCAGTGCAAGCAAGTGTAGTATGGTGTAGTATACGAAGTACATTTTGGCAGCTCCACAGCGGCAGTCGCAACTTTTCAGTACAAATGTAGTACACAAAGTACATGTTGGCAGCTCCAGAGAAGGCTGCAGGGCAGCTGGTTGGATTCGGCACGGCGGCCAATGAGTTGGGTATCGGTTGGGTATCGGTTTGGGTATCGGTTTGGGCCCTGCAAATTTATGATTCCGCAATCTTGGTTTGCGACAACAACTAGGACCTGATGTGTGCCTTCATGGCTTCTGGGGGTATCGGTTTTTTTTCCTCTGTATCGGTTTACAATGGTTTTGGCCTGCGAAACAAGTTAAGGGACGGCCCCTTACATAACGAAAAGGCGCGGGGTATTTTTTTCGGCCCAAGTGGGCTGTCCCCCCGTCTCCTGCAAACCAACAGTTCGGCTTCTCGAAAGGCGCATTCAGCGCTCTTCCGAGGTACGGCATTTTTAGTCACCCAAAGCGCCATCTCTCCGCAAACGGCTTCCTTCTCTTCTTCCTGTAGTCTTCGCGTGGCAGCCGGCCACTGTGTTCAGATCAACTCATTCAGCTGTTTCCCTTCCAGCTAGGTTGATTGACCCAAAGAATGCCCACGCTTTCTCAATAGTTTTGCAATGAATTCGGAGCCCAGATAGCGCGCTGCGCACATCAGTGACTGACAAAAGGTCAACTTGTTGCTGGTGTAAAGAGACAATAAAGGTGCCGAGTGGGCGTGGAAGAGACCACCAAAAAGATGATGTTTGACCACCCAACATGGGGAATATTGGTTTTTTGTCTTGAAGGAGAACCTCCAACATGGGCTTTGGCTCCTTGAACACCAAAACTTGTTCCCGAAAAGACACACCCATCGCGCGCCGTGTTTTGTGATGGCTCCCCAAAAATGGGGTAATTAACAACAGACGCCCAAGCCCCCCAAGCCGTCCCAGGCGCTTTCTGCATGCACCGCTGCTTGCAGGTCTCCAGGGATCCGGCGCTAAAGGCGATGTCGTGAGGGCTTGGCCCGTAGCATCCCCGGTCCTGTTTGAATTCCCACCATTGTTGCTTCAACAGAGGCGCCAAGCTAGGGTACTCTCCCTTAATTGCTTTCTATTTTATTCCTTGGCGAACGCCCAAGCAGTTTCAACTCATTCTCCAGTCACGGATGAAACTGAGAGGGACATGTCGGGACAATCTCAATGTCCCTGAATATGGGAACCCTTGTGCTCGTTCCCCGCGTTCCTGGACTCTACACTTTTGCCGAAAGCTCTAGCCGCAAATCAAAAAATGCTCTCTTTTGGCAAGCCCCCTCAATCGGAAGTGAAACCCGGCAAGTTGCAAGTTTTTGTTTTGGGGGGTTCCCCACAGCGTCGAAGCTGGCTAAAGGCTCGGTCACCAACATTTAAAGACAAGCTTAATAGCTGCGTCCAATCTTTTCAGAAGTTCCCCAGGAACAATCTTTACAACCATGTCGCGATGCACCGTTTGAGCACAAGCATGTGCGTGTGCTCGCGCGCGGGGTGGGCGGGTGGGTGGGTAGCAAAAGGCAGATGGTTCTGCCAGTTTGGTTGCGCAAACAGTAGAGCAAGCAAGCGTGCAACCGTGAGGGATTGAACCTTCCGCAGCCTCTCTCCACGCCCATGACCTTCTTGTAGGCTGCGCCCTCAGATGCGAGACATCAACGGAGAGGTGTCCAAGACCTAGGGCTGCGCCCAAGACCCGTACCATTCTGGTGCGTACCACCTGGCCTGGCAAAGAGAAGGATGGGCGCATCTTTCGTCGTTTCATCCTCACACGCCATGCTTGGAACCTGCAAGTGACAGCTCACGCAAGTCAGCCGTGGCACTCGCTATTGACCCGTCTGTACGACCCAGCGCGGTTTCACACCCCACACAACTTGGCACACTGCCAGGTAAAGATTGCTGCCAGTCAGAAAAGCATTGAAATTATGGATTGAAGGTTCCAATTACAGTACTTGTTCTGGACTCTTCTTGGCTTGCAGTTGCTTGGCGCCAACACGACAGAAGTCTGCAGCACTGCGGCATCGGCTCGAAAGTCACAACTTTTCAGTTCGACCGTAGTACTTGCAAGAAGTGCACTTTGGCAGCTACCTCGAAAGTCGCAACTTTTCAGTACAAGAGTGCTACATGAAGTGCGCTTGGACAGCCTGTCCCTCTGCATCATCACAATGACAATGAACTGAACTCGTGCCATCTCGGTTCACATGGTTTCCCGCCGCTGTCTCGTTCTGATCTCGTTCTTTGGGGGGCCATCTCGTTTTATAAGGAATCCTCAATTCAGATGATATTTGACCACATCATTACATATTCAACCGACCGTTCATTAGTAGGTGGCTCATATGCTGAGACCCCGTGCTCTGCGCCAATGCGTGACTTCACAATCTGACACACCAAACGATGCTCTGCATCCACTCAGTCCTGTGTAAGTTGCACCATCATTGAAGCGGATCATGCAAAATGGCTGCCAGTTCTTCCACGATGTCAGCAGCCAAGGGACGAGCGCAGACCTCCAGGCACACCGCCTGCTGCTCCCAACCTCATCGTGAGCGCACTGGAAGGCAAGGCGCCCCAGATCTTGTAGTGCAATCGGGGGCCAGTGAGCTTCATGGTCTGCCTTGACCGCATGTTGGAAGTCTCTAAGAAACAACTGTTTGCAAATGCAGGTCAAGTATGTTTAGCTTCGGATAATGTCACAGAGCAAGTCTGGGTCTTCAGCCATAGCCATCAACCGGGCGACATCTCCATTTAGGCGCTGGAACCTGACAACACCATCCAGCACACAGCTCAAATGCAGTGAAAGGCAGCGGCCGATATTTCATTTGGCCAGAGACATCAACCAGTGCTGGAGTCTTTCGAGTGATGACCCGTGGTTGGGTGCGAGTCTGTGTGTGCAAGGGGGCGCGGCGTCCCCTCGACCTCCAGGAGCACCATCCCCACAGAGTACACATCAGAGCGCTCCGTGTACACGCCTGCCGGCAGAGTCAGCGCCCCACTGCTGGACGGTAAAGGCAACAAAGCCAACACAGGCAAGCAATGAGGACACAAACCAACAGAACGTGAAGATACACAGCGAGCAGCAACAACAAGAACAACAAGAAGAACAAGAGCAGTAACGAGACGGTCGAGCGCGACAACGACGATGACAACCGCGGCCATGGCCATGACGACCACGACCGCGGCCACCACAACCATGACGATGATAACCGCAACCACGACGACCACGACAAGCACAACAACCACAACGACAAGCACGGCCGCAACGACGACAACAGCAACAGCAGAAACAATGACAGCTGTTGTAAATATCGACAGCAACAGCTGCAGACACTGCAACCTACTGCACCAACGGCAACAACAGTCACGCAACAAACTCGTCACGACTTCAAACAAAGTAGCAACATCAGCGGCAACAATGCGAAAAAGAACAGCTCCCAAACACTGCCGACCGCAACAAGCTCGACAACGGCAACAATCGCAAGAACAGCAAGGACGACTCCAGCAGCAGCAAAAAAGAAGAGAACAAACGTGTGAGAAGCCCAAATCATCCCAAATCGCCATCGCGGGCCTGTGCTCCAATACTGCGGATCAGCATAGCCCGGCGTACAAGCTCGTAGCTCAATCTGGCAGGCAGGATTCTATCAAGCCTGGCTATATTATCAATGCTGCCGGAGCACAGAGCTGCCGCCGGCGGTGATTGCGCAGCCCAAATCTGCCATCTTGCACACAGCAGTAAGACTTGCAAAGCTGCAAGTCCTAACGTCCCCACCTTCCCACCGAATCCAGGCAAGCAACGCATCTCCCTAAGTTGGCCAAAGGCATTCCCTAAGGCAACGGCTCGGTGAAAAACCTGAATACGCATCCCAAATCCAATCCAATCGCTTCGTTCACATAATTACCTTGCAAACCAAGTGTGCATGTGTGGGTGGGTGGGTTGGGTTGGGTTGGGTTGGGTTGGGTTGGGTTGGGTTGGGTTGGGTTGGGTTGGGTTGGGTTGGGTTGGGTTGGGTTGGGTTGGGGTGGGGTTGGGGTTGGGGTTGGGTTGGGTTGGGGTGGGGCGGGGTGGGGTGTGGGTGGGGTGGGGTGGGGTGGGTGTTGCGGGGCGGGGTGGGGTGGGGTGGGGTGGGGTGGGGTGGGGTGGGGTGGGGTGGGTGGTCTGAAGCGCCGTCGAAGCTGTCCTTCCGAGACCGGCATGGGTGAGGCCGAGGAACAGATGAACGCAACGCGCAATATGATGATGAGCTGGACAGTGCCAAGCGCATCTGGCGGGCGGACTGGCATTCAAGCCATGACAAGCAGCAAAAAAAAGCAAGCTGCAATCTTGATGTCTACTTGGGGTGGGGTCCGCGGCCTGATTACTCGCTGCGCGCGCAAGCCATGGTTTTGGAGAGCCGTCAGGCGGGTCCAGCATAGAACCGCAGCCAAGGAGGACCACCAGTCCTCCGACTGGCTAAATAGCTTCAACCCCGCACGCCAAGCATCATTGCACAGCCTCGGCCAAGCCTGCTCCACGTCTGCTCTCCGCAACGATCGCTCCATGGTTGTTGCTTGATACTGCTTGCTCACGTAGGTGTGCCTTGGTCCACTGATTGCCGCCATTCACGCGCTTCTATCAAGACGTTTCAATGACGGCAACAAGAACGCTTAACTTGCGAACTTGCCAAGTTGCAGTTTACCACGTGAGGGACTCATGCAAATGCAACCCGGCCCAGAACCTTTGCAGTGAAGTCTGGCACGTCTGAGCCTAGGGGATTGCTGTTTCAATCGCCTCAAGCTGACTCCAACCCACGTGTTGGTGGTGTAGGTGTTGGTGTTAGTGTCGGTGTTGGGTGAGTGGTGAGTGTAGTGTGCGTGTGCGTGTGTGTGTGTGTGTGGGTCAGTCTCTGTGTGTGTGTGTGCGCGCATGTGTGTGTGTGCATGTGGGTGTGTAAGGGTGTAAGGGTGTGAGGGTGTGAGGGTGTAAGGGTGTAAGGGTGTAAGGGTGTAAGGGTGTAAGGGTGTAAGGGTGTAAGGGTGGAAGGGTGTAGGTATGTAAGGGTGTGTGTGTGCGTGTATGTGTGTATGTGTGTTTCACAGTGTTTGTCACAGTGTGTGTGTGTGTCACTCTGTGTGTGTGTGTGTCACTTTGTGTGTGCGTGTGTGGCAGTCTGCGTGTGTGTGTGTCACTCTGTGTCCGTCTGTGTGTGTGTGTCACTCTGTGTCTGTCTGTCTGTGTGTCACTCTGTGTCTGTGTGTGTGTGTGTCACTCTGCGAGTGCGTGTGTGTGTGTGTCACTCTGTGTGTATCACTCTGTATGGCGCACACACACACACACACACACACACACACACACACACACACACACACACACACACACACACACACACACACACACACACACACACACACACACACACACACACACACACACACACACACACACACACACACACACACACACACACACACACACACACACACACACACACACACACACACACACACACACACACACACACACACACACACACACACACACACACACACACACACACACACACACACACACACACACACACACACACACACGTGTGCGCGGGTGGGTGGGTGTGCGCGTGCGAGTGTGGGTGCGGGTTCGGGTGCGTGCCTGAATGCTTGCGTGTTGTGCCATTTGGCCCGTGGTCAAAGAAGTTGCCAAGCACCTGTGCTTGCAAATGGGTGTCTTTCAAACATCCAGAAAATGCCGCCCGCGGGGTATATGTCAAAGCCAGGTGAGGCAAAAAAGGGGTTGCTGCCTTTGAACCGCCATGAAAAGCCACTAAAGCGGTCTGCCCAGGACATGTCCATCAACTCCTAACCCCTCCCGCCCGATTTTTTTGGATCGTTTGGACGAAACCGACGCCCGCCCCTCGCTCTTCCGCTCCTCCCCCCCGTCCACCGGCGTGAAGGGCGCGTAGCGCAGGCACGTGGCCCCGGGGAAGCTGATGGAACTCTCGACGCCCTCCGTCTTCGTCCACACCTCCGGGGTCTTTTGGAGGCGTGGCTCGTCTTTTGGAGGGGGAACCCCAAAAAATGGCCAGTTTCCCTGTGGTTTCCTTGACCCCAAAAAGGGTACCGTCAAAAAATGACGCATACATGGCCAAAGATTGCACCGGCACATCCCAGGATGACTTTCGGGGACAACAAACATGTCTGGGTGAATCACATTCCATGCACCCAAAAGGACTCCTCGTGAAAGTGATGTTCAACATCGGGCTCTTCGCACACAAGTGACCCTACGACCAAAGGGCACAAAGGACACTCATAAACACTTCATCTGCTCCCAAACTCAGCGGAAACCACAAAACTCAAACAACAAATAAACACCCTACAGATCAACATGAAACCTTCAACAACCTCCATTTGCAGAGGAAGCTCCTTTTGGAAAATGGAGTTCCCCCTTTTGAATTCCTTCCGTTGTTTTGTAGAGGAGTAGACATCTGAACGATCGAAAGTGCTGTTTGGGACAGGGGTTTGTTTTCTGTTCTTTTTTGGGAACCCCCCTTTTATCTGGCTTCACGTTGAAAACCAGCGGGAGAACCATCTCAAAGAAATTCACAGCCGCAGAGCCTGGCGGACTTGCGGCCCTCATTGTAATTCCATGACTTGAAGCCCGTGGGGTAGCAACCATGTTCTCAAATATATTGGAGACCCCGTTTCTGGCTTAACTTTCATGGTGCCCTTGGCACAAGGACAACGAATCTTTGAACAACTTGCATGGAGGACATATTATGGATTGCACCCCGTTTGTCCCATCGTTCCGCGTCCGGTCGAAAAAACGGGACCGCCGGGCATCGGGCGTCGGCCGCTCGCCTTGCAGCCGTTGAGGAACTCGATGCCCACGCAGCTGCTGGTCTTGGCACACTCGCTCTTGCAGGCCTCCAGTGAGGGGCTGTTCACCCAGGTGAAGTACCTAGGCTGAGAGTCTGAGAGGCCAGGCTGTGGCAACAGGAAGCTTTTTTTCCCCCGAGGGGTGCCCTTGTTTGGTGGCTTTACAGGGTTTCACCGAGGGGAGAACCATCATTTTAGTTCAACTTCCCTCAAAAAGGGTGGTTTGGAGCTAAAAAGGTGGTTTGGCGGTTGAGGTTTGGTGGTTTCCCATTTACCCTCTAGAGCTAGAATCCAGAAACTCACAGGGCAAAAGGTATCAGAGAAAGTGTTCGTTTTCCCTTTGGTGCTCCCCCGCCGCAGTCTTCATGGGGAAACAAGGGCTCGCCTGGTCAGGAAAAACGAAGACTTGAAGCGCTTTCCAAAATGACATTCCCAAGTGTAGCTAAAGGTCAGAAGCTTGGCAAACAAGCAAAGAGAGTAGTTCGGAAGCAAAGGGATACCTTTTGAAACTGAGGAAGAGAGACGCCCGTGGTTACTTCGGCGACCCCAGATTGTTGCAGTTATGCTTCGGGATACCGAAAGGAAAGCCAAGAATGCTCTCTTCTGTTTGGTGGCGGGGGTAGCTGTGTTCAAAGCACACCCCCCCAAACAAGACACATTGTGAAGAGACCCACTATGCCTCACTTCCTGAGTGGATTGGCCAAAAAAGTCCCGGTTTTATGGGTTGCCACGGAAACATCCTCCCAAACAAGCACACCGAACCGAACCACAAAACCTACAAAACTAAAAGCACACCTAAAAACAAAAAACCCAAACAACCCTAAAAAACCGAACTCCAAGACACACACATCTATTTTATGTTATTTTAAAAAAAGGGGAAAACAAAAACTACAAACCTACCAAACCATGCCACCCGCCGGTGTCGTCTCTCGCCCCTGCGTTCGCCCAGCCGAGCCGCGAGGTGCTCCAGTCCCCGGCATGGCTGCCGCGGCAGGCGCGGCCCGCTCCGCCGTCCACGGCCTGGAAGGCGTCCGCGGCCTCGCGCGGCGGACGCGAAACCGAACCCCCCGAGGGTCGGCCGGAACTGCGGCAAAATGTGGGTCAAAGTCCCGGTTACCCCAACTAACATCCGATTCAATCCCCACAAAAACAGGTCCTAAGATGAGTGGTGAATTCACCTACCAACCAAAATGGTACCATTGGTTTTGACCCACAGCATCTGTTTGGAGATCCCCGGAACGTGTGGGTTTACTGGAAGCTCAACCACTCACAAAGGCCGGAAGAACTTGGATTTCAAGACACTTCCTGGTTAGGAGTGACTTTTGCACCTGCCACATGGTTCAAGAACTTGTGGGTGAAATGGAAGCTCACCAAGAGCGAAGCACGAAACCAGAGACATTGCAGTGCCAAAAGACAGCGCCAAGTCATCCTGAAAAAGGGCAGGGAAGACCAAGAAACAAACCAGCACTCCAAGGTTCAACCGGAACGGGGCTGTCCGTAGTGAAACAAACCAGGATTCACATGGAACCTGAAAACCATCATTTTCAGAGGAATCTCCCTCTTGAGGGACCTCTTTTTGGGTGCCACGGCAATTTGCAGGGGACTGGGCTGTCCGCTTTCAGATCCCCAGCTAGAAGTGAATAACTTTTAGTGGGTTTAACGGTTAAACAGAAAGCTGAAAAGCTAACGGGATGGCTGGGAACCACAAGATAATGTTGCAGTGCCACAAAATAGGGGAAACTTGCTCAGACGGACCCTGACTTGACCGCCAAATAAATCTTGCAGTGCCCAAAAAAACTGAACTGCAAACTTGGACCTCTTGCAAAAGACCGCAACTCTTTGTTGGATGAAGGAAAACCGCATTGGCCCCAGACCCACATGTTGAAGAATCTGAGCCAAAGTTCAAAGTTTGGACAGCAATTGCCAATCCCATCTTCAAACGGGATGACGGACACATGTGGAGTTCTTAGTGATTTCTCAGCGATGATTGTTTCAAGATTCATAAGATCAACCCGACAGTGGGCTGAAGGGGTCGACCATAGTATCAGCCCAAGAGTGCATCGGACAGGATCAAGAGGGAAGCTGATGATCCAGTTTTCTGGTTGCCTTCTTCCCTCCATACCACTTGTGGGGGGGCTTTGGTGAAATGAGGCCAACTCTATATTTGCCAACTGCCGGGAAAAAAAATTGAGCTTCGCAACGATTACGATTGCAAACATGAGAGCTTCCCTTTGCTTAAACCGCTGGGCTGCCCCTATGCCGATAGCCTAGTTTGGGGTTCTTGGGGAAGCCGCATTTCATCCCAAGGGCTGGGGGTTCAAATCCAAACCAACCAAAAGCTACCCAGTGCCAGAAAAAGACCAAAGCTGAGAAACAAACCACGCACACACAAACAAACAAACAGGGCTTACACACGGAGAACACATTGGGGAAGCAACCACAACATATAAGAGACACAGCAAACAAAATGCCTTAAATGACATCTTCAAACATCACCAACAAAAACAGGCTCAATTCAAAATTGCGCTTCAAATCGTGTTCAAGGCTCACACCTTGTGACAATATAGTTCTCGGGGGGTCCCCCTCACCGTTATTTTCGGGTGTGGGAAAGAAGGGGGTTACGAACCCGATTGGGGTTTACTGGGTTTATAACCCCTTGAAAGCCCACAACGAACTGGGGATTGCTGGGAACTCCTGGTTAAACAAAACCCATTCATCACTATTGGAGGGAACACCCCCTATTAAATCATAAGGAGGGGTTGATTAATCTGTGGGGTCAACATTCCCATAAACTTCACCCAACTCCTCCTAGCCCTTCCAAGTTAGATGGGGTTACTGGCTTTGATAGGGGAAAATGTTAACCTTTATGCAGCAGGTGTTCCGAGTTTTTGTTTAGCCCTTATGCGAGGTTCCTTCAGAAACCCAACCGTGATGAGGTATCCTTCTATCCAATTGGAATGGACTTTCCAGAGAATGCAACAAAGGAACCTAATGATGAGGTCTCCTTTTTTCCAGATATCCTTTCATCCTTCATTTCTCTAGGTCCTCCAGCAGAGAGGTTAGAATAAGGGTACCAACTTTTTTCTGTAGTCTACTTTAGTAGGGGAACCCTCCCCCAAAAAAGAAACGGTCAAAGAAACGGCACCACTTGCTGGGGGACCTAGTCCTTTTGCGCGGCTCGCGTCGGCGATTCCGAGCGACTCGCCTCCAGCGCCCCGAGTCGCAGGCACACCGATCCGCTCACCACTGCGGTGGCTTGGATGCCGCTGGCGCGGGTCCAGAGGTCGCAGGTCCCAGAGGACGAGTATTCCTCGACTGTTTGACCCAAACACATGGAGTGACTCGTCAACGTTTTTGTGGTTTTTGAGTGGTTTGGGGCACCTGACATTTTTTGACCCAAACACATGGGGTGAGATGCGTCTTTGGGAATCGGACCGTTTTTTAGTGTTTTTTTTTTTGTGGTTTGGGGCACCTGATTGTAAAGAACAGGGACAATGCATGGGGCGACTCGTCTTTTGGGAATCGGACGGAGACCGGGACCCAAAATGTCGGATGTTTGGTTCTTCGACCCAACACATCTTTCCTGTTGGTTTGGATACTTTGACCCAAACACCTGGGTATGTTGGATTTCGACCCAACACATCTCTTATGAAAAAAGAGCACGCGGAAGAAAAAAACCAGTTTCCCTCAAAAAGGGTTTGGAGCCCGGTGGGTTTCGTGGTTTGGAGGGGTTGTTTCCTATTTACCCTTTGTAGATACCCGAACCATGAATCCAAACCACCAAGTAAGGGGCACATGATCATAAAGAAAAACACAACGCGGAAAAGAGCAACAACACGAAAGCAAACCAACAAAGAAATTTGAATACTTCAGGCCAGAAACGCGACACGAACAAAACAACAAAGGGTGGTTGAATGCTGTTCACCCAGGAGCAAGCATGGAACCTTGTTAGTTACAGGGTTGACCGTTACTGGGGGCCAAGCAATGCGAAAAAGCTCGGTGCAGGGTTTGGAAGGTCAAAATCCTTCAAGGGTTTAGACAAACCAACAATCCCTTGAAAACCGACAGCAGGCACGGAGAAACAGAGCGCGAACTCCTGCCTCAAGACAGAAGCTTTGACAAAACAGAGAAATGACACCACAGAATTATAAGAAACCAAGAAGGGATGGAAAGGACCCTTGCACCGAATTTTGAGCAGCCAAGCCAAGAAAGGGCAACCTTGATCATCAGAAACCAAAGCAACAGGAACACAAAAAAAGCTGAGAAATTGTGACCAAGTTACATCCTAGTGGTTCAAATTCTGGAGGTTTACAGAAGGCCTTGCCAACACATGTCCATTGGACACCATAAACAGGGATCCTTACATTGTACACCTAAACATTGCCTGGTATATTCGGGTTTCCCTTTATTTGGGTGGAAAAAGCCATGTTTCACATGGGCAAAATGTATCTTTTAAGGAGCCCTGAGAACCCCTTTGCGAATGGTGTCCCCATTCCTGTGATAACATGGACAGCCAGGTACCCTAAAGATGACCACGCGTCTGCTACGTGACTATGTCAGCGGCTTACAGCGCACTTAGCAACTCGTATCCCCAAAACAAAAATGCTGAGGCAAAAGCACGATACTAACTACTAGCCGACACTAGGGTATAAGAATACAAAGGCTTTGAGGGTTCTTATTTTCAGCCCGAAAATTGGGATAGACCACTTGCAAGGCGGTGCGCGGTACAGTTTATCCATATGTTTGTCCACTATACTCAGTGGTTGACAGGGGTCACATCTTCCAGGTGCCTTCCCGTGTAAGCGATATGATGGGAGGGAGGGCTTTTTTGTGTGATTTCTAGTCGCTGGCTGGGTTCGATCTCAAAACGTGGGCCAACTAGAAGCAGGGGAAACATCCAGAGAATGCAGCCGAGACAAAGAACAAGGAAAATAGCCAAGAAAAGCCCCACCGCACCTTTGTGAGGTTTGAACTATGTTGGCCTTGCTCAAAGCAGTCTTCAACCAGAGCTCCAATGAAAAAGTTAAGGCAGTTGGGATCTCGCTGGTCCTTCTGCCCAGTGGTATACAAACCGGACGTCCTACACTCGAGTGGGGAGGAGGAGGAGTACCTTTCCAGTCACCAAAAGTAAGCCCTGGTCTTGGTTGCTGTTGACCCCTCTGCAGAAAGTTTCATTGTTGGTGGATTGAACTCGGAAAATCCGTGGATTTTCCAACATGTTGAAGCTGAAGATCCAACCAGGACCCCTTTCAAGGGTACGTGAATCTGGTCACAGCTCTGTCCTTGCTTTTAGGTACCCCTCCCCCGTCTTGCTAGAAAAAAGTAAGGGACACCAGAGAGAACGCCGCCATTTTTGGGGGGTGCAAGAAATGACAGACCCATATTTGGTACCCTTGACATGGCGAAATCTGATAAGATATCTCCTGAGTTTGGTGCATCCGGGCGTCGACTCCCTTGCAAATCGCTGAATTCCTCGCACACAAAACCTCGGCGAGCGCGAGGTTTGAACTCCATGCGGCTTAAGACACACTGCACTGCCTGGGAACGAACACATTTTTTTCCAAACCAATGGCAACACAAAAAGGACCACATGGGTGTGTCTCGTTTTTGAAAGGACCCCCCAAAATTTGATGGCTTTCCGAAAGTTGGCTTCCCTGAAAAAAAAAACCCCAAAAAGGATTCCCTCAAAAAAAGACACACCCAAATGCAGCCATTCTAGGGATACCTTCCCCATGCTTTCCAGGATCCTTCTTTCTAGGAAACCTCCGGAAACCCAGGGAAAACGGCTGGTTGTTGAAAAGAACGATGGTTGAAAAGAATGGAAAAGGAATCAATCCCTAGAGCCATGGGTGTCTGCCAAGAAGCCTTGCACGCGTCCAGAGACGCCACTGTATGGCGCACATAGAAGCTGCTGGCGAGGTCAGATTCATCTGAGCCGCGGCAGCCTGCGGGACCGAGTGGGCTTGTCATCGAAAAGAACTGGATGCCTCGATTTATGTCTTTCTCTTTTGTTGGAGGGCCAACAACAAGAATATGAGCTTTCTATGTACCACAAAAGGGGTCTTCCCCAAAAGTATAAAGTACAGGAACTCAGGGAATGAGTTTTAGGGTACCCTTTTTTTGTGTAGGAACACCAAACAGACAACCATGATTTTAGGGGACCCGGGGAGGGGTCGCCAATTTTTAAGACACAACTGTTCTAGCTTGGACTGTTTTGGTAGGTCTCCACTTGGTGGCCCCCATTGTGTTCATGACTATAGATGAAAAACTGATAACCAATTCATTTCGCTCCCAAAAAGGCTTTGGGCAGGGGTTTAGGTTGTTGTCAGCAAAAATGAGGACGAGAACCAGAACGCAAATGCCAAAAGGCGTGAAGATGTGAAGGAGGACATTTGCCCTGGTGATGTTTGAGCCACTAATTCTTTGATGTGTATTCCAACTTTGGCTGATGCTCTAAGAATGGTTGTCCTTGTTCGCTTTCCCCCCCCCCCATTTTCTCCCCACACAAATTAACACTAAACAGAACCCAGCAAAGATTCTCCTTTAAACGGTGCGATGCTGGTTTCCACTACACTGCACTTTGAGCAGAAATCAGCAAATTCCACTTGGACCATTGCTTGCAACTGGGGACATCATCCCTCAGGTTTGTTCCCCCACAAGGGGGAGGGCTATCAGGGACAAACCAAAGGTTTGACCCAACCAAAACGGGAAACTCGGTGGCCTCTGGGTGTCTCTGAAGAAGCTCCCCCCTCCAACCCTCCAACCATCAAAGCTTGCGTCAGCTGGACAACTTGACTGGGTTTGCCTCGAGACAGGGACCCTGCAAAGTGCTCGGGCTCCATCTGGTTTCCCCTTTCATTAACCCAAGAAACACGGCACCCTCACCCTTGTGAAAAGCTCAGTTCCTGAGTGAACTGGCCAACAAAATACATGGCCAAACTTTCGGCTTACCACGAAAATGGTCCAAACCCAAAAAGTGGCTAAAGTCCATGAACTCGGGGAGCGAGGAAAGTCCATCCCCACCAATTCACATGGAACATCATGGCACCTGACAAAAAATCCGGGCTCCCTTCAAAAGGAAAATGGTCCAATCCAGAACCCCCCCACACCTCAGGTTCCATGTAGAAAAAGGTGGGGCTTCGTCCCATCAGACGGCACCATCCCGCCCTCCCTGCCTCGATCTGGCCCGTCTAAAACGACGAAGGGCGCCAGCGGCTGGCACACGAGCCCCGCCGCGGCCACGGAAAAGCTGATGCCTCCCGCTCCGGAAAGGCTTCGCCGTATGGATTCACTATACTCCCCCAATATAGTGAGTAACAAACAGCGAGCACATGGACCACCCAATCGCGCCCCCGATTTCCTGATCTACCTTGATTGCTTCTCAATGTACATCATCTCACCCTTAATCGGTGGATTGCCGTCCTAACCAATCCAAACTACCAATGCCAATCCAATCCACCAAAGAAAGAAAGGCTGAATACTGAATAATATGGGTGCGAGTGTGGCTTGTTATCTGGACACACTCTGTTTTTGAAACAGCCAAACAAAACACCTTTCAAGGTCCAAATCCCCAACAACATTACACACAACCATCTCCCTTGTCGGGCCGACCAAACAAACATCCTCGGCCGAAGGCACGACATCGACCAATCGCATCGCTTCGATCAGGGCCGGGCCTCCGTCCCGCGTCCAGAGCTCGCACCGCGGCGCCCCGAATTCGATGCCCCGGCAGGCAGGGGACTGTAGGCACAAGTCCTACCAAAGCTTCGGGTCGGACCACTGCTTCAAATGTTGCTTGTTTCATCTACCGGTTCGGGCCCGGAATGGAAACGGGCAGGTCCAAATGGGACAATAGGTGGGCAAAATCGGTTCCTGTGACACTCCCCGGAAAGGCCAAATGCGTCCAATGAAATAGCTCCATCAAATGGGCCCAGAAAACAGGCTTCAATATATATATATATATACATACGTATATAACCTGAGTTGGAAGACAACTCTCTAAATCAGCTGGAACAAAGACTTTCCAACTCTGTCAAATGTATCCTTTAACGGCTGGTAAGTAACATCAACCTCAGCCACCCGTTTCACGGCCTATGATTGTGGCAAGAAATCCTCAGACGTGCCCCGAAGTCCCCTTAAGCCTTAAGCTCGAACAAGAACCTGTCCTCACATCTGTGTCATACATTCACCAAGCAACAAGGAGGGATCCTCGAGGAACCTTCATGGGCTGTTGCCGTCGCAAATCTTCCCCCCTGATCAGATACCATTATTCTTGCTTATGCCTTGGAAGGGGCTCCAAGCTGTGCATCCGTACCCAGTTCGTTTGCGGTGTCCAAGCTTGCAACCCGATGCAGCAAAGGGAACCAAACCAGTCAAGAATGAAACCGGCGAAAATAAACAAACCTGAAAGGCTGCACAGTTGGGTAAAGTTTTATTGAGTGGTGCAGTAAATGCGACAATGACGACATCACTATGAGGGAATTGTGCCATCCTAGCTGTAAAGCGTTGATTCGCGGTTGATGTTCTTTGGTTCTAAAACCAAACGTCCACTGATTCCTGACAGGTGGGGATTTGTTGCTCCCCCAAAAAAAACCAATGCACTTGAACAGAGGCCTGTCAAGGGGTAGCTTGGCGCTGGTTCTTACTTCCTGAATGGATTGGCCAACAACAAGTCCAGAGCGGACAGCAAGCATTTGCATTTCTGCGTCAGAAACACCCAACCGCCCACGGGTCCTGACACGCCGACAGGGAGCTTGCACTGAGAATCCTGTAGTAGGCCGGATTGTTGTCCGCAGCAGAGCTCCCTCGGCATGCTTGGTCGTCACCTTCTGCGTCCAGGAATGGAAGATAGCCTCGGGAGTTCTCAAGAAGAAGGCATGCTGCGGTAGTTTCTGGCTTTTTCAGAGAGTTAACGCACTGTGCCTCTGTCTGTGCGGCGTGTGTGCATATGTAGCATGTACTTACTGTGTTAAATGAGTTCCATGCCTGTGGAGAATTTCCTCTTGTAATCATTAGAAGCGGCTCTTTGGTTTCCGGCGTGTTTTTAGGGCCGGTGGGGGGACCGTGTCAGCGCATGTGCGGGGCGCAAGGCGCAGGGGACGCTGTTGGGGGACCATATTGCTGGGGAGGACGCTGGGCAACGGTATCGTTTCAATAGCTGTATACACGCCAATAAACCACCCTTCCGCATCTGCTCATCTTTGCCTTGTTTGAGATAGAATGGTTTCCTGTCCAAATGAGGCTTTGACAAAACTTCTTTAACCAGACGTCGATTTGGGACCGAGCCGGTGCAGATTTCGTCTTGGACACCTGAAAATCACGACCTTTTGCTCAATGGTCAAACAAGAACGTCAGTCAGATGTAATTGGGCATTTTGAATCGGCAACAAAGGAGCGATTTCAAGAAGAACCTCTATGTGCAAAAACCATACGCGCTGAAGTTAAAAAGCAGGGCCAGATAGCATATAATACTTGCATCATTCAGTTCGCTGTGAAAAGGAATTCCTGGTTGCACGTAAATTCGAGTGAGCTGTTCATGGGCCTCGACAAGGCAACAAAGCAATTAAAGGCGATGTGTGACAACGTTATTTTGAAGGAACTCCCTTCCAACAATGGTTCATTGAAGTTTCTCAAGTAGAATGCAAGAAGAATCTAGAAGGTAAAGTCTGTCAGAATGCTGACTTTAAACTTGGACAAAAGGCTTCCCTTTCAAATTGGATTGAACTCAACTTTAAGAAGTTTAGCGAGCAACCGGTTCAAACTCCCGCGCACGTCAGAACCGGGGATAGTAGGGGACATCCAATGTGCCTGCCTCTGCAAAAAAGCGCTGGCCAGTCAATTGCATGAATGAGGGTCACGTCTGCCTGGGCGTCAGTCCGTACGGCGCTGCAACGTGAACCTGTTCATAGGAAAAGCACTGGTGCCATACGCGTGGCAGAATAGTCTCATGCAGCATTCCCCTGCCAGGGCGGTCACGGCTTCAACCTGAATCAACATCTTCAGATGTATTGGTAGTCTTGGCGATTGTGCCTGAGCCCAGTTCCAGTTGGACACGTCATAGCGGCGCCATTCAAAATGAGCTTTCCTTTTGCAAGCGCAAACCTGCAAGAACTTCGACTGGAACTCGATAAGGAAATCATTTTGTCCGGGGTAGCTCTTAAATAAGCCACTCTTTTCCAAATAAGAGTTTGAATCCCACCACTCTTTTCCAACTAAGAGCTTTGAGTTCCAAATAGGACTCAAATCCACGTGGGTTTTTGCTGCCGGGGCTGGCCCAGGAAGGCCTGTTTGCAAGACCACGCAGGATCCACGTGCTTCAAGTTTCTTGAAGCCTCCAAAGAAGGAGGTGCTGTGCATACACCTTTTCCTTCTCTCGGATCGTGGAGCATCCCATGATTATGGCTGCACCTCGAGGGGCTTGCGATGCGCGATCTGTCCCTGAGAACAGCTGCCTGGCGACAGCTATCCGCTGCATTTCTGCGGCCAAGTAGAAAATGACACGCTGTGGATCTTTGCGTGGCAACAAAGCTCCTGGTGCCTACGCGCCATGTGGGCCGCAGCTCCATCACCGACTGGCAGCAGTGGTCCAGGGCAGTAGCAGGCAGCAGAAGCACCAGTAATTACAAGTTGCCGCGCGAAGCTTTCGCGGCCTCTCTGTCCTGGCATCAGACCCGTCGGCAAAGTCACAAAACCAGCCAGCGACGGCCGTAACGTGCGCTCCATAGGCTGCGTCCGAAGAGGGCGGAGTTGCATCACGCGCACGGAGGCCGGGCACGTGGATGCGAAAATTTGACGTACGCCCCCCCCCCCCGTTGCCAAACCAAGCGCAGCGAAATTGGTGTACCTAGCATGCAGCGGTATTGAGAAACTTTGTGTGGCGAGCACCTGCAAGAAACAAGGTGTTGAATCTTGCGTGCTGCCAGTGCTGACAGCCTGAGACTTCTTGCTTGTTTCTAACTAAAATCGCGTCATGACTTAGAGAACCTTCCTTAAAGGAAAACAGTTCAGATAACAACTCAATTTTGAAGTGGAGTGTTTAATCAGAATCCCTTTCCAGATATGCTTCAAGTTCTATCTAAAAATGCTTTCATATGTAAATCACATTCAGAAGCAACAATAAACAACAATGGAGCAAACAACAACTCCTGGAGGTTTTGGCTTCGCCAAACAGTTTCTGGGTGTTCTCGAGGTGTGTTTGCTTTTCGTGGCATTCCCTGAAAGTTTTCTGCGTGCTTTAGTATTAACACCCAACAAACCAAGAATATGTATGTTGTGTTCGCGTTTTTGTTTTGCAAGTGTTAGAAGGCAAATACCAACAACAACTCAAGTTGTTTGTTTGCCTACAAAGGCCAACCAAAAAAACAAAAGGCAACAACTAAGGGAAACAAACGGGAGAGCACCAAAGAACAGCAAACTTGGGAAAACCAAGCCTTCTTCTCTGAGTGTTTTTGTTTGTTGGTAAGTGTTATCAAGTTTTTGCAAATTTGTCGTCAAGTGCAAACATCATGCTTACAGGATTATTAAAAAACAAGTAATCATACACACAACCCAGCGTTGGTGAGCTTTAAACAAGCAAAGCAGGAAACAACTTGCTTTGTTTCCAAAGGCTCTTGGATTTGCAGGTGCATCCACTGGGCCATTTCGGGCTATCCATTCAAAAAACAATGCGAAGGCAAGAAACCTTCAACCGCGCCGGTTGTGTCTCTATGTGTTCTTGCATATCTACCAGGAAGTAGAGTGAAGGTTGCTCATGGGCTGTGCGCGACCGACATGTATTTGTATACTCTGATCGGGTTCAGCTCTCACTGGAAGACAAACCGTGGCCCGCAGGAAGAACTTTTGTGAGGTTTAGGGTGGGGACGAGGGGATCCAACCACTAATTCAGACAACCAACAAAAGCCCAAGACCCCACAAAAGCTAACAAAACGAAGCACCCAACATGATAACGCACACCCAACAAAACGTAGCAACACCTAACAACACTCAACACAACCTGCCAAAGCGCGCAAAACCCAACAACACCTCACAACTCCAAACAAAACAGCACAACCAACTCGCCAAACAACAACCAGCACCACCTACCAACACCTGACAACGCCAAACACAAGGACACAGAAACCAAGGAAACATAACCCGTCTGGATGGCTGAATCCCACCGTGCAAACAGTCTCTTGCGTTCGCCGAATTATGTTCTGAAATGTGTAAGTCCAAGCCGATCTATGTTCCCCTTAGTTTCCCTCCAAAACAAGCACACAACAGGCACCCCCCCCCAAAAAAAACAAAAAGCAACTCAAACGGGTGTGTCTCTTTCTTTTAAAGGGAGCCCCAAAAATTGATTTCTCTCTTCTCGCCGCTCCGAAAACTCACTCAGTTGCAAAAAAAAAAGCCAAGAAATGAAACGCTAACCTTTTGGGACCAGAAACGAAAACTGGCCCAACATGGGAAAACCCAAAAAGGTTCAAAGATGGGTTTTGAACAACTCCAACCACAAACAAGGAGAGCCGGGGAACCCAAAAACCAAGATGCGCACAAATATTTATGACTGACTGTCAGCGAACTGCTTGCCCAAGCAGTTTGCAGGCAGGAGCTCGTGGGCGACACAGGCAGACCGACCATGCTGCTATTGCTGCTGCGGCGTGGATTATGCCTTTCTGCTATGGAGCAGCAGCCTTGCACTGAGCTGCAAGAAAGCTCTTAGGTGCAAGACCGGGGCTTGCTGGGCTTGTTTTAAGGAAACCAACATTCTGGCTTGCTCCTTCTTGTTTGCTTGCAATGGTTTTGGGCTATAAGGTGGTTCAGAGGGGACGGCGGCCTGCTCGCGCCGTGCGCGCGCGCGTTTCCATGTGATGTTGGGCACATCGAAACGCGCGGCACGCGCGCGCGGCGCGCGCGACGCGAACAGGCTTGCCCGATCTTGCCAGCGTTGGATGAAATTCACACGGGTGAAAACAAAGGCCCGAAATCATTGCAGCTGTCTTTTTTTGCTACAGCTAACGGGCCTGAGATAGCTGCAACTCACACAACGCTTGGCCAGACGGAACACCCTCCAAAATCTAGTGAAGAGGACAAATGAAGGAAACCCAAATTGGCAAACCCCAAACCTTCCAACGTCGAAGTTTAACTCGGCATGTCGATGTTTAACCGCCCCAAACACCGGCTTTCCGCAATGGCGATGTTTCACCCTTGATTTGGTTCCCCCACCTCAAGTAAAACACCGACGTTGTCAGTCAACCATTGTCTTTCCGGAGTCCGAAGGCCGAAGTACAACTTTGAGACACATTGGGGAAAACTAAGCAGGTTTGTTAAGTCTGATCATGAACGAAAACTCGTCGCTTAATTGGCTCTCGAGCCTAAAATGGATCCACACCTGCCCCCCATCCCCCAAGCGCTGCTATCGCGGCGCCTCTGTGAACAAAATCCCACCAGCACGCGGCCTGCAACACGCCTTGTCGCCTCCGCGCTGGTTGCCACCGGCGCGCGCCGCTGTCACCTCCATCCTTGCCGCCTCCGCCACGCCAATCTCCAGCACCTCCCGTCACCTCGGCGCTGGCTGCATCCGCAGCAGCAAATCCCACTGGCACACGCCCTCCATCCTTGTCCAAAATCCCACCGGCACACGGATGACCCCAGCTCGTTCTCGCTGCTTTCCCGGAAATCCCACCGGCGCACGGACGAACGCCGCTCGATATCCCACCGGAACACGCCTTGTTATTGCTGCGCCTCTGTGGACCAAATCCCACCGGCACGCCCAGCACCTCCCGTCCGCCTCCACCAAGCCAAATCCCACCGGCACACGGATGACCCCAGCTCGTTCTTGCTGCTTTCCCGGAAATCCCACCGGCGCACGGACGACCGCCGCTCGTTATCGCTGCGCCTTGTGGACCAAATCCCACCGGAACACGCGCCTTGTTATCGCTGCGCCTCTGTGGACCAAATCCCACCGGCACGCCCAGCACCTCCCGTCACCTCGGCGCTGGTTGCATCCGCAGAAGCAAATCCCACCGACACACGCCACCGTCACCTCCATCCCTGCCGCCTCCACCAAGCCAAGTGCCACCGGCACACGGATGACCCCAGCTCGTTCTTGCTGCTTTCCTGGAGCCAAATCCCACCGGCACACGAACGACCGCGCCTCGTTAGCGCTGCGCCTCTGTGGACCAAATCCCACCGGCACCCAGCACCTCCCGTCACCTCGGCGCTGGTTGCGTCCGCAGAAGCAAATCCCACCGGCACACGCCGCCGTCATCTCCATCCTTGCTGCCTCCGCCAAGCCAAACCCCACCGGCATACGGCTGACCCCAGCTCATTCTCGCTGCTTTCCTGGAGCCAAATCCCACCGGCACACGAACGACCGCGCCTCGGTATCGCGCGCCTCTGTGGACCAAATCCCACCGGCATGCGGCCTCCAGCACCTCTCGTCACCTCGGCGCTGGTTGCAATTCAGCCGGCACAGTCACCGTCAAGGTCGTCCCGGCAATGCGGTAAACTCGGCAAAGCTCGGCACACTTGAGACCGGTCACGTTTTTGGCGGCGCTTGCGCGGTATGCCGCAAACTCGGCCCTGCGGTAGGCGGTAAACTCGGCACACTTGAGACCGGTCCCGTTCTTGCCGGCAATTCAGCCGGCACGCCCCATTTCCCGACCAGTGGCGTTTACACGGCATGCTGCAAACATGGTACACTTCAGGCCGAACCCCTGGCGATCCTCGCTCCCTCGCGGTTAGACAACTAAACGAGAACCCAACCCCAGAGGGTTTTTGGGAAAAACTGGCAAGCCCAACAAATCCAGCTTTGAACAACTGAGAAAGGGGTCCTAGACGTACCTGGAGTCTCCTAGAAAAAAGAATGAAGATCATGGAGAGTCTAGGTACCAACTCCAACAAAACTCGTTTTTTTTGCTGCTCCCCTGCTAAAAGTTGAAAACTTTTCGTGGTTTAATACGGAAAGCTCGTTTGGCCAAAAGTGGTTCAGTCCTGACATCCCTTGGCAAAATTCGCACCAAAGAAAAGCTCCTGGACCCCCCATATGCCCCAAACTCCCCAAATTCCCCAAAGAAAAAACAAACCCGGCGGTCGTCAAAAATCGCTCGGCCCGCGCTCTCGCTCTCGCGCTCCGAGAGGCGCAGGCACTGGACCCCCTGCGTCTGCGCGGCCGCCTGGATGCCGCCCGGCCTCACCCAAACCTCGCAGCGCCCCACGCGGAACTCGATGCCTTGGCACGTGGCCGTCTCCAGGCAAGCGGCCTGCGCCGCTTCACCAGGGCTTTGGGGCTTGGAAAAAGCCGAAGACCACGGCACCGAAGTGAAAAAGTTTTTTTGGGGTTGGGTGGGTCCTGCGTCACTTCAGAACTTCACACCAATGGGGTTTTGGGACTTCTTCACCCGAATGATGCTTGGGATTGGATCCAAAGGCCTGAGCTTCACTTCACCCGCAAGTCTTTGGCATTTGGATCATCCCAAGTCCCAAAACGCCGAATCAGGCGGCCCCTCAGAGAGCGGAGGCCAGTTGGAAGCGGGCTCAGAGCCGGGATCCAAAGAAGCAAACTTGAATGGTGTTACCTCCCACTCCCCGGCCGCTTTCTAGGACCAAAACCTTGGGCTGCTCCGCCCAACGCCAATTTTTGGGGGGCATTAAAGAGGCGGAGGTTGGCCTGTGATTTAAACACCAAGGTGGAAGGGAAAAAGGGTGAACGGCTTTTGAGGCTCAGGATCTTGCCTGATTTGTTCACAGCTTCCATCTAACTTAAGGGCGCTGCTCTGGATCCCAATCCCTGCCTGCGTTTGTCTCATGGCCACTTCGCGTTTTTGGTAAGATGTTCATTAATTTGTTCTTGGCATCCCAATTCGTCTTTGTAGAACTCAGCTGGCGAGTCTTCTGGACGCCCCCTCCTGTTCTGAGCACCTCTCAAACTACGTGATGCTGTTATCATGCCCATATTGGCAGGGCTCCTTAAAAGACACATTTTGCAACCATTTGAAACATGGCTTTTTCAACACCAAAATAAAGGGAACCCGCCATTTACAAAGCACTGTTCAGGTGTTTTTCATGTAAGGATCCCTATTGAGGGTTCTGGCTTGGGTTCACCACCATGTTGAAGGTCTGGACAATCATGCCCTTACTGTGGTTTGCTATTATGGCTGTGGTTGTCAAAACCGTGTTCACAGGAACCCTTCCATTTGGTTCAGGCCCCAGGAAAAATGAGAACATATGTCCAGTAGTGAATTCCTAAGACCAAGCAATTTCAGCCAATGGAGGTAACCTAACCCACCAGGTCCCCTTCGGGGCCAAAACCCATACCACGCTTTTTAATGGGGGGGGGGTCTTTGAGATAGCTGGGTGGCTTTGGGGCGGCTCGCTGGTCGCTCGCTGGTCGCTCGCTCCCGCCTTGCAGCCATACAAGCTGGCGGCCGCGTCGCCGGCCCTCACAATGTAGTAGGAGCCGTCGTCGTCGGTGATGCTGCTGCCGCGGCAAACCTGGGAGACGGGAGACGCAACGCCCCGCGCGTGGCACTTGGGGCCAGCCAGGTCCTCCAGCAGTTTGAGCTTGGAATAAGGGTACCAACTTTTTTCTGTAGTCTATGCTAGTAGGGGAACCCTCCCCCAAAAAAGGGGAAAAGGGGACTACTGGGGACCTAGTTATGTTTCAAGTTGGCCCCAACTTCTCCCTTATGCTAGTGGGGGAACCCTCCCCCCCCAAAAAGGGAAAAGGGCACTACTGGGGGACATAGGGGAGTTGATGGAAAGGTCGCCGAAACATTGGATGATTATTGGGGAAAACCACGAAAGACTATTTTTTGCATGTCAGCCAAATGGGAAGTTGCCCTTGGTCATTTGGGGCTCGGGAAGATTGAGCAACTTTCAATTGGCTGCCCTTGTGGGGCGTAGGCTTTAGGGTTTAACTTGAAGGGTTTACAGCTTGGTTTTCAGGGCTTGTGACAGGGCCTCGGCTTCAACCGCTTGGATTTCCGGATAGTTGCTTGATTGGTTTCTCGGGTTTTTCGGGCTTGGCCAGGTCCACCAAAATATCATCTTCAGATTCTGTTTCATCTGGCCAGGACAGAGTTTTGCTTTGCAGCTTCAGACCTTGGAAGGGCTTCGACCTTGAAATGCGCGCCGTGCGTGCGAGGCTGGGCCCTCATAAGCCAGGCCAACTCAAATACGGTCACGGCTTCGACGGCTTCCAGCGGGCTTCCACTCAACAAACTTGGAACCAATCACCTCCCTTCAAAACCAAAAGGCCGGGGGTTGCAAACTTGGTCTCAACCAGACCTGATCTCCTATTAAAGGAAACCCAACGGCTGTGGCTGAAACACAGCAACTCGTCCAATCCAGACTTGAGTCATTTCCAAAATCTGGCAGAACACTTGATGGGGCCAATTTCTGTTGAAAGGCATCGTGTATTCTAAGGCAAAGCCGTACGGTCTTTTTGTTTGAGGGGATCACTTCTTGCACTTTAAGGGAAACCAAAGGGACATCACCTTCAAGCTTTCCCATATACTCGCTCGAGTGGGCCAAACCAAGTCTAAACTTTTTGCGTATGTATTTCTCTAGGGGACCTCCCCAAAATGGGTGGAGGTTTCCCTGGTTTCCCTTTAAACCAGACCAAGGGCTAGCCCCAAACGATTCGCCTCCGACTCGCCCGCTGAGGCTCTGGCGCGGTCTAGGCCACCATCCACAGGGGCGAAGGAGTCCGCCTGGGGACATGCCAAGCGTCTTACCCTTAAAATATGAGTCGCAATCAAACCCTGGTACTAAAATGGTCTACCCAGAACCATGTGAAGAAGGCGGCCGCAGCTATTTATGGTTAGGATCGTCCCGTGCTAACCTTCATCTACCCGGGTTTTGATTGTGGCTCATATGGGGTCATCTACCAAAAGGGGTCATGACTAGTACTAGGATGGAAGGTGGTTTTCCACTCCCGGAAAATGACACATGTGGAAAACCAGCCTTGATACCAACATGAGTCTAGGGCTTGCAGGCATAGGGCTGGCTCCTTGTTTCTGTGAAACACGGTCACTTTGTCACTTCGGGTATTCCCTGGGCATTGGAGAAAGCGAGCGAAAACCAGATTTAGCCATGGCGAAACCCTTGACATCCCTAAATTCTGCCCCTGGATTTACCCCTCGTGCAAGGCACCTGGTACCTGGCTGCGATGTGGGGGACCTGCAGAAAAATCAAGGATTCATCTACCCTACAAATGAAACGCGTTTTGGGAGACAAACTCATGTGCTCTTTTGTCGCAGAGTTACCCTAAACCCCTTTACTAGAAGGCCTGGGTACCAAGATGTTCATCACCTGGCGGCACATGGAACAACGCTGAGCCTCGCAATGCTGGAGCCCGGTCGTTACAAGGGGGGGCAACACTCTTTGCCATGGTTACACATGCAATGGGTCCACTGTCTGTGAACGCCAACCCAAGCCAACTTTCCGTGCACAATGTCAGTGGAGATCCAGGTAGTGACAAGCTTCATCATGCCAGCGAAGAGCACTAGCAGTTGAACATACCCCGGTGGATCCATTGACCTGTGTACTAGGTAACCCAGGCACCAACTAAAAACATCCCGTGTTTTTTTTGCGGGCTCTCTGTGGAGTTCATGGGGGAAGGCCTCCAAGGCCCCAGCGGCAGAGCGGCAGCGCCCCGAAGGGGGGGGGGAAACCACATGGATTGAACACGTTCAAACAAAAACAGCTCTAAGAATGTGGAAAGACCCTGCCCCCGGAAAAAACCAACAAACAAACTTTCAGAGGCAAACAACAACCCAGGGGCCCAGGTGGTATTCTCAGACCCCCCTGCGAACAAATGGGGTGCCCAGGGTGCCCCACGGAAGGGCCCTCACCGACTCACCGACCGACTCGAGGACTCGCCTGCACCCCGAAAAGGCGGCGGCTGTGCTTGCGCTGAACCAAGGTGAGTCCGCCGGGCCTCGTCACTTGGGTCAAAGGCCAAATCGCTCAGCCCCCAGGGAACATCCGAGTCAATCCAAGCACTAAAATAGGTTCTAAAATGGGTGGCGAATTCACCTACCAACCAAAATGGGTGGTGAATTCACCTACAAACAAAAAAATGGGATCCCATTGGTTTCGACCCACAGCCGCTTGTTTTGCGAGCGGATGACTCACCGATCCAGTGGAGTGGCCAAAGTGACTACCCGAACTTTGAATTTACCACCAGAATGGTCCAGAACCCAAAAGTGACCAAAGTCACAGAGAATCTGTTTGGAGAAAAGATCCGAAGATTAGGAAGGCCTAGTAGAAAAAAAAGTCCGAAGCGGAACTCAGGCAGAGAGACTTTCAGAGAACCGTCTTTGGGGAAAAAAGGGAGAAAAAGGAGCCGCTTCCCACTGAGGTGGCGTGTCAATGTCAAGTTGACGTTTCGGAAGCCATGGTTTCAGATCGGAATCTTTTCAGATGGATCACAACTGGGTCTGTCTGTTTTTTAGGATACCCCACCCACACCCAACTCAAGAAATTTGAGTGGTGGCTTTTAAGGACGGACCCCCTTTTTTGGTTGTTTTAAAGGCAAACCACAAAGACACCCGCCGTTTTGGGTTTTTTTTTGAATGCTGAGTGAAAAAGCATGAGCGAGCAATGGAACGAGAACCCCGCCCCTCGGTTGCACTTGGATGTTCAAACTCGCTTGGGTTAAACACTTGACGGTGCTCTCACTTCCTGAGTGGTCAACAAAAGGTCCAAAGATTTTGTTCGCCACAACTATGGTATTCCCCAAAAGCATCTAAAGGTCCGAAACGGCCTGAGTGAAAGAATTGGGACTTGGATTGGTCTCCTTGAAACAACTTGACTTGATTTCGGGAGTCCTTTCATTGGCAGGATGAACACCAGCTTCGGGAAGAAATCGCGCCAGCAGACTCCCCGTTGACTTCCCATGCGCTTTCGGTAGCCGTTGACTTCCAGTGCGCTGGAAGAACACTTCACCAGTGACGAGTTCCTGACCCTCCAGGCTACTCCAAAAGCAACAAGACTCAGTTGATTTCTGCTCCCCTGCGAAAAGTTTAACTTTTAGTGGTTTAAGGGAAAACCCATTAGTTGGCAAAAAGTTAAAGTAGCACCAAAGAAGAGTGTGTTCCCACGGTGTTGCGACGGTTTAGTCTTACATAGTCTTGGCGCCTTTGTTTCTTTCTTGTTCTCTGGCAAACTGGCGGCCACTGCATCCATTTAACAACAACACGCTCCCAAGCCAGTGGCGTGCTTACCTTGCAAAAAATCGAGTCAGATGGAACCGCTGGCGTCTGAGCAAGCTGCCCTCGGGCATTCGAACGCCAACGAAAGATTTGCAGTTTGGTTCCCTTTAGAACCTGCTGGACGACAAGAACAAACGTGACATGGAAGCCATCATCCGAATGGAAGTGTGCAGGGACCGTTCGGCGATAGTCTGAAATTATGTGCGCGTGGACCATGCAAGTTTTCGAAAGAGGGTGCCTCACACAAAAACATATATTCGCCAGGCATGACTCCCGCAAAAAACAGAATCAAGAACAACAAACATCATTTTAAGAGACCAAACAACAAAGTCCACAATCGCCACAAGAGAAACTTGCGGCGACACCTCGGTTCCTCAGCCTGTTCCCATCCCGTTTTTGGCCCCGAACCAACCATCAGCTGCTTCAAAATTGCTCCGTGTGTGGCAGTGGTGAACCTCATGCAACACTCAGCGGACCCCCGTCTAGCGGGCCTCAGCTGGGCCTGCGAAGCCACCGGCCAAACGCGCAGCAGGGCGACCTGGGATCAAGAAAGACTCACGCCCAAATGATGCTGGATGCCTAAAGAGACCCAACATGTCTTTAGAGATGTGTATTCAAAAAGACCCACACTCAAAAAGACTCGGGTTAATCAGAAGCCTCCTACCAGGAAGACTCCAATCCGTGGGTTTGGGTCTTGTCCCAAAGCGCAGGTCGGAGGCAATCGGGATAGCATGCACACTGGACTGGGCGTACAGAGTTGGGATCAGATCCAATCAGGCGGAACTTTTCTGAGAAAGTCTTGCCTCAACTCAAAGAACCTCTCCGTTTTTTTTGTTCCAATCATTCTCCGTTTCTTTTTTGGGGGGGTCTAACTCTGATTGGGGGTCTTGCCTCAACTCAAAAAACTTCTCCGTTTTTTTTCAAAGATTCCTTTTTTGGGGGGTCTAACTCTGATTGGGTCTTGCCTCAACTCAAAGATTCTCTGTTTTTTTTTGGGGTCTTTGACCTCAAACCCCTTGTCCTGCCATGCGGCCAAAAGCAGGCCGCGCGCCATGAGCTGCTGGCGGATTCGCGGATTTCCCGCTTGACCCTCGGCCCGAGGGCTGAATTACTATAGCTCACTTGCAACCAAACAATTCGCAGCAGGCTGCTGGATGACAGCGAATCATTTAATAGTCAGCTGGTAATAGCTGGAAACCAACACCATGGCCATAAAAAGACATGAAAACAACGATATATTGTTACTCGTGTGCTGAAAGTAGTACCTTTGGTATGTTGACATGGTGAAAATACCGTAATCATTATTGATTTGCTGGCAAGCAGGGCTTTGACGATGGCTGCCAAGGTGCTGGCTGAAACTAACATGAGCTTTCCAGTTGGGTGTCTTGACATACCTGGGCTGCCCTCAGATCCCCTGCTAAAAGTTTAACTTTTAGTGGGTCAAATGGAAAATCCCCACTAAACACTAAAAGTCTAAAAAGCTAAGGAGATGGCTGGGAGCCACCAAGATACATTTGGTCAGGATTGAACTAAAAGCAAGTCCGAATCTGCTTGATCCGCTTTGGCTGCAACTGAGAAAGCCGTGAGCCATTGAGCCATACAGGAGAATGAGCATGAAGCCGCAAAGCAAGCCACGGGCTGATCCAGGATCCATACCCATTCATTGGCTTTCAGGGGGGCTTCTTTGCTTCCAAGCACTCCTCCCAAGCTAAACCACCATCCCCAAGCAGAACTTGGACAAAAACTGATGGTAACTCTTTGTTCAGTTCTTCACCCTGAACTAGTTTCATCATCGCATCATGCAGTTCAGCTGCTAACAGGAAGAATTACCAGGTCCTCCAGTAGAGAGGTTAGAATAAGGGTGCCAACTTTTTCCTGTCGTCTGTTTTGGTAGGGGAACCCTCCCCCAACAAAGAAACGGCAAAAGGGCACGATCCTGGGGGACCTAGTTGTGTTTCAAGTTGGCCCAACTTCCCCCTCAGGCGTGCGCTTTCTTTTTGGCAGCTTTCGGTCCGATCCAGGTTTGAGCATCAGCTTTTCCAAGGTTCTGGAAAGGAGTGGACTTCATCGAATTATTGCGATATCGATACATTAGCCGGCGCCCTAGCGGTTCTCCAAACAGGGGTCCCCGATCATTGGCTTCCTTTGGGCTTCCTTCTTTTAGAAGACCAACTAAGGGGACCCACCGTTTTGAGGGAGTCCCAACGGGCCAATTGGTTGCAAGTACTCCGACATTCTCATATTCTCCGACTCATACGTCAGCGCCCACGGTCAATCTTCATGTCTCCCAGTGACGTTGGATTGTGGTGACCGCAATCTCTGAGTGGTAACTTGATGAGCATGCCATCCCCACAGTACATGGTGAACATTGACCGTTGCTCTGACTCATTCGTCCTCGCAGGCCTCGCATACCATGTGGCAAAACACTGGTTCACTCTTCCCGCTTGCAAAAGCTCGAGTTGACTGGCCAAAAAAAAGTTTGAACTTCTTATTTACCACTAAAATGGTCTTTCCAAAAAGTTTAAAGTCCACCAACTCAGGAAGTGAGTTGGGGGGCGATTCGGTCCCACCGATTCGACCAGCGGAGACCCATCCGATCCGCATATGAAGTCGGACCTCATGAAGTGGCCGTAAAACGATCTCAAGTGACTGAATGAAGACACCGATGGGAACGAAGGAGCTGATGGGAACACAAAAAGCCAGAACGCCCCAAAGGTAAGCGATCTGGCAATGCTCGCGATTTCATCAACTTTCAGGGCTCCACCGGCCCCGCGTGCTTGCGGTTTTGCCTTTTTCCTCTTCTTCTGTTGGTTTGACTTCTTAATGACTTCTTAATGATTGAAGGCCATTAATGATGACGACGTCATTTAATGTTTCATGAAGGACTAATTATGACGTCGATACTTTTGGGGGATGGGTTTGAGCCCCAAGGAAGCCGGAGGGCTCCAAACATTTGGAGACAGCTTACAGTCCAGCTCGATTCGATTTTCATGTGGAGCCCCCCTTCCAGCGGAAGGCCCATGGGAAAGGAATTGGCGCTGGGAAGAATTCCAACGGAAACCAGGTAAGCCTTTGGCGGCCTGGCTTGGTGCGGATTGAGCCTGGAGCTAAATTTTGATTGGGCCCCCGCCCCCGTCCAAACCACCGCGCCAAAAGGAGCCTGTTCGAGGGAAGCGCTCGATGTTCTTTTCAAACCAGTAGCGCCACTTGTTTGCCGCTTGGTGTCCTGATGTTTAGGGGGTCCTTTCAAGGAGGAAGGCAAGCAAAGAAATAAACATGCAAACCATGAAGCAAGATGTATAGCATAGACAACAGAATCCACACCAAGAAGACAATCTCTTGAAGCCGAGTCGCCACAAACTTGAAACCTCCTGGCAGACACGGCGGTTCCGAGCGACGACTCGCTTGGGGTTCGTTCCAAGCACCCAACACCCTGGGCCAAACAAATCCCTAAAGGCGGGCTGACTTGTTGCTCGTTTCGGGGAAGAAACACGAAAGGGCACGAGCATGGGTGTCCTTTCTAGGTGTTTTTGGCTAGAAATAGATGGCACTGGTTTAGAAGTGGTTTCATTCCAAGGGCCATCTATTTTCCCAAACGGACACCTATGGGCAAAAGGTTAAACAGGCAAGTGAAGTCTGGCAATGAAACCTTGCAATTAGCAACCCAAGAGGTGATCTGCAAATTCCAAGAACAGCTGCAACTGACATTTGACGCGCTGCGACATAGCGGACCCCGAGTTTTTGGGGGGCGACCGATTGGAGGAATTTTCTCCAGGGGGGAAGGGATCGCTATCGCGAAGCGCACCATTGTCCAAACTCTGGAAACCTGAGTTGGATTGCAAAATCCCAAGATGTTTGTGTTTCTGTGTGCGTCTTCAAGTAAAAAACGCCTCCAAACTGGGCTTGGTCTCTTGGGTGTCCCTAGCAATAGCCACGAAGGGGTCAACAAAAACACCGCGCGCCAGGTCTTGCTTCATGTCACAACGGAAGGTAAAGCGGGAAATGCCCAAGCGGGGTGGCCCTAGGAGACCCCCAAAATGGGTAGGTGCCCTTTATTCTGGCTGAATCAGCACCTTTCGGCGCGAAAACGAACGGCCAAATACTATTTTCGTTGGGCAATCCTTCCCTGCGAATCCAAAAAAAATCAGGGACTGAACCGAACCTTCTGAGTCCGGGTCTGGGGTCTGGGGTTCAGGCAGGCCGCCACTAAAACCAATAGGGTGGTCCGCTTGGAGAAGTGGTTCCCCTGGGTTGCCGAAAACCGGTGTCACCGGATCTGGGATGGTAGCCCCATGCCCATCCCACTTGAGGGTTGCTTTGGATGCCCAAAATATCGCCAAGGAAACCACTCATTTATTGTCATGGACCATAATTGTGTGGTTGCGTACGGTTGGTTTACTTGCAAACGCTTATCCACGGTTCCTCAAAGTGCCTGAGATTCCTTGGCTCATCTTTTCCGGGTTTCTTCTCGGCTTCTGAAGAAAAAAAAACGCCCTTTGAAAGGCGGTCAAAAGGCACCTAGTCCTTGACTTTCTCATCCCAGACCCTGGATTTTCAAGAAAAGAATCGGAGCCTATCTTGCCGAGTGTCCGGGCCTCCCAAATCTGAGGTACAGAAAAACCCACATGTGCTGAGTCTCCTTCATATTTCGATCCAAGAAATCAGAGGTCACCCCCCTCATTTGCAGCTCGTCCACTCACAGAAAGGGCAAGCGTTTCGCCACATTGTCAACCACGACCCGGGGATAGGCCACGAGAGAGGGCTCCGACTCAAGACATTGCCTGCTGGTGCGATAGGTAGAGAATGAGGGAATGAACCCAGGGGTCCCCTTAACCGGACAGACTTACTCCCCCCAAAATCACGGATTCAGCCCTAAAAAGGGGTCCCTGTCTTTCTGGCTATTTGGCAGCGGATCTTTGGACTCTAATTGGTTGGTTGACACTTTGCGGATTTTTCGAATTGGACCTACAACACGTTACACTTTTTGCAGAGGGGTCAACAGCGACCAAGATTTCCCAAAAGGAGATTCGCAGACTCCGATCCTAAAGCTGTTGTGGTTTTCGCGTTCCATGTTCAACCTTGCTCTTCTTTTGGGGGGTCAGGAACCCTACGTTGCTGTTTAATCTTGATGTTGCTCGGCAGGGAATGAGGGAATGACCCCCTATAAACCAGTCCAAACTTCGTTGACGCAAAGCCGCGGCCGAAAAAAGGCAACGAATCCCTGTGCAAGTCCTTCCGAGTCAGATTCCTGGCGCATGTTTGTTGCGGGATGTCAGAGGCTTTAAAACGGGCGTGGTCGTTTTTCTTTTTTTTGGGGTGGGGGAGGTTGAAACCACCTACAAAAGGGAACCCTCAAGAAAACGAACCCCCCCCCCCCCCCCCGCTTCAAGAAAAAGACCCCCCCTCCATTTTTTTCCAGAGTCTTGCATTTGTTTGCTGGGGGGGGGGATCATTGCGCTATGCAAGGAGCCAGTTCCGTACCTGAGAGCCCATCCTGACCGAGCGCAACAGGGGAGACCGAGTCGTAACCTAAGTTGGTCGTGTCTTTCTTCGAGGGCACAGTGTTTTTGTTGGTTTTGAAGGGACAGCAACAGGAACACTACATGACCTTTCGGCGGGGGAGGGTCCCTAAAGAATAAGCTCGGGTGATATCCCCAACAGCATGCGGTGCTCTTTTAGTGCTCGCACCACCCCGCGGCCCTCGCAAAACCTCGTGGAACCCTTGTGGAATCCTGGTGGAACCCTCGTGGAACCTTACCTCAGGGCTGCCCCGGACCACCCCGAACCCTATCTGGGCTGAGACCCCAGAGCTTTCAGCTGTTGGGGAAAAAACAAGACGCCCAGTTGTAAGTATCTGTCGGACCTTACCAGCCTAGGTGTGCCCCTGAAAATGGCCGCCGAAGCAGTTCGCTGGGCACCCTAAGGTCAGCCGTGAACCCGTTTGGGTGCAACTTGAATGTCCTTCGTGCTGAAAAGGGTTTCGGATATTTGTTCACAAAAAAACATGAACCAGCCGGTACATGCTTTTCAGGGTCCACAATTCTGCGTTGGCAAGGGTCGAGGCCCTTTTCATTCACAAGACTGCTACAACACCCCCCAACACACAGTTTTGGTTTGCTTGAGTCTTCCTTGCCGGTGGTGTGTTTGGGGTAAAGTGTGAATAACCCCCCGGTGTGAGATCGACCTGTTGGTAATGGTCTTTCCATCGACTGATTTGGGGGTTTCAGGGGTCCGAGTTTGGGGTCTGAGACTTTAGGGCTTGGGTTCAGGGTTTACGGCGCATGTTTTTCTTGGTGCCCCAGAGTTGAACTCTAGTGGTTCATTGATCCGTCACAAATCCCAAGCTCAAGTCTGACTGAGGTTCCACCCACTTTTGATGTGGCCCCCAATTAAAACTCATAGCCAAATCAGGGTTTGTCAGGAAAACACTGTCTGAACGTATCCCAGCGTCATGACATTCGTTCATAGGTGTATAAATGGAGTCTAAGACTGCTTCCTTCGAGAACGGGTATGGGCAACGTGAAAATGATGGTTTCCTTTTGGCATGCCACTTGGGAGAAGTCCACCTCCCAAGACGCCGAGGCCATCGTCTCAGATCCAACTATGAGGGCCACCAAAACCGTTGCGCTGGTCTAGGTCCTCCAGTAGTTTGAGGTTAGAAGAAGTTGGTGCCAATGATTTTTTTCTGTACTCCAAATTTTAGTAGGGGAACCCAAAACCCCCCAAAAAAGGAACAGGGCACTGGGGGACCTAGTTGTTTAGTTTAGTTTGCTTTCGATTCTCTTTCATTCGAGTAACATAGCCCAGTCTTGGGATGGTGAGGGGAAGCCAAAAGAACACCAACCACAAAGCTATTTTCTGAGACCCCGGACCCAAAAATCGCCCCATTGCCCTTTGGCAATCTGGCGGACTCAGATCGCAACCAGCCTCCGTCTCGTCCTCATCTTGGGATTCCTGGTGCCATTGCTTTGGGTCGGGTCATGAGCCTTGTGGTTTCAGGGGCTTCCAACTGTCTTTCAACCATCGTTTTTTTCAGAAACCTAACAATATTTTGGAGCATGGCTTATGGGGAAACCAGGAAACAAGTATTCCCAGAAACCACGAACACGAACAACAAGTCACCTTTGCAGCCCGTGTCTAACGAGCCGACATGGTTGGGGATCTGTTTGACCCTTCCTGCAACAACGTCGGCTAATCCCCACGGCTCTGGCGATGCCGAACCCGGCCAATCCAATCACAGAAAGTGGGACTCCCACACCCGTTGAGCGGAGGATTCCCATCTGGAAGAAACTACTCAAGTGCTTTCTCTAGGTTTAATATTGTTGGTTTTTATGTTGTCTTCATCCAATTTTCTTTTTACATCTCTTCAGGTTTCTCAACGGCAACAAGTTTCTATGAGCATCAAAGGAGTCAAGAGCCCTGCAATTCAGTTGTTCAGTGACCCTGGGAAAAAAGGGAACCCCTTTTTGGGGAAGACCTTTTTTAGTGGGGCAGCCACCAAAAAACAAGAAGAAGAGAGAGTGCCGCTGAACAACTGAGGCAAAGCACATCCAACGAGTTGAGGTTCGAGTGGACCGCTTTCGCTTGCTTCGTCTCACCAACCGCACTTCGGTGTCTCGGGTCGCCCCACGAAACCCCAGAAGGTCTGTTTCCTTGACATCGCGGCTTCCGTCTTTGGGGGTGCCCTTTCAAGCAACGAAGCAAGGAGATCTGACAAAATGGCGTTGCAAACATGGGCCAGTGGCCCATCCCGTGCTGGGGACCCGTTGCGTAACCTAAGTTAAAACTAAATGGGTGGCTTCTTTGGAGGGTACCTAGTACCCCCCCTGTTCTGGTGGTTTTAAAGGAAGCAAGAAAGGCACTCCCCAAAATGTTGCCTTTGACCAGCCCGCCAAATGGACAACATTCGACTGGTTCCACGTCGAATAGTTGTGTCCTTCTTCGGCCAGATTCTTGAGATTGGACGGGCTCCCAAAAGTAAAGTTCGACTAGCGGGTTTGGTCAGTGGCTCACTTATATGCTCACTTTGTGACGGTTGCTGGGGCACTTGCGCTTCTCCGATTTCGGACAGATCGGCTCGCTCTTTCGCTCTTCCAAGATCCAACAAATAAGGATTCTTGCATGGAGTGCACCAAAAAAGAAGCTGATTTGGAACATGACTGGGGGTTACCGCCATGGCCTGCCAGGCCAAAACCAAGACCTAAACAGAAGGCTCTCGCAGACGACCTGGAAGTCAGTGAGGTGGGCCAAGACATGAATTGGGGCTGGATGGTGAGCCATCGCCCTGTGTAACAAGCTTGACTATTGCTGTGTTGTGGGGAAACCGCATCATTTCCCAACAAACTAAAGTCCACAAATCCAACCAAATAGCAGCCAAGTGGGGAAGTCTGCTCTAAGAATTTGTCAATCGCAACTGTGGCATTGACAACAAAAACCTGTTGGCCATAGTCGTGCTTCCTTCCCTGGAAAGGATCCCTTCCAGATGGTTTCGTCCTCCGATACTCAGCAAAAAGGATTGATCGCCTAGGTCCTCCAGTAGAGAGGTTAGAATAAGGGTACCAACTTTTTTCTGTAGTCTATTTGAGTTGGGGAACCCTCCCCCAAAAAACGTTGGTAACAGGGCACCACTGGGGGACCTAGTCACCATCCTTCCGAGCCTGTAAATGCAGAGCTCAACTGTAGCACTACACCGGTCAAAAAAAAAACGTGACGCAACATTTGTGGGTCTTGCACAACGTGTGCGTCCAAACCAATACTCACTCCAGACCAAGGGTTGACGCTTTTTGGAGCCTTGGCTAGATATGGACCAACCCGGGTCGAATGATTCGCTGGTCGATCTGCCGGCAAACAAATCGCAACCAAGGATCCGTCTTGCCGTATGTCATCCCCATCTCCACCTGCATCCTTGTCTCCACCTGCTTGCCGATTTCCGTGGGGAGAAGATCCCACACCACCCCCCGTAGTTCCGAGGCTGGGCACAAAAAGGGTCCACAACCATCCACAGGTCGGTTGATGCTATGTCTGTTCTCGGCCAAAGCTTTAACTAGTACTCAAACACTTTGCGGTGTTGGTCGCTTGTTCGTTCCGTTGCCGGCGCATGAAAAACACGAGTCTTCATACGCCCTACTCCAACTACTGATAGATTTTGAATTTGTCTGAACAAGAAAGACTGGCTTGCCATGGCAAATCCCGCCTGGTCAGCGGTTAACATGATACGCAAGAAGAGTGGTTGCATTTGAGGTGAACCAACTATGGGAAGGCAGGCTCCCTCCAAACAACCACCCAGCATACACCCAGCGGCTCGATTCCTTGCTCCTGTGTAGGCTTGAGGGCGAATCCACTGGCTTCCAACCGGTCCTTTTGGGGCGACTCGGTCACAGCTGATGTTAGTGATGTAGACAGCTAAGACTTTGGGGACCACAAATGGACCCGTGAACAGGTCGCTTCGCTGGAAACTAAGCTTCGAAGGAGTGTCTGAATAGGAGGATTGAAACATTTGGCTGTGGGTCAAAACCGTTTTGGGATCCCGTTGGTTGGTGAGTTCACCACCCATTTGAGAACCTATTTTAGTGGGCAGTGGGATGTTCACTGCGGGTACGGGATCTTGACCCATGGTCATTTGGGTGGCCGACCGGCAAACTCGAAAAATCGAGTCGACACCCCGTTGCGTGTTTCGAGCCCCACCCCAATTTGATCCCAAGCTAAGCATGGCATTCCTGGGCCAGACTCCGATCCGATCAAACAGAGGGAAAACTGAAGTCCGCCGAGGGGAGCTGAAGGAACACCGAGGCAAACAGTTCAGCATGTGCATTGGTGCATTCCTCAAGTCTCGCGATTCCTTTCAGCTTCCCAGCTTCCCCGAGTTGCTGGTTTCCCACTCTACAAGAACCAGGGGTTCGAATCCCCAAACCAGCCAAACCATTCCAGGGTATCCTGATGTGGCTAGCCCAGTGATTCCATTCCCCCTATACTATTAGCTAGGCAACCAAGAGCTTGCCACCCTTTAAAGGCTAAAAGGAACATAGCTGGTTACCCATTATAGCGGTAGCTGGGATCATTCGCTAGTCTTTCTAGCCTTAAAAAACAAGACAAAACAAACACAACACAATTACTAAAAAAACACAGACGAGTACCTGACCCATCGCTCGAGCAAAAAAAAAGAAGTCCGTGGCCGCGCCGGCGGGGCGTCGGGCAGGAAGAGTACGGTGAGCAGCAGCAGCAGGAACCTTTGGACGAACCCCCTCCTTAAGCAGGGATCCTTACATGAAAAACACTTGAACATTGCAACTTGTAAATGGTGGTTTCCCTGTATTTTGATATTTTGAAAAAGCAACATGTTTCAAATGGTTGCAACATGTATCTTTTGAGGAGCCCTGTTAAGGGCTAACCCTAAACCCTAAACCCTTAACCCATCCACCACATCCAACCCATCCACCATCCCTCCAAACTGCGACACAAATCCGACACCTGATTGGAGTCCACCCAATGAAAATCCATGACTGGGCTGCCCGATTTCTGATCCGCTAAAAGTGAATAACTTTTAGTGGGTTGAACGGAAACTAGCAAACACGAAAAGGCTAAACAGCTAAGGAACCGGATGGCTGGGAGCCACCAAGATAACTGGATTGAGACCCCATCAACCCTTGCCAGTTAGGCCTTGTGGAGGGGAGCTTAAGGGGGTTGTAGCTGGGGTTTTGGCCGAACTTCGGTTCCCAAACAGGGTGAAACAAGTTGGCACGGGTGGTCTACCCTCACCCCAGAAGCGGGGGTGTTTAGGGGGGCAACAGGGGGTGCCATC